CCGTGATAAGTTCGTAAAGAACTTGTGTTACAGGTACCAGATAACGGAAATGAATGTAAGATTTTTATTATACACACACATATATTTAATAATTAATTGATTATTATTTCTTGAGCTTCTACAATGATGACGTAGAGCGATAACTCTATTCATTCTCGATAACCTGCTTATTGCTCGTTAAAATATGCGATATTTACTTAGCTTTTCTTTTTCCTTTGCCTAATTTAAAAATCGTACTACGATGATGAGGAATGTAATTTTTCGGGTTTTGTTTAGAAAAAAAAATCAGCTCTATTGTGTACTGTTGTAACATCTGTTACTAAGTATTTATTTTCCGCACACATTTATTTATTTCTCTGTATTTAATATTACTTAAACAGACTTCATGCTTAAAGTTACTTAATGAATTTATTGTTTGCTTAACTTACTCTATCTACTACGAATTGCAGAAATTAACAAAAAAAAATCATTTAATATTTACTAGACGCTTCTGGCCATTCGTTTCTTAGTATTAAAGGGTTATTTAATACCAAAAAACGAATGGTTGGTATCAAATAAAATACAGCTGAAATCAGTATATCCAAGCGTTTTAATTAAGTATTTAGTGGGGTCCAGGTAGAGGTTGTTGTTACTCTCTGTGTATTGTATGATCCATGAAGAGCGCTCTGAGAAATTTCGTAATCTTAAAAAGTTCTCGGATCTTTCCGATCCATTCTCGGTGCTTTTAAGCTTTGGAAGCGATGTTCACCGTTTGAGAGTCGAAAATTCGATGTGCAACTTAATGTGTGTCTATCACACTACCCACTGACTTTCTCGCCGGATCTTCTCAGTGGGTCGCGATTCCGATCCGGTAAGAAATTCAGGGAAGCATTGCTCTTACCAAGGCAAACATTAGCAATCCTTCAGGTTGAGCCCAATCAGCTCGTCTACCAATCAAGTGGAAACCAGAATAACCACTCAAGGCTACTGTTGATGGAGAAAGGTATGCAAAAACAAAGATATACCCTCAACGTCGTGTGCCATTTGGCAGTGCCAACTGTCTTGTCATTACCGATGTTCATGAGTGACAGTGACAACGGTGGTGAGTTCCTCTACCATCGAAAACAGTAAAAAGTAAGTATTGCCATAACAAACAGATTAATAATCTAACGTTTAATATTTCACACAGTCTGGCATCCAAATTGGTCAACGCACGGGCTTGAGTGAAACCGACATCGAGAAAGTCAGTCTGGTGTACTCCAAAGAATGCATCAAAAGGAACAAGGACTACTTACTGAAGACATGTCCAAGTGTTGTGAAAAACGGGGGCAGAGAGACTAATATAACACAACGAGAAATTGAAGACTACTTCAAGGATAGGTTATGGCCATTTGGAATCGTAAATTTTAAACTAATGGACAAAATAGAATTTTGTAAGCTATTTAGATTTTTTAAACTTATTAGATTTTAATAAAATAATAAGATAATATGTTACAGTTGAAAAGTGCTTGCTTAAAGTGTTTATCCTATTAATCGTATCCAAAAATGTATCCATATCAGTACACTTTTCAGTATGGCACATAAGCGCATTGAAATATTACTAAAATTATAAAAGTCGACGAGATCTTATGAAACTACCAATTTATGTTAACTTTTTGGAAATCATCGAATTGATCTATAAATATAAATAAAATTGGAGAGTCTGTTTGTAATATTGAAATAAACGCTTTTGACTACATGCATATGAATATATAGGTATATACAACAAAATAACATTTTTTACAATTTTTGTCTCTCTGTCTGTCTGTTTGTTCCGGCTGCGGTGAACGGCTGAACCGATTTTGATGGGACTTTCACTGATAGGAGTAACTTGGCTTTTTTAGACTAGCTTCGCCCCGCGGCGTCAGCCGCGTTACGACAATAACCACGGGTAACATCGCGGGACTCAGCTATCGATAATAAAATTTAATGTTTCCGAAGCGAAGCGAGGGCGGGTTGCTTGTTATAAATAAATACATAGCACTTATTCAAAAGTTTACTTACAGCTGCCGAAGAAAAAGAAAACATACGTTCAGTCATAAGTCATATCGAAAAAGAAACATGTATTAAATTCAAAGACGTTACCGACGATAATGATTTACCTGCTTCGAATGATGTATCAGAGAAACAAGTCGACGGTCCAAAGAATGAAACATCTGATAAAGATGACGAAGTTGCAAGTCCCAATTTATCTGAGAATGAAGTGAAAACTAGCAATGACGAAACCGAAATGAAACAAGCAAGTACCGAAAATGAAGCCACAAATGTCCAGCTGGGTAAGGCTACTAATTTTACGAAGTGATAAAAAGAATTAAAATGGCTAGCCCTTAAAATAAGATGTGATACGAAATGTACATGATAATATAAAGTTTCTATGATTCAACTTCCATATCACTCTCTAAATGACTGTTTTATGACTCGTTTAGATCATAAAGACTAGAAATTTAATTAAAAACATCATTGTGAATCATATTAAATTTAATTTCAGTAAAACAAAATAATAATACGAAAAGATTTGCAATGAATTCAGCATCGGAAATTCGTCGACATGCAATGCACATTCTGGTATTGAAACGATCCACACAACCAGGTTGTACGTGTCCGCCACCGGGAAGATTTGACGGATATAAAGTAAGTGTCCTAGTAGTAAAGAAGAAAAGAAAAACAACAAGGAGTCGAGCACTAAATGATAAATTTAATCATTTCATTTTGTCGCATTTGCGATCTCCATAAGCTCCAATTCTCTTAAGAAATGTATTATTCAAGCTGGCCGTTACAGGTCTAGTAGTATTTAAATATTCATGAAAATAAAACCTATTCTCAATGTAGTTTCACGCTTGTGAAGACTTTTCTCTAGAACAGTTCATTTTCATTTGATTACTTAACCTTCTCTATGTAAACCCAAAAATAGAAACAATACATTTATCCAAAAATCCGAAAAGGACTAAGTATAGTTAACACAAATAGCAATGTAGCCAAAAAAATTTAAACTTGTTCGAAAAACAAATCATACTTTCCTTTATCTTGCATTTCGATATATTCTGGTGAGATATTCGTTGAATTTATAAAATATGCATTTTGATTTCAGGAGCTAGAGATAAACAGTGATTGCTTCAATTCCGTCAACGATCTACTTCATGTTTTCGTCCACGTTTTAGGCTTAGACCATCAGCACAGCATGTACGATCGAGATCAGTATTTACATATAGTTTGGGAGAACCTTAGTTCTGGTAAGAATTTTGGATATTGCTAGGTTTTATGTTTTTGTATTTGCCTGAAAAACGTGTAAAAAAATGCACCTACAACTACATATTTATGGAACTGAGAGACTTATATTTCATGTCTTCGTAATTATCATTTATATTATCGTTTCTGTGGACTCCGGCAGTAACTGGTACCGCGAAGTCGTTAACCCGGATAAATGGTAATCAAACAAAATTGAAAATATCTATTTGAATTACAATTGAATATCTCGCCGATTTGCTACTTTGAACTTAACAACCTCATTTTGCGCGATGACTATATTTGTTATATTATATTATATTTTGAAATCATTTATTCAGATTTATTTGTTTCTTTGATTTACTTATACTTTTACTGATAATTATGAGACCCTAGATAATTTTCATTACAAGACACACAGCAGAAGTTTATATAGACGCTGACACGTTTAAAATTAGTTGGATTATATTACGTTGCTTTAACTTAAGCAATAAAATAAAATTGCACTCCTTAGATATGAGAGAAGAAATGAAAGTTATCCTACCCCCGGCTGCTTCGGTTGGATTCCAATATGACTATCAAAGCGTTATGCACTACCCGTGGCTGCAAATTAAGAACGGAGTCACAAACATTATGTACCCTATTTGGGTGAGACATACATCCTATTTGGATGAGACATACAATTTTAAAAGTATTATTTTTTGACAGTTAAACTGACAACGAAATATTTTGAAACGCCAATACGAGTATTTGAACAATGAATTCTTTTGTATTGTTAATAACTATGGCTTATTAACTCTTTACTACCGGTGTGGAAAAATGAAACAAAATTGCTTTTTTTTATTATTGTTTAGTTGGGTGGACGAGCTCACAGCCAACCTGGTGTTAAGGTTATTGGAGCCCATAGACATCTACAATGTAAATGCGCCACCCAGCTTGAGATATAAGTTCTAAGTTCTCAAGTATAGTTACAACGGCTGCCCCACCCTTCAAACCGAAACGCATTACTGCTTCACGGCAAAAATAGGCAGGGCGGTGGCACCCACCCGCGCGGACTCACAAGAGGTCCTTCCGCCAGTAATTACGCAAATTATAATTTTGCGGTTTTGATTTTTATTACACGATGTTATTCCTCCACCGTGGATGTCAATCGAGAACATTTGTTAAGTACGTATTTCATTAGAAAAATTGGTACCCGCCTGCGGGATTCGAACACCGGTGCATCGCTACATACGAATGCACCGGGCGTCTTATCCTTTAAGCCACGACGACTTCAAAATGTAAGTCATACAAGAAAAATGTCACTAAAATACTAGAATTAGAGATATAAAATAAAATTATCGTGGAAGATGCAATATGTAATATTTATAAGGTTTAAAAATTTATCTCACATCATTTTTATTTTACCAGAACGACGGATGGGCAATGGGACATTGGCAAGGACTTAGCTCGACGGACGTCCAGAAATTAAATCTACTTTATTTCAACCAATGCACGGCAAGATCTATGCAAGAAAACAACTAGTTATCTCCAATAAACAATTTACATTATACATTGAACGGTTTCTTTCAAATTTAGTGCTCTTTAGAAATAAATAAAAAAAACTGCAATTACAAAAAAACATTCCACTTAACTTTCAATGCTAATTGAAATTTATAGTAGAATTTCATGTTTAGGCTTACACTACGGGCTTACAGTTAAAATACATATTTATTTATTTTTAAATAAAATGACAAACAAATAGTTGTTGTGATAGAAGTTTATTTAATTCCTTCTTTTTTCAAAGATTTATTAATAAATTTCTGTGTTAAGTAACTATTTCCTTTTTTGCTTTGTATATCACCTTTAACCTTTGTAGATATATTATCAGCATATTGATCACCTCGATTAGTATAATCACTTTCATCTGCTTGTTCACTTTCATACTTTCCACTATCTTTCTCTGTATCATCTTCATCTGTAGCTCTATTGTAGGTTGAATTGTTTTTATCCTGCTGCCTGCCTGCTACAGTATTTTCCAGCAATATATTCCTGCAAGCATCGATTAGCTCTTCCACTGTTCGCTTGTTACATTCGTGTGTGAAGTACAATTTCAATTTCATTTTATCCAATTGGGATAATTTATCACCAGATCGTATAATCATTCCGGGAATCTAAAAATACAATATTCGGACTTGAGAATTCCAAATTCAAATCACTTTTACATCTAAAAAAAATAGTCGTGGCCTAAAGGATAAGACGTCCGGTACATTCGTATCAAGCGATAACGACTGCCGGTGTTCGAATCCCGCAGGCAGGTACCAATCTTTCTAATGAAATATGTACTTAACAAATGTTCACGATTGACTTCCACGATGAAGAATTAACATCGTGTAATAAAAATCAAAACCGGAAAAATTATAATTTGCGTAAATACTGGTGGTAGGACCTCTTGAACTACATTGCCTATTTCTGCAGTAATGCGTTTCGGTCTTCTTTTTTTTTAATTGCTTAGATAGGTGGACGAGCTCACAGCCCACCTGGTGTTATGTGGTTACTGGAGCCCATAGACATCTACAACGTAAATGCGCCACCCACCTTGAGATTTAAGTTCTAAGGTCTCAGTATAGTTACAACGTCTGCCCTAGCCTTCAGACCGAAACGCATTACTGCTTCACGGCAGAAATAGGGAAGGCGGTGGTACCTACCCGCGCCGACTCACAAGAAGTCCTACCACCTGTAAATATCAGGTCATATGGCCTACCTGATTATGAGTGGCTACCGTCGCCCATGGACTTCAGCAATTCCAGGGGCGGAGCCAAGCCGCTCTGCCTATCGTTAAGTAATCTCCACAAGCCTCGTTTGAAGAAAAACATGTCATATCGCTCGGGAAACATCGTTCAGTGTTCGACAAAGTTTCAACGTTAGCTACAATGGTTTTTTTTTATGAATGAGGAATTTCCAGTCTCACCAGGACAAATAGGCGAGCAAAGGCTCAGCCAGAAGGGGTGGTATTTGCTAACAGCTGCCCGAGCAAAGGAAACCTAACAACTCAAGAGCAACTGCTTCGCGAATGAATCTATTACCGATCGGAATCGCGACCGGAGAAGATCCGTCGAAAAACTCGACTGCATCAGCCAGGGCTTAGGTTGCTCGGTAGGATAACCGAGCAAGGTAACCAGGGTCCCTAAGACTGCTCCTGGCGTTAAAAGGAAAGCCTTTAATGCATGAGTTATTGGATCTGATGGATCCGTAAGGACGTGGGTTGCAATTGTCTGCATTATTCTACGTACACCCAATATCATTATGATTTTTTTTATTGCTTAGATGGATGGACGATCTCACAGCCCACCTGGTGCTAAGTGGTTACTGGAGCCCATAGACATCTACAACGTAAATGCGCCACCCACCTTGAGATATAAGTTCTAAGATCTCAGTATAGTTACAACGGCTGCCCTACCCTTCAGACCGAAATGCATTACTACTTCACGGCAAAAATAGGCAGGGCGGTGGTATCTACCCGCGCGGACTCACAAGAGATCCTTCCACTAGTAATTACGCAAATTATAATTTTTGCGAGTTTGATTTTTATTACACGATGTTATTCCTTCACCGTGGAAGGCAATCGTGAACATTTGTTGAGTACGTATTTCATTAGAAAAATTGGTACCCGCCTGGGGTTCGAAGATCGGTGCATCGAATCGCTCAACACGAATGCACCGGACGTCTTAACCTTTAGGCCACGACGACTTCGATTATTAAGAAGACTTATTAAGAACATAGAAGTTCTTATGAGAGTAAGTAGTCGACGAATTGCGGGACACCAGTCGACCAATGGAATTATTGCTATAAGAACCGGCCCGTGAACTGTTTTGTGATCGGAATCGGCTCTTACCAACGGCGCTATAGTAGCTTCGCCATTAACACTGAAGGCCCGATCGTGGAAGTGCATAACACTTTGAGGGTCGTATTCAACGACAGGTCTGTTTGGCTCGTTTGCGGTTTGCATCAGGAACAGTGGTCGATATTCTAAATTAAAAAAAACACAAGTAACACATAAATGGAATACAGATTTCGATCACAATAATTAAAAGAAGAGAAAGAAATTTGTTAGAGAACACTATTTATCCTTACCATATTAAATAAAAGTATATATATTTTATAATATATTATAATATATAAAGTAAGTATATGTAAGTAAAGTAAGTAAGTAAAGTAAGTATAGTGTGCGTGTGTGTGTGTGTGTGCGCTTGCGCGTGCGTGCGCGCATATTGTTTTATATCTTGTAATGTGTATATATTCTTATATGTAATGTTTACATTATGCACTAGGTTTTTGTCTGTATCCTTATTGTCGTGTTTCTTCTAACAGCTGTGTACAAAATATATTAAATAAATAAAAATGCTTAAAAAGGCAATAAAAGTCTGATGGGTACAAGCGGCTACATAAGTGCATGGACCACCTTATGTTCTATATTCATTTGAACACGACGGAAACGGTATTGTAACTTTTATTACGGTATTGGTATTTATGATGGGCATAGTACATCAATACAAGAAAGAGACCCCGCGGCCGATTACCTAGCCGTTGGTGTGATCAAGTAACCGCTCTAACTGGGTTGCCAGTCGCAACCGCCATTCGAGCAGCTGAGGACCGGACGAGATGGAAACAGCTCACGAGACAGGCAACGGTCGAGTTTCAGGGACACGACCTTCAGCAATGAAGAAAGCGACGAAGAAGAAGAAGAAGAAGTACATCAATAAAATTATTTTTCAATTTGACGACAAAGACAACACGATATAGCTTCGACGCAATCCTAATTAGTAATTCCACTGATTAAATATTTAATGAGGTTGACTAAATAATTAATTATTATTTCCTTGTTTCTTGCTTTAGATGTTCACTTCGACTGTTATTGCTTCCAAGATAATTTAAGCGAGTAAAGACATACATATGTATATATTATGTACAAATAAGTATATTTGATATGTCGTTTTCTTTGCTAGGATATTAATAAAACATGTTAAATTTACACATTCACGAAAACCACTTCTAAATTGGCTTGAGTATGGTAAAGATAATGTTGTTATTGTTGTAGTCCTAGGGTACCCCACTGGTACATAGGGCCCTCACAAGTTGTCTCCACTTGACCCTGTCTTGCGCTTGCTCCATGACATCACTCCAGGTCACATCGGCAGTACTCATATATAGCGTAATCTTATCTTATCTTATATCTTTAAATGAGCAATTCTTGTATATATATATATAATCTGAATCTCGGAAACGGCTCTAATGATTTTCATAAAGTTTAGTATACAGGGGATTTCGGGGGCGATAAATCGATCTAGCTACGATTTATTTTCACAAAATGTTGTTTTATTCGTGTTTTCAATAATCAACTTTATCGATAATTTTGATTTTTTTCTTTAAATAACCAGTTCATTTTTTTTTATTGTTCTGTCGGTAAGATCGAAAAATATTATTCATATTTCATCATTTTATCAATATGTAATTCGTATAAAAATATAATTTCTAAAAAACACAATTTATCAAAAAAAAAACTATTTATCTAGTTTTAAATATAACTATGTAGTTTTAAATATAAATATAAAGAGTAATACATACTGGGCTGCATGTTTTCCCATAAAATTCGAATGTATTTATCCCGATGCGGATGCGTAACCTCATCATTAAAGCCGAGGGCGTGCAGCAATGAATGCATTATATTCGTATGAAGCATACATTCGAAGCCCAATGTTACTATCTGTTAAAAATTCAACCAATTTACGTTACTGTCTTTTTAACGATTCCGACCCACCTACTGTTAAAGTGTTCACAGACCACACACTTAAATTCCGCTACCAATCATGATTCTCAGATATACCGTATGACTGTTTACAACTGTAACTGTTACAACTGTAACTGTTACAACTGTAACTGTTACAACTGTAACTGTTACAACTTTATGACGACGCGTGCAGCTGAAAGTAAGTATTGTACTTTTTGACGAAGCATGTTGCTGATAACTTTATTTCTGTAATCTGACGAAGCATGTTGCGGATAATAACATGTACTTTTAGGTTAGGTGTTCTTTTTTTTAATAATTTAATAAAGTTTTAAAAATTAAAAAAAAAAATTAAAAAACTGTAACTGTTAAAACTGTAACTGTTACAACTGTAACTGTAAGAACTGTAAACAGTTTTCCGATGTATGTAACTTTCGTGAACTACCCTCCCACCGCCCAGCGACTATTATCGACTAATTAATGGAGCTCAAACATCCTCCTCCTCTCAAATTGTTCGCTTATTACGAATATGGAGAGTAGAGATAAGCCGAACTCTCTTACATAGAAAACAATTTAAAAAGTGTCCAGCTGTAAATTGCAATTTACATCTGATAAACCCATCTTAATAGCGCTAGCGTAGCAAATTATATTATTATTAATATAAATATAGCGGTTTTGAACGGAGTAAAGTGTGCCGAATTCAATAAATTAATATAAAAATTTGTAGAGCTATTTTTTAAATTAAACCTCTTGCTACGATGGCTACACCTGAATTGATCGCTTTTCAACGACACCATAAATATACCGACTTCGTGGTCATATTATGTAGAATTAAAAAAAAAGAGAAAAAAAAAAGTGTTTATTAAAATTTTGAATAATCATTTATTAGCCTTGAACCCACCATACAGGGGTCACTAAAATACTATTAATTGAATACGACGATAATAAGTTGCGACTTGTACTTTATTTGTTGCGCTAAAAGGATGGAAGCTAGGGCATTACCTGGTTCGCGGTAACAAAGTTTATAGACAATGTCATAAGTGCTTTGCGCCTTTTTGATTTTTTTCGTGCCTATGCTGGTAACCTCCAGGGGTTATACCAGTTTCACCGAGCGAGTAGGTGAGCTCACGGGGCTCTAACCCTAGCTCTAACTAGCCCTAGCAAGAGCACATCTTCGCAGAATCTACCACCGGATCGGAAAGGCGACCCAATGAGAAGATCCGGTAAGAAACTCAGTGGGCTGTGTCTGTGGGTTAGTTTGCACGTCGAAACCGCCGCGAAGGGTTCGACGAGCAAACTAACCGATCGGTGGCCTGGGCTTTGGATACCCAAGATCACCGATAGTGGATCGGCAGGAATCGCGCAGAAATTACAATTTGCACCATATCGCAANCTACCACCGGATCGGAAAGGCGACCCAATGAGAAGATCCGGTAAGAAACTCAGTGGGCTGTGTCTGTGGGTTAGTTTGCACGTCGAAACCGCCGCGAAGGGTTCGACGAGCAAACTAACCGATCGGTGGCCTGGGCTTTGGATACCCAAGATCACCGATAGTGGATCGGCAGGAATCGCGCAGAAATTACAATTTGCACCATATCGCAATTATTCCGTCCGTTCACGATTGCACGATGTAACTTTGGAAAGACGTTGAATTTACATGAAATATCCATGTAACATCAACAATTCAAGATTTTTTTTCTGTTATGATACGCAAATGTATACGGGTTCAAACCATATCATTCATCAGTGGGTATTTTGAAAATCACGCTTCGTCCGATCACCGTTCTCATCAAACCCGTCGCTTGCGACGAAGGGCTCGACGAGCGAATTAACCCACATACACAGCCCACTGAGTTTCTTACCAGATCTTCTCAGTGGGTCGCGTTTCCGATCCTGTGGAAGATTCTGCGAAGCACTGCTCTTGCTAGGGCCAGTGCCCTTGGCCTCGGTTTGAGCCCCGTGAGCTCACCTACATGTTAGGGCGAAGCTGAAATAGCCTCTCAAGGCTATCAGCATAGGTTTTTTTTTCCACAGGAGAAAATCGCCGGATTCCCACCCGCTCGGCAGGTGGGGTATGTGGGAGTCGAACCTCACTAAAAACTCCTGCCGCTCACAGCCGGCGCCCTACCCCGGACCGGGCGGGAGCCCAGTCGGAGCTATTGAGACGGCAGGACAGGGTTTACGCAGAGCATATTACATCCATCCCGCCGTCCCCCAGACGCCGGACCGGCGGCCGCCAGTAACATGACCGCCGGTTCCCTCGGTCGACGGGCCAAGAGCCAGCATTAATGGCGCCGCGCTACACCTTCCCCCGAAGCGGTCGGGGGAACGCGACCTACCACGCCGCCCCACGCCTAGGTTCCACCCCGCACAAAGCGGGTGGAGCCCGAAGCTCTTAGGGGGCCGGGTTACGGACGGGACCCCGGTCCCGACCCCCTGCTCGGCGGCGGCAGGTTTCTACGTAGTGAGGAGAGCTTTGCCTCACTCGCCCCGCCGCCTCCTTCTGCGAGATGGTGCACTCGCAGAAGTCGAGCATAGCCTTCCAAGACTCGTCGCTGCTAAGTATCAACGCCACGACGCCTGGCAGCGACAAGTCCGGTCCTATCTTTGCGACAAGGACACGGCGCTGCGCCTCCCAAGCGGGGCAGACAGCGAGCGTATGCTCCGCCGTGTCCAGGTCGTGTCCACAATGGTGGCACCTCGTCGTCGGCTCAGCTCCTATCCGGTGCAGGTACTTCCCGAAGCATCCGTGCCCAGTCAGCAGCTGCACCAGACGGAAGGTGAGGCGTCCTCAGCCACGATTCATCCAGTCATCAAAGACTGGGTAAACCGCCTCGACGGTCCGTAGACCCCACGTGGGGTTGGCCAACCGCCTCGACATCAGCATAGGTAGGAAAATTTATATTTGCTCACATTTAACGGTGTATTCACAATACGATTGACATTGTTGACACACACACAGAGTAGACAGCGTTGCAAAAGATAACGCAAGAAAAAATCCAAAGAATGGTTGAGCGCATTGAAAAGAACAATTATTTCTGAACTTACTACTTCTTCATATTCTCGGACTTGTAATTGATGTGTACAATCTCTCTCCTTCTGAGGGTTAGTAAAATGTAGCCATGACAAGTTCTTATCTGCCGGCTTCGAATTTAAGCGTTCGAAATTCAAACACGACGATTTTTCAATTGTCTTCATAGCTAACCGGATTCGATTCTCAATTATTTTATCTGTGCAAGAAAGATAATATACGTTAAAAGCGGACTTTTTGGCGGAAACGCGAGGAGTGAAGTTGTGTGATTTGTTTTATTTTGTCTATTTAGTGTTTCTTCGGGCTTAAATGTGTAATAACGGTGGTTTATTAACTGTTTAATATCTGTGAAAGTGCACAAATGTGGGAAAATGAAACAAAGCCGCTGGACGCAACTTCTCGGGATTCTCCAAAAAGTCCACTGAAAAAATCTTAGTAAATGACCACCATTTTACTAAGATTATATTTCATTCCATATCATCTCATTTCATTTAATTTCATCCCAGTTGATTAACGTCTCAAATTAATCATTTTCATTTCATTTCACTCCATATTATCATTTTTCATACAAATAAGAATATAAATTAAAATAAGACATGATTTAAAGGTCTTAGTTACCAGGTCATAAAATCACTTAAAAAATTACGTTAAAAGCGAAAGCTGTGCCTTTTTTCTTTTTTTTGTTTATAGGCTGTTTGGTATAATAAGTTTCTAAAATAAAGCAAACAAGTAACAATAACTTCTAGAGTAACATTGCTATATAAAAAATTATAACTTAGGCATAAAACTATGTAAGTTAGGTATTTTTTACTTACCGTAACTTTCTGGGTCGACATAATACGGAATGATTCCTAGGGACCATTTCAAACTCATCTCTTCAACTAAAGGATGTGGCGACTTAGCTACCGCTACTACAAAAATAAATAAATATATTCAGTAATTTTCTAATTCTGTCGCGTAAATTATATCGTTGTACGATACTATTATCGCTACCACCTCATTCCTTAAGATAGACGACGCAGCGGCGTTCACATTGTGGTGTCTATGGGCTAGGGTAATCACATAAGATAAAACGAGAACTCTTCTGTCGATCTAACGTAAAAAAAACTTAAAGTCCCTCCGTAAACAGTCCTACAACTAACTGTAAAGTTTCAAAACCATCGAATAAGAGACGTGTTATTAACACGCCTTTACTAGCTATCTAACACAAAAACACGCTTAAATAGCAAACCGAACTAACAGCGATGGATGGACGAGCTCACGGACCAACTGGTGTTAAGTGGTTACCGGAACTCATAGACATCTACAACGTAAATGCCGCCACCCACCTTGAAATATGAGTTCTAAAGTATAGTTTAGTTTCACGATTATACAATAACTTTACAATACCGTTATTACTTTCCAAGTAACTCCTTATNAAAAACACGCTTAAATAGCAAACCGAACTAACAGCGATGGATGGACGAGCTCACGGACCAACTGGTGTTAAGTGGTTACCGGAACTCATAGACATCTACAACGTAAATGCCGCCACCCACCTTGAAATATGAGTTCTAAAGTATAGTTTAGTTTCACGATTATACAATAACTTTACAATACCGTTATTACTTTCCAAGTAACTCCTTATCTCGCATTTACATTTCATAAATAATATAAGTAAACAAAACCAGTATAGTGTCTGAGTACTCGAAAACATTGCAATAGAAAGAATAAAAGTAAAATTTTATTTCAGTTTTATTAGTTTCGTTGTAACGTTCTACACCATAAAACTGTTAGTTTTAATACAAAAAACGAAATTTGATTTTGTATCAACAATATTATGACCGATTTCGAGTATGGCTTGCAAGAATCGATACATCATTATCGTCAAAAATTATAATTTGGCAGCACGGCCGAAGTGTAGGTACTAATTTTACAAATTTTTACTTCAATACGAATTGATGTGCTATCTGTACTCTTCACTCGTCAAGGATACCAAGGACCCATCAAGGCATTGAGCCGTTCGATGAAGATGATATACTTATATACTTAATATACTAGAATGAAAACTATTCATGAATATTGTAAACTTGGCGCTAAGTCCTAAGTGCTTTTTTATCTTTTAACTAGCGGCCCGCTCCGGCTCCGCTCGGGTCCTTAACAAACATTTCAATGATATTTGAAGTTGTTTTATTTTTTTAAATAAAAGAACACTTATTGCGGCATAACTATAATAGTTAGACATATGCTGTCGCGACATTTTTTGTAAATAACAAACATTATACAAAGTAGTAGTACATTATTTTATTCTATCATCAATAGTTTTCGCAGGGCACGCGAGGTAAAGAATATTTTAGGTATTTTTTTTTACACCTTGGAGTTTTACATTATTGGAGTTTTAGTAAAGATCCCTAATTTTTTTCAAAAAGATTATAGGATATGTCACTCGGTAATAGTGTAGCTTCCAAGCAGTGAAAGAATTTTTCAAATTGGTTCAGTAGTTTCGGAGTCTATTCAATACAAACAAACAAATATTTCCTCTTTATAATATTAGTATAGATGACTGTATAGCATTTTCCTTCACATTGTAGTATACAAGATACGGTAAATAAATATAGAATTGAAAGTTTGTTTAATTTATAGGTAAACTCTTTGGCTTGAGATGTTAAGCTGTATTTTTTTTTCTTATGTATCTTTAGCTCTTAACGTGTACCTAATAATGATGGCTTATTAACCATTTAATATATGTGAAGGTGCACAAGTGTAGGAAAAAGGTATAGATTCGCTGCGTGTCTTCTTGGTTCCTTCCAAAAATTCATACTACTCTTTGTAAGCCATCATTTTACTGAGAGGTTTTTTCATTTCATCTCATCTGACACTTACTATATATTGTACCATCTCACCATACTCAATTTTATTTCATCCAATTCATTCGCATTTATAGAGCTTGTTGTTGACTAGATCAAAAATGTATGGATGCAATCAATTATTTTTTAGCAATTTAACATAAAATTAATTAGTCGAATCTAAAATACTTATAAGTTATTTTTTTATTCTTATCGTTACTTTTACATTTGAAGCAGAAAAGGTGGAATCTCTTTTTCTGTCTAAGACCCATTCAGTAGATCGATTCATTGTTTAAAGAATCGATCTTCTCTGATCGAAAAATGAATCTTCGAAAAATCAATCTTAGATAGTTTATCCCTATGTCGAAGCACATCTCTGTGTGTCGTACATAGATAATACACGGGTGATGGAATAAAGAACTAAAATGGAATGTCTATGACTATAAGTAATCTGTAAATGGTGATAATTGATAAGAGTTCATGTTTTAGAATTGTTATTCTTTTTTCGCGTAGAATAGAACGTTCTAGTTATTAATTGTGTTCATTGAGAACAATGCTTCGTAATTTCCTTGTCCCGGTTGTATTTTTGGCTGTACTATCAGCTTCTCTTGCGAATACGTCGACCGGTTCGGTAGAGTTAGACGAAATTTCGTTTAATAAAGTAATAAACAAATTTGAAGCTTCTCTAGTAAAATTCGACGTTGCATTTCCATACGGAGATAAACACGATGCTTTTGTTGCACTCGCGAAGGACTCTAAAGACGTGGATGAACTTTTGATAGCTGAAGTCGGCGTGAAGGATTACGGTGAAAAAGATAACGAGGTATTGGCAAAGAAGTACGGAGCTACCAAAGATAATTTTCCTGTAGTGAGACTCTTCCTCAAAGGTAAAAACGAACCAATACCATTTGATGACTCCCAAGGTTTCACCACTGATGAACTTCGACGATTTGTTCGCGAAAACACCGGCTTGTATCTAAGTTTACCGGGCTGCGTGAGAAGCTTAGACAAACTAGCTATTAAATTTATGAAAGCAAAAGGAGAGAACAGAAGAAAAGTGTTAAAAGAAACAGAAGAGCTGCAGAAAGAGTTTTCCGAAAAGGTATTAAACATTTAAATTTATTTTTAAATAACCATACATCTGTGATGATGTGGCATTGCTTATTTACAATCTAATTAATATTACTATCACATAACCTACCTTTTTGATCAATCAATTTACTGGTAGTACTGACTTGTGGGCCTGCACATGTAGATACCACCACCCTGCATATTTCTGCTATGAGCAATAATGTCATTCGGTTTGAAGGGTGAGCCAACCATTAGATTGTAAAAACGGAGACTCAGAACTCATGTCTCAAAGTGGGTGGCGGCCATGTTGTCCACGTCTAAGGGCTCTGGTGACCACTTAATACCAGGTGGGTTGTGAACTCACCCAACCATCTAAGCAATAAAAAACATTTCTTTACAATTCTATTTTAATTATTTTCGTCTGAAAATTCTATATATTTACTCTAATACATTTTAATAATCGCAATTTCAACTTTAGTTTTTTTTTGCTTCGTAAATAACAAGCTCATGAACCACCAGGTCTTAACTGGAGCTCATACATATCACAATCTTAGTGGAGCTACGAAGAAATTATATCTGAAAGTCTAGCCTATCTCAGTTGCTGTTTTAAAACTGCTGGTTCAGCAATCTCACTGCAAAAAAACTGCTTTTAAATGTAAATAATATTGAAATGTACTTGCACAGTAGTGAATGTTATTGTAAAATGATAGTCGTTTATATTTTAATAAGTGACAATATATTTATGAACCATAACTCGCACACTTATTTTTATTAATATTAGGATGACTGAACTACTTTCCATCAATGGAAACTTTCCACCAATGGAAAAACTTAAAACTGCTATGTTATAATATAAAACAAAATTACATACATGTTTTTGTTGCAAAAATATGAGGTTACTGAATAAAATGTACTAAATATGCAAATTAAATTACTTTTTAATTGTTACAGGAAGCTAAGTCTGCAAAAATCTACAAGACCATTATGGAGAAAATAATTGAAAAAGGCGATCAGTTTATCAATACAGAACATGAGAGAGTCAAGAAAATTCTCAGTGGCAAAGTTTCTGATGAGAAGAAAAAAGAAATAGGCATCCGAATTAATATCTTACAAACATTCCACTTATATGACAAACAACCAAACATACCCACAAAAGAAGACCTGTGATAAGCTATGCTCATACTGAATTTACTATTATTACTTTAGAAATAATATTTACTTTACACTCCAGTTATGATAAGTCATTCCTAAGATTTTAATCAAAATCTGATAATTTTTATAAATCATAAATTTTACGTTATTTAAGTGATTGAACAATAGAGATATTTTCAAAGGCTCCAAAATTTCCATTTACAGAGAGATGGCACACAAGAAAAAAATTTTTTATGTCATGTAATACTTAACTAACATAAGCATAAAACAATATATATAAATCCAGTTATTGTATTAATTTTGTGAAATTGAATGTCACATAGATATTTCAAATTAGAATTTTAATGAAAATTCAATAGTTACCTAACAGTAGCAATGTGTGGAAACCATTTTTATGAGGCAGTAAATTTTTCAATGTAAAATCAGAATATTTGTTTTAGGATTTTTCGTGTTTTAAACAGAGCACTTATGTTTTTTTTAAAAGGCACAAGAGAGTGATATAGTGTGGTGTGAAATAAAATATGTTATTTGTTTGTTTAAGAAATGCACAAATGAGTGATATTGTGTGGTTTTAAATAAATGTTTTTAAAACATTTTTATTTATTTAATATCTCCGTAATAAAATAAATAGTTTAATTATATGTTTTAGAGAAAATTATTATTAGTAATTATTTGATGATTGATGATGCTCAACAACCGCAATTTTCCGATTCCAAATACGAAATTCATTAAAATGAAAATGAAATGAAATGAAAACGAAATGAAATGAAATGAGATGATATGGGAAGAAATATAATCTCAGTAAAATGGTGGTCATTAACTGAGACTTTTTCAGTGGACTTTTTGGAAGATCCCGAGAAGTTACGTTGAGCGGCTTTGTTCACAACTTCACTCCTGGCGTTCCCGCCAAAAAGTGCAAACGTTTTCGTAAATGTCATTAAGACAGACTATACTATCACTATAATAATATAGAATATATTTATAACTAACACCAATAATTTTCAAGCGGAGAGTACAACTCGACCAAGCTAAGTTTGCACCTCGCTGGAATGCGGCGCCCCGCCCGCTTCGCCGCTCATCTTCCCGCAATCGGCTTGTCGCGTCACATAGACCTATATAGTACTCAATATAATCTTACTCTATGATAGTACTTCAGTGTCGCGTCAGTATCAAATATATTAAGTGTATAATCTATGGTCAGTACGGTTAGCATTAGCATCTTTGTCGCCGACACGCGTCTTAAGAGTTTTCGTCATACGAATTAACTGTTCTTGTTAGGTTTTTGTTGAAGTTTAGTTATATTATTGGACTATTTTTGTTAAGTTTTTGTTGAACTGTTGCTACTGAACGCTTAACGTTCATTTTTTTTACTTCGAGAGGATTGTTGTGTGCAACAAAATGAAAGGAAAGGAACACAGTGAAGGAAGAAACATAATCCTTAAAAAAGAAACATAAAGGAAAATTATTACTGAGCAATTGGGATACCAATTTAAAAAGTGAAAGAACGCCCGGGTGGTCTTAATACAAAAACCCGATATCGCTATATTCTAATGTACCTATGTATATTATATTGTTAAAAACAATAAATGCAAAGTAAAATCTAACAAACATTTGTTTACATTTTTAAGTCTTAGCGAATCCTTTTTTCAGACCATACCTAAGCGGCAGTGTGACGTAATCGATGCGAGGTGCAAACTTAGCTTGGTCGAGTTGTACCTATTACATCACAATGAGAACGCGGCCACTTGGAAAAATGAGATTGGAGTCTCAATTGTATACCTATAAGGTCTATCCCACCATTTATCATAAATAACAATATGATTTAATGCACTAAATTTATGCTGCATCGATGTACCGTATTTCCAATCATTTAAACTGGGTTGAGACGTAGTATACACGTCACTAGTGAACGCTTTACTGACATCGGACTATCATCAACAAATGAGAACATTTTGTATTACTTTTCCAGTCTAACAAAGTACTTTCTCATTTTGAATTTGGTAGTAAATAAATAAAACAATTTTCACGAAAAACATTTATTTAGAGCTTGGACCCAACTTAAAAGTAACTAGTAAGTAGTTGCGGCTTATTTATATGCCCACTCTCGAGTTTTATAAAAGGAATGTTCTCCAGAAAACATACACGCTAATAAAATGCCAAAGTGTGAATTAGCAAGTTTCGTTCGGACTGCGCGAGTTCCTGTATTGTGAAATATATAATCTATGATTGTGAAGTTCTAAGCAATATGTAAATTCTCGAATAGTAGAGTAGTACTACACAAGATAATTATTCGATTATATGCTGAGAAATCTGAGATCGATAAACTAAGAAATATTTTCACTGATCGAGTTGAAACTTCACAGACCAGATGTTGTTGCTTCAGAGGTTTTGTCGTATCAACATCCGAAGCGATGAGTCGTTTCAAAGGTTAATTAAGTAGTATTCACTAATATAAACATTTTAAGTTTTATACTCTGATCAAGGTTGACAGGAAGACAAAATTTACAAAAATGTCTTTGGGTTGGGTTATGTGAATTTAAACCTTTATTTTAATCCACCAAAATAAACTTATTGCCTTTCCTATTCTAATTTTTCATCGGAAACGCGGAAGTTATTTTTCCACTGAAATATTTCCCATTTTTTTAATCGTTACAAGAACGGGCTACAGATATATAGTAGCAACGGCCTCTAGGCGCGCGAGTTATTAATCCAGTTCAGATAATGCCAATACCAATAAACTAATATCTTGATATTTCAATAAAATTAGCCACATTTAAAATTACCGTAGATTGGGGGGAATCGGGACCTTTTCAAATCCAACACTTTTCAATGGTTTTTCTTAGGGTTATATCAATAAAATGAGATTTAAATGGTTCCGGAGGCTTAAATTTTTATATACGATATGTGCTTTATTATACATAGTTCATTACAAAATATACACAAAAACTGAAAAAACTAGCTTGACCCGATTCACCTTGGCTTTGGGGTAATTCAGATTACGTATGGGGACAATAATTTTTCGATAGGGCTGGCACTATTTAGTTGTTAGGTAGGTACCTAACTTTAGGTAATTAACTTTTTAATATCTTTAATGAATTTCAACACTTTGATGACTAAATTAAACTATTTAATATTCACAACTAAATACATAAGTCATTTTCAGTTCAACAAAATTGAATCTAACAATTCAACAAAAGTATTGAGACATCACAGATTTGCCCCTATTCTAACTCTAGTCTCTATTCCCCCCAATTGGCACCAATCTACTGAAAGATGTTTGATAAATTTCACGATCATATATTATTTCTCTGCATTTATTTTTATTACAGGACTCAACTTTCGAATATAGATGTTTCAAATTCTGACATTTTATTAGGAAAATTTCTTCACACTAAAACATTATTTACAGCAGTAAAAAATCATACCAAGTGCAAAACAGTAATATCTATTAAATCTACATAGAAATGAGCAAATGAAAAATATTTTATAAAGCAACATGCTTCTTTAGTACTAAACATATTTGTATAAATTTTTAATCATAACAACGACTATCGAAATGTTAAGAAAAATCTGTACAATACATTGTAAGAAGCCATATTTAATAAGTAATATTCGGTTTCTAGCTGCCAGTTATGGTTGATTCGAGATAATAGTTTATTACTGTAATAAAAATTATGAATGAGATTCAATTTTAAAAACAAATAACTGAATAGACATTAATTTCTACCAAAGTTAATATTATTTTTCAATGTATTGTGTTTGATTTTATATATTAAATACCATAAAAGGAGTACGAAAGCAAGAACACGTCTGTCTATTTTTGATCTTATTCAAACTATGAATGCAATCTAGCAGCGTAGATTAAAACTATTATATTTTAATTCATTCCAATGCAATGTTCCCATTGTCTCATAAAAAAAAGAATCCAAAATTGAAGTTGAGAAGCAAAAACGCTAATGTCTTTAACATGTTAGAAGCAATCAATCATGACCACCAAAATAAAATAGATCAAGAGGCTCCAGATGTTATTTACATAGAAACTTGTGTTTGATATTTATAGTATTTACCAACAGATTTTGATTTTAAATTAAGGTAAAAATGGAAGAAAATATGATTAAGTAGTCTAGAATAGGGCAGAAAAAATTAAAAGAGCTTTGGAACCTTGAAACTGTGCTAGAACAAAGGTTGAAAGGTATGTTGTTCTTATTATACATTGGCAGTTTGTACAGTCAGTCAATTCATACTTTTGCTATATTATTAATTTTAACAAAATTCATCTGTTTCACTTCACATGAAGGTTTTGTACCGTCACAAAACGAAACCATTGGAGCTAAAGAAAATAAGGGAGAAAAAAATGTGATATTACAGAGCCCAATTTAGAATTTAGGGTTTAAAATTGCTAAATTATATTATTAAAAATATGTTATGATTTTTGTTGACTGTTATGTTTGCTGCCAACCATTAGATGTAAAGTCGCCGGATCTTTTATTTTTTAGACAGCGTTTTAGATTTTATACCCCACAATTATTATAGTATTCATGAATTCTACAAGATGTTCGGAAAAACATTTCTTTCAAAGCACGAAAGTTGTTGTATGTTTATGAGCATTGATTTTCTCAACTCAACATGTAAATGCAATTATTGAAATTGTAATGTAGAATTTAAAAATTATTTCATCCTAAGAACAGTAAAAGGAATAAATTTTGTTAAAATCCATTTTAGTGCCTCAAATTTTAAACTTTTTTATTTACATAGAGAAAAGACTTATTGGCTTCTTATTATGTCATTACAAACATAGTTAAAATTGTTAAAGTTAGTTAACCTAATCTGATTTTTTGTTTTCAACTTTCAATTCCTTAAGCTTTAGTACTACACCATCGGAGTCTGTCTCATCATCTTTGTCCGATTTTTCATTTATTGAAGACTTTTCAGTACTCTTTGGTTCAGGTGTGTCAGTATCCTCACTTCTAGTTATACTGCTTTCATCATCAGATGACTGATCCTGACAATAAAGACTACATTTTGTCCTCACTATTTCCTGAGCTTCTGCAAACTTTGCCTTCCATAGTTCGGCATCTGAAGTAATTAATGATTAACATTATTAGTGACATTTGACTTTTAATAATAATACATGTGTATAAATGGAAAGGAGAGATTCCAAGCTGAATAAGAGCCACTCTTACATGCGTAGATGCTTTGATAATATACAAAATATGTTGCTAAGTTGATTACAGTTATTCTAACTCCCATTCTAGTATTATGTATGACAACAGTATTAATAAACAGTTATTAATAAAAAAATTAAAATTAATTACACCCCTATGTAAAGCTATGTAAATGTGTAAAACAAAATAAATTTCCAATGTGTGCTCAAATCAGTAATTTATTTAAGTAGATCATATTAATAAATATACCTAAGAATATTATGGTCTCATTCATGAAACAAAAATTAGCAATTTAGATGTTGCTTTTTACTCTTTCTCTGTTACATAAAGGTGTAAACAATCACATAAGTATATTTTTTATTCCGAATATATAATGTTGCTTTTTTAATGATGTTTTCTTGATATTTTTTGAGACAAATCACAAAAAGATTCCATAAAAGCTATAAAATTCATAGCTTATCAGTACCAATATAAAAACGCATACTCGTTGAAAAAAAAAAGAGGTTTCTTTATCTTGCTTTTATAATTAACATAAACCACTTTGTGTGTGTACATATTTCCCTAGATTAACATGCTATTTTATAATATGGAGTTCCAAATATTATTGCTAAATTATTGAGACTAAAAAATGTTCTGGACTATTCATATATGCAGGTATGTAACCATATAGGTACATATTTTAGGTAAGTAGAGGGATAAGCATATTTGCAATTTTCAGATTCTTTTGATATCACTAAGCTCTTCATGAATTTCTAATAATTACTTACTCTGAGGGTTTCCAAACTTGATGGCCAGCAATTCTTGTTTGCATGTCTCATCAGCATAATCAGCAAATACAGACCAGTTGAATGCTCTATCGGATCCACAATGTACATTCATTCTAATATCTGGGGTAATGAAATGATTAGCGCATACTTTCAGAGTCTTATCTCTCCTCATTACAACCCGCACAGTGTTGTTCAGTTTGTGACGAAGAAGTTTAACGTCACCTGTACCTCTTTCCTGTAATAAAAATATAGTTGAATAGTAATTGTAATTACAATTACTTCATAATTATGAAGCTAATATTTCATAAAATTTAAACTTGTTTGGAAAAACATGTTTTTTCTTCTTCATATAGGTTAGCTTTGTCTATATTGTACATAGCACAGAATTTTAGTCTTAGTGTGATTAGAACTTTTTTAATAATTCACCAAATTGAATAACAAATTTCAAATTTGATACATGAACTAATTCTAAAACTCAATTATTAAAATGGATACTAACTTTCCACTCATGATCGCCGGTGTCGTAGCGATAAAGACGAGCTCGTATCTTTGCCAGCTCCTCTTCATCTTCTTCGTGAGTCTGAATATCTACCAGGGGCAAAGATACGATGGGTTCGAAGTGTGGATCATGTTCCGTAGCTTCTGGATCTCCACTTTCGCTCTCACTGTTTCGACGCACGCTTTCTTCACACTTAAAAAGACAAACAAATAAAACATATCTATAAAAATAATATAGTTTGGACCTCACAATTTATTCATATGATTCAAACACCTACTGGAGACGACATTCTGTAAATTTGCAGGTATGTAGCACTTGAGTTTTATTATAAATTATCGCGAATAAATTAAAATTTAAACAAAACAAAGTCGGCGAAGTTCAGTTGAGGTCATAGATTACTAAACACAAATTAAGTGTAATATCTATGACAATAATTTTTTTTAAGGAATTTTATGACCTGGAACTAAAACTTTTAGGTCATGTCTTATTTTTATATTTTTTATTTTTATGAAAAATTATATAATGGAGTGCAATGAAATGAAGATGATTAATTTAAGACATTAATCAACTGGAATTAAATGAAATGAAATGAGATGAGATGATATCGGATGAAATATAAACTCAGTAAAATGGTCGTCACTTACTGAGATTTTTTAGTGGACTTTTTGGAGGATTCGGAGAAGTTACGTCCAGCGGCTTTGTTTCAATTTCCCACATTTGTGCACTTTCACAGATATTAAATAGTTAATAAATCACAGCTATTACACATTTAAACTTGAAGAAACACTAAATAGACAAAATAAAACAAATCACACAACTTCATTCCTCGCGTTCCCGCCAAAAAGTCGACACAAATTCAACTATTTAGTAAACGCCAAAGCAGCAATCGTGTATCACAAGGACTATCTATGATATTCACTCGACTATTAGGTAATATTTTACTTAATATTGTTTGATTCAAGAATACAAATTATGTTAGCACTGGTTCCGCAAAGAAGGTCCGCTAAAGTGACTGGAGTTAAAAAAGTACTTTGATTTTGTCGATCTCTTTAAACTAACTAATCGGCTGCAGGGAAAGGGTCTGCTTGACGACAGACTCGGATAGACTATCAAGAGGACAATCGAATGTCCGAGTGTCTGCTAGCCAAGAACCATGAAAAGGCTATTAATAACAAACTCTAATTAGTGACATAGATTCTCCAAATTTGAGTTCCTATTTAACAAAATATATGATACCAAATGCATTAAGAAGTTTTATTTCTCTGAATTTTACTGCCATCATTTTATGCCAAAAATGATTGGACTCTAAGAGCTTCGTTCCCTTCGCTATTTCAATTCGACAAATATAATGCCGCTGTGTCTACTTTTGTTGTGGAAAATTAAAATTTAGCTACTAAGATAATGTATAGCTAACACTTACTTTTTCTAGTAATTACGAAGAAATGAAATCGAAAATTTAAAAAGGAATGAGCTGTAAGAATTAATTACATTTAATAGAATTTTCTCTATAAATAAACGTACACATCGAATATTAAACTTGTGTCTAAAACCTATCTTAAGAATTTGAAATGGAATATGTGTGTAGTTATAATAATTTTAAATGCCGTTTAATAACCATTGTATGTAGTTACCCACCTATTGATTGTAGTTATTCGTTACTTAAAAAAAAACTAAATTTGAATCTGCTGCCCTAAACACTATTTACTTTCCGTTTTTCTATTTAAAATCAAACATCTAAAGTGTACGTCGAAATCAGACGGAAGTAAGTTTACCACAATCGTGTCTTCGAGCTGAAGTCACTGACTCATTAAACTACATTTTTCCGGCGACCTATTTCACGTAGTTTATTTTCAGATTGTTTCTGTAATGTTTTTTCGGGAAACCGTAACATGTGTTTAGCTGGATCTATACATATATGTTCTGATTTTCTCAATTTCCGCTTGCTCTGATATACTAGGATACATTTCATGGACTCATTTAGTTTCATTGCTTTCACTAACGATTTAACAGCTTCTACAAGATTGACTGTAGTATTAAAAATACTCAAATCTTTCAGGAGAAATCAAAATGCAGAACATTGCAAAGATGATAACAGAACAACTACGGAACCCAAATGAACTGGATATTAGCCTACGAATGGAGTTTGGACCCTTTGAGACTGTTCACAAATGGAAACGCATGTCTGAATGCTATGAATTTGTGGGTGCCAAGTATGTGACATTGTTCATATCAAAATTATAATAGATCAGGAAACAACTTATTTAACTAAATACTTGTGCTTATTATTCAATTGTATATTTATATTTCAACCTCTAAAGTAAGTGTCACTTTGTATAAAACTATGTACTCCTTAAAGAGTATATAAAATAATATTTTTTAGGCGTAGCAAACACACAGCAATCGCTTATAAAGATGCAATATATGTGTTTGGAGGTGACAATGGAAAGTCAATGTTGAATGATCTGATCAGGTTTGATATAAGAGAGAAATCATGGACTAAAATGGGCTGTATGGGTATACCTCCAGCCCCAAGATATCATCATTCAGCTGTGGTAAGTTTCTGTTTTACTGTTAATGATAAATTATCTTAAGGATTAGATGAACACATAATTAGGTTATATTAGCTTATTTTAATATGTTTGAAGCAGAATAACTTATATGAATGTTCACCTAATTGTTGAAATTGGGCCATAGACCTCAATATATAGAGAGAAAGATTAGCATTTTTAGTATTATATATTCTCTTTACTTTAATTCCAATTTTTTTATTGTCAATTCAGCGGCTTGGCTCTGCCCCTGGCATTGCTGAAGTCCATGGGCGACGGTAACCACTCACCGTCAGGTGGGCCGTTTGCTCGACTGCCTACAAGGGCAATAAAATAAGGCAGGCGAGCAAACGGCCCACCTGATGGTGAGTGGTTACCGTCGCCCATGGACTTCAGCAATGCCAGGGGCAGAGCCAAGCCGCTGTCTACCGTTAAATTGATTATGCATGTTTATATACTCTCAGGATATGTATAAATAAAGATATATATTCGATTTTTGATGGTTATCACTATTAATTGCCATGCTCTGTTTATGTTAATCTCTTTTTTCTGTCACCTAAGCATTGAGTTCTAATAATAGTTTAGCTTTGACTGAATAGAAGGAAAAGGATCTTTGCCGTTTCCTGACAGCTTAAACACGTTTGAAATTAATAATGAATGCCTAAGTTATTATTTTGTGACCCTTAATTTTTGTTTTGAGTTGCATCTCTTTGTTTAATTTGTAGGTACATCGTTCATCAATGTTTGTGTTTGGAGGCTACACTGGTGATATACTGGCAAACTCGAATCTAACAAATAAAAACGATCTTTTTGAGTACAAGTTCCAGAATGCACAATGGGTGCGGTGGAAGTTTACTGGACAGTAAGTTTTTTTTTTTTTTTAATGGCAATCTGCCGATACTTTCAGCAATTTCTGTCAGTGTCGTGTTATGGCTACATATGGGACAGTAAGATAATATTGAACATATAAAATTAAATCCTGAACTCAGTCCAATACTATTTCTTTGATCTCTATTTTGAGACCTTAATATATTACTTAAACAAACCTCATTCAAAGAATATCGAACGTATTATGTATTATCCATTTAGAATTTGGATTGTACATATTGTAATTTGTAAAGTTGAAATCATGGATGCCCTTATTCCTAAACTTTTAAGTTTAAGATAGTAAAATTTTGGATTATTTGTGTAGGGAGCCAGTACCAAGATCAGCACACGGAGCTGCTGTATATGATGACAAGCTATGGATCTTTGCAGGTTATGATGGGAATGCCCGTCTTAACGACATGTGGACTATCGATTTAGTGGTATGTAATACACTTTTTGAATGTTAACATTGCCTAAAAATGTTTGTGATCATCATTATTTGAAATGATACAACAGAAGGTTGGGAAAGCTATTATAATAATAACAAAAGAATATAAAAATTTGGAAATTCAAATCATGAATTTCTATGGCAATGTTCAATGATGCAAATGATTGGTTGAATGTATTCACAGTTGATTCATGTCTAGGGAGAAACTCATCAATGGGAAAAAGTGGAACAGAAAGGCGAATGCCCTCCTACATGTTGCAACTTCCCTGTGGCTGTTGCTCGAGGGAAGATGTTTGTATTCAGTGGACAAAGTGGTGCTAAGATTACCAATGCCCTTTTCCAATTCGACTTTGAAAGTCGCATGTAAGTTAAATTTAAAATGCATTTTTTTTATTACATAATAGCATTTTATATAATTAAATTATATAAATATTATAAAATAACACTATATCTATACTAATATTATAAAGCCGAAGAGTTTGTTTGTTTGTTTGTTTGAACACAGTAATCTCAGGAACTACTGGTCCGATTTGAAAAATTATTTTAGTGTTAGGTAGCCCATTTATTGAGGAAGGCTATAGGTTATATATATAACGTCATATTTCTATATAACATCACGGTAAGACCAATACAAGTGGAGCACCAATAAAGAATGTTTCAAAATAGCGGTTTAAATAGCTCCTTAACAATTTATAATTCAAAAATATTTTCACTTTCTACGTAAATGAAGTAGGGGGTAAAATTTAGCGTTATGCCAAAGTAACTATTCCACGCGGATGGAGTCGCAGGCAAAAGCTATAATAGTTTAGTGATTGGTGATGTGCCATACTGTCTCGTGTCGTGCCGCTTTATCGAAGTGGACGTGTGATAATTTACTAATTACGATCATTATATCAGGCTTACGATACTGCATTTAAAAGAGTTGTAAATGATTGTCAAAACAGGGGCTAAGAAAATTCAATCCGAAATAAGAACTTTTTTAATTTGAAGTCGATTAAACATTACGCACATGTCGTCTTCTCGCATTAAAACTGTATAATCTCAAAATTTACTAAATTTACAGGAGAGTGTTTTAAAGACTTAACATGTAAGCTTTTTAATATTAATCATATTTGCAACATTAATTTTTTACCAGTTACATTATCTGTCTTTTAAAGTAATATTAAATTATATATTAATTTTGTTAATAGTAGTCAAAACATAGGTAAACTAAAAAAAAAAAACTGAACTACGCTCTTTTGACAGTATTTATGAGAAAAATACTGGTGATACCAAATGTTTACGCATATTAACTCAATTTCGAATATTTTTGGAAATCGTACACTTTTAATGCGAAAAGGCGATGTGTCTGTAGGGACCACAAATGTCCCCATAGCAACTAACAATTATATGTATGTGTTAGCGGTAATTATATTGCAATGATGCTACGCCTGTCTCGGGATTGTCGGGCTGTCGATAGCACGTTAGGTTGTAATCCCAATACACGTTCCAATATACTTTGGGAAGTCGTCGTGGCCTAACGGATAAGACGTCCGGTGCATTCGTGTTGAGCGATGCAACGGTGTTCGAATCTCAGGCGGGGGTACCCATTTTTTTAATGAAATACGTACTCAACAAATGTTCACGATTGACTTCCACGGTGAAGGAATAACATCGTGTAATAAAAATAAAACCCGCAAAATTATAATTTGCGTAATTACTGGTGGTAGGAACTCTTGTGAGTCCGCGCGGGTGGGCACCACCACCCTGTCTATTTCTGCCATGAAGCAGTAATGCGTTTCGGTTTGAAGGGCGGGGCAGCCGTTGTAACTATACTTAAGACCTTAGAACTTCTTAAGATGGGTGGCGCATTTACGTTGTAAATGTCTATGGGTTCCAGTAACCACTTAACACCAGCCCACAGCCCGTCTAACCAACTAAGCAAAAAAAAATATTTCTTTTTCATTCGAAGTCGATTAAGCACATTTGTCTTTGCTGTCAATAAAAATTGTTCGGTTGTTTTAGTTGGACCAGGGTGTGTACGGAGCATCTGCTGAGGTGTGCGGGGCCGGCCCCGGCGCGGCGCTATGGGCACGTAATGGCGGCGCACGGGCGACATCTGTACGTGTTTGGGGGGGCAGCCGATAACACGTTGCCCGCCGATTTGCACTGTTACGATCTCGATACGCAGATTTGGTAAGTCCCATCCGTATTGTATCAGAACAACGATTGTATTTGCTGATTAACACATTGACTGCCATGTACTTAAGTGAAGTAATTAAGTCGATTTCTCTCTTGGATCTTCTTACCAAGGCACTGGAATATCTAGTAGACTCTAGGAGAGACGAATCCGAAGATACATTAACAAACAAAAGAAGTCAAAGTTAGGCAATCCAGGCGCTTTAGTAACAAAAATCGACATTAATTTAGTGGGATGCGTAGGACACCAGTGACCTACATGGCAGTCAACGTGTTAAAAAAAAGTTATATGCCAGACAATAGACAAACCTTTGCATATCTTTTAAAAATTCAGATGGACTCTTTGGCGGGAACGCAAGGAGTGAAGTTGGGTCGAATGTTAATTCGTGTGTTAATTTTGAGTATGTTTTCAGGTTTAAATATGTAATAAAATTTAGTATCTGTAAAAATGAAACAAACCTCTTGGCTACAGCTTCTCGAGTTCACCAAAAAAGTTCACTGAAAAAGCCTCAGTAAACAACCTGACTTTTTTCATTTTCTAACATTTCTCTTCATATAATTTTTCATATAACAGAATATGTACCGGTAAAATGGGGCGATTAGGGATTGAAAGGCGAATCGGGAAAAAACCGGGAAAATCTTTCGACGCTCAATATAAGTTTTATATTCGTTGCAAAATCTTCCATTTTTTGTAGTTTAATAGTTGAATGTTGAAAGTTCCCAAAACAACTCTGAATATGCATGATAATAGCTGCTAACTTTTAAAAAATCGCGTTTCAAATTAACTTCCTGTGGTGGTAATTATTTTAGTGCTAGAAACTTTGCTCTCTTTTATTTATTTGATAATAATAGAAGACGACTGTGATTTATAAACGTTATTTAGTGTTTGAACCAGCATATATATTAAAGGTGAGTCTCAGTTGTTATTGGTTTTAATGTATTTGATAAAATAAAAATACATGTAAAAATATGTTGTTTTTGGGGATATTGGGGACGTCTTAGGTACAAATAACAACGAAAAAGGGGTCAATTGGGATAAGAATACGTGAAATGGAAATGACCTAAGTATAAATAGGTACAGATTTGTAGGGTTGTCTATGTAGTTAGAACAATATTTTTTAAATTTGTTGGTAAAAATCTGGTTTATTCATGATGTTTTTGTCTAGAACTTTTATTCAAAATTATCAATGTGTTATTTTATTGTTTGGTAAATATTTATATTATCAGTTACGTATTGTTTTCTATTTTTAGATATGCTTCGCGTGTACATATCAAAGAGTGCAAAGCCTTTTATGAGATATGATCCTTTAATATTAAAAACAGCAATAGAAGCCTATGAAATTGGGAATAAGTCTTTAGTTGAAATAGATAAGTAATTTAATATAAGTAAGTCGATTTTCCACAGACATGTAACAAGAACAATGAAATCTCAAGGTGGAAAAAATGTCTAAGTAATACATGATAAAATATTTAATATTTGTTCAAAGTGGTATTAATAATATATAGGTATATATAGGTATATAGTAATATTTGGTCACACCTAATCTCTTAACCCAGATAAAAATATCAACCCCTAAGTACTTACCAAGAACGAAGAAATATAAACTGTTTCTAAGAAAGCCCATTATTGTTAATGCACTATCGCTTGCACCTATAATTGAGGTGACATCTGCCATGTACTTTTGTCAGTTTTTGAATTTTTTTTATTGATAATCACTTCGTTGTTGCAACTAAATAAATAAATAAATTAAAACCTAGTAGTGCAAACCCTAGCAAATTTCTCATTTCGTCCCAATTAACCGCAATTTCTGGGTAAATAGGGATTACACCTATTTTTGCATTTTTTGCTTAAACTGGAATGCTAGTTGCATAGTTTTAAATTGGAAAACAAAGATGCCCCCAAGACTCAATGATTTTGATCCTGATATAGCATTATATACATCAACAACTACCTTAAAATTGCTCATAAAGTTGGAATTCGTCCCTAATCGCCCCATTTTACGGTATCTATTTAATCATTGAAGATTTTTTAAACTCGAAACTGGCAACAATGGTATTGCAAAAAAATAATTACCATACATAAAAAAAAAACGAAAGATTCAAATGTGACACTTGTACTCCACTTGCGATCGAAGCTGTACCTTGAAGACCCCAATATTTTGGAAGTCAATTTATATTTACTTAACAATCAATTTCGATGTTGAATACCGCTTGAAATATCATAATCAATCTAAGGCATCTCAGTAATATCAGTCATTTCCACGTAAATTACTTCAATTAATGAGTCATTTACGGTTCCACAGACAGGGAACCAATCAATGATAAAATTATTTCAATGTCTCACTCCTACGAAAATTCTTGGAACATTTGTTTTAAATTTGGCACTGTTGGTCTTACGCACGCTGCGGTTGGAATGATAATTTTAACAGTGATGTCCAGTGACGTGGTCCCTCATTGGTATCCATAGCAGTCCGTGACCTCTATTTCTTCGTTAGTAAATATAACTGAATACATTACCAGGTCAGTCGTAAATCCGGCTCCCGATTCGCAAGTACCATCAGGGCGACTGTTCCACGCGGGCGCTGTCGTTGGCGACGCCTTGTACATCTTCGGTGGCACTGTCGATAACAACGTTAGAAGCGGAGAACTGTTTCGATTTCAGGTAGAGCGAAATCACCTTTTAACATTTATGTGAAGAAAACTATTAATCTGGGTCAGATGATAAACCAGGACGGCCGTGTGGAGTATTTTTTAGAATTTAATATTAATTTAAATTCTGGCAACCCAAAATTGTAGATTGGCATTCAAAGTTAGTAGGTAGTCAGAAAAAAAGGAGATTAGTGTGTGTGGTGATGGTCAGATGTAAAAGTGATTATGTTGTTATTTTTTGTGTAAAAAATTAAAAATAAATAAAGAGATATATATTTCTCGTTATTCCGCCGCCCTACATATATAAGCATATATTTTTAAAATTTTATAAGCATTTACAATGTATTTATTGCATAAGAACAGAAGGGAAATTGAAATAGCAGTTAGCTGGAAGTATATACTGTAGAACTGTGGGCTCTGGTGGTTAGAACTCATATCTCAAGACTCAAGGTGGGTGGCGATATGCTCCTTGTAACGTCTATGAGCTCAGGTGATCACTTGGGTATTCTGGAACACCAGCGGCATCGCCTGGGGCGGCCTGTCCCGCTTCGGTACAGAGTCGGCCGACGTAGAGTCTTTGACTATCGAGACCCGTCGATCGAGCGTCCTAGGGGTGACGCCGCGAGTCTGGTTATAGTGTTGACCGCGGGAACCCCCCTACTCTGCCTCGGGTTCTGACCTCGGGCTGAGATCGGACGTCGGGTGAGAGAGTGCAACTGAGTCGTGGTGGGTAGGGCCCTAAACCATCCTTGGGCCCGCGGTCTGCTCTCAACATCTGCAGACCGTCAAGTTCCACATACCTCCTAGACCTCATAGGAGGTTCGGCCCCCTCCCCGAAAAAAAAGTGGGTCGTTCAAATCAAATCAAATCAAAAAAAAATTATTCAACATAAATGAAACTACATAGTTGTTGAACGTCAAAAGAACTACCGCCAATTCACAAGAACTAGCCTCCGTCTTGAGAAGAATTGGCAAGAAACTCAACGGGCATGTTTTGTTTTTTTTTTTTAAATATGAGATAATTTTTTTAATATTAGATTTTTTTAAATATTCATTTTTACATGAGTATAATAACATAACAATTATTACAATATTGAAATGCCCGGAGCGAGCAACTCATTCCCACTTTGTGCAATCTTCTAGATAATCATTGACTTTATAGTGAGCTTTATTGCACAGATGTTCTTTAATAGTTTTCTTAAACCTATATATATGTAGGTTCTGAACATCTTGTGGGATTTTGTTGTACAGGCGCACAGACAAACGCCCGAATGAATTTTTTAATTAGCCCACCTACCCAATAAAAACTCAGGCATTCTTGTTACAAGTTCATATTCGTGTACCCTCAGTGTCAAGGGCAGGTAACACGCGTTCGTTGACCCCGATTTTGTTCACAGCTGTCCGACTACCCTCGTTGCACCTTGCACGAGGACTTCGGTCGCATTCTGAAGTCGCAGCAGTTCTGCGACGTAACGTTACTGGTCGGAGACGAACAGACACCAGTACTAGCGCACCAAGCCATGCTGGCTGCCAGGTCTCAGTACCTCAGGACCAAAATAAAGTTAGTCGCACTAATAATATCTTATATATAAAATTCTCGTGTCACAGTGTTAGTTACCATACCCCTCTGAAACGGTTTGACCGATTTTTATGAAATTTTATATGCATCATCATTAGATCTGAGAATCAGCTACTATCTATTTTTCATACCCCTAAGTGATAAGAGTTGTCCACCCCTAACATTATTTTTTGATTTTTTGGACAATATTTTTTTAGTTATAATGAGGCCTTATGTGGTTGAATGAGGTTTTGTTATTTTTATATTCCCTCATTGTTCACAGCTCTACATGCCTCTTTCACTCATTTACCACATCCTTACACACTTACAATAAGTTCAAAACAACATTTGCCGGGTCAGCTAGTAATACATAATAATAATAAACTTAGTTAGTTAGTAGCACACTCATTTTATTTATTAGTTTATGAAAATTAAATGTATTGATTTAAAAAATATATCCGTGTTGCCATGTTCATATTCATTCATTTGAAAAACCGTTTGTTGTCTGTTATATATATAGATCAATAGCTTTTTAAAATAACTTTTTAAATGTGCCTACTTAAATAAATAAATAAAAATGGAACCTTTGTACTTTTATAATAAAATGCTAATTTTTGCCTAAATATTGTATTTTAAATCTTTTCTTTTGTGTATTTTGCGATATCATTCATTAAAGTTCACTTTGTTCAGTCAGTATGAGAGAAAAGAACATTCATTTCAGATCTTAGTGATGTTTATTTATTTATTTATTTATTTATTTGGGAAACCAACAGTACAATACAAACCTATAATATTTAAAAAAATAACTAAAACAAAAACCAAACATGTTTCCACCATCAAAATCACATATAAGTACAAAATGAACAGAGAAGAGAAATTTAGAAATTTAAGTTTACACAAAAAACAAAAGCAACGCAATACGCACATATTATTATGTACATCAACTTACACTATAAAATTAAGTAATACTCATCGGACTAAATCACCTTACAAAAATTCCATGATATTCCATATTCCAATATTTATGCATTACTAGCGACCCGCCCTCGCTTCGCTTCGGAAACATTAAATTTTATTATTGATAAGCGAAGCCCGCCATGTTGCGCGCGGTACGACAACAACTGCGGGTGACGCCGCGGGGCGAAGTTTGTCTAAAAAAAGTAGCCTAAGTTACTCCTTATATCATAAACTACCTATTAGTGAAAGTCTCATCAAAATCGGTCCAGTCGTTCCAGAGATTAGCCGCAACAAACAGACAGACAGACAGACAGACAAAAATTGTATTTTATTTTGGTGTATGTACCGTATATATATTCATATGCATGTAGTAAAAAGCGGTTGTTTCAATACTACAAACAGACACTCCAATTTTATTTATATGTATAGATTAATGGTTAATATGACTTGTTTCATCAGGGAAGCCCGTGAGGAACTATTGAGTAAGATAGAATCGGGCGAAGAGGCGGCCTCAAATCCGTATTCGTACGACTCCCCGCCGCAGCTCACTGTAACACTCACCGAGGCCACACCAGAGGCGTTCAATATGGTACTCGACTACATATACACGGATAGGATTGACCCCACAGAGAAAGGTATGTAAAGAAATTTGGGTGCTTGTTAACAAAAAAAAACCCTTAATGGGTGTCCATTGAAGTCCATGAAGAAAAGTGAAATTACTAAAATCTATACGATTATTAAAAATGAAATTTTTTTGTTGACCGGAATGTCCGAAACGACTGTACCGATCAGAATCCTCAGAAGAAGAATATAGAAATGTTTAAATAATAATAATAAAATAATTTATTGTACACAGATCCAAATTAATACATTTAGATAAATAAAAGAAAAGAAAAATAAAAAGACAAAAGGAGGTGGCTCAGCTAATGCGGTTCAAAGTAGATTTTCAGTCACCCCCGTTCCCCTTTTTCCCCATTTATTGCGGGATTCAATGCTACGTACGTGTGTACAGACTTAAAAAGTGGTATAATCTATAATACAATAAAAAAAAGGCGAACCCGACTACAAAACATACTGTTACAGGCTGGGGTTCGGGATAAATAAAATTCCACCAAAGTACAACTAAAAACTGTATTCAACACTTAGTACACTTCACAAACATTTTAATGTCTTAAATTAATCATCTTAAATTCATTTCATTTCATTTCACTCCATATTATCATATCTCTATATATAAAAATGAATGGCTGTTCGTTAGTCTTGCTAAAACTCGAGAACGGCTGGACCGATTTGGCTAATTTTGGTCTTGGATTATTCGTGGAAGTCCAGGGAATGTTTAAAAGGTAGATAAATATGAAAATGTTCGGAACTAAATAAAAATAACAATTTTGTTTTTCCTTTGATGTTTCATTTAAGTTTATTTTATACACAAATCTTAGGTATTTTATTTATCGATTGAGGCACTACGAAGTCTGTCGGGTCAGCTAGTTTTTCATAAAAATAAGAATATAAATTAAAATATGACATGACTTAAAGGTCTTAGTTACCAGGTCATAAAATCCCTTAAAAAGAAAGAAAAAACATAATTAGATTTTAAAATTCCAGACGAGGACCCAGCGTCGCCGGCCACGATCCTGCTGGTGATGGAGGTGCTGCGGCTGGCGCTGCGGCTGAGCATCCCGCGGCTGCGCGGCCTGTGCGCCCGCTTCCTGCGAGCCAACCTGTGCGCCACCAACGTGTTGCAGGCGCTGCACGCCGCGCACCACGCCGCCCTGCACTGCATCAAGGAATATTGTCTCAGGTAGGAGATTATAATAATAATACTAGGCAGCGGCTTAACTCTGCCCCTGGTATTGCTGAAGTCCATGGGCGACGGTAACAACTCACCATCAGATGGGCCGTATGCTCGTCTGCCTACACGGGCAATAAAAAAAATGATTTATTTCCTCCTTTAAAAAAAATGTAAAGACGGAAGAGGTCGACCGAATAAGATGGAGTGTGTGAATGACGATATGAGAGAAAGAGGAATGAGTGTGATTTTTTGGCGGGAACGCGAGGAGTGAAGTTGTGTGATTTGTTTTATTTTGTCTATTTAGTGTTTCTTTAGGTTTAAATGTGTAATAACAGTGGTTTATTAACTGTTTCATATCTGTGAAAGTGCACAAATGTGGGAAATCGGGATATCGGGATCCTCCAAAAAGTCCACTGAAAAAGTCTCAGTAAATGACCGCCATTTTACTGAGATTATATTTCATCCTATATCATCTCATTTCATTTCATTTAATTTCATCCCAGTTGATAAATGTCTCAAATTAATCATCTCCATTTCATTCCATATTGTCATTTTTCATAAAAATCAGAATATAAATTAAAATAAGACATGACTTAAAGGTCTTAGTTACCAAGTCATAAAATCTCTTTTTAAAAAAAGAAGTGAGTGTCGGGATGACGGCTGCTGGAGGAGAATGGAATAGAAAAAATTGGTGTACTGAACCCACATAGTGGGCTAAGGTGGAGACAAAGAAGAAGATTTTCTCCTTTAATGTTTAATGCACAAATCAATTGCATTTTAAAAATTTACATAATTTACTATTAGAAAATAATGGATTTAAAAATCTGTATACAAAGTAAAAACAATTGAAATCTGAATATTGTATACCGACATATTTCAATATGTCTAACTTAATTCATATATCTTTACAACTATACGGTAGCTCCTTTGCTTATATCCAATATATCTGAATGTACTACGCTGTATTAACTGTGAGGCGCGCACAAAACATCTGTATAAAGTTAATACAGGGTGTTCTTTTTTAGTACGAAATTAAAAATATCGTTCGTAAATGTAAATGTATTTAAATTTGTTTTCTTCGATTGTTTGTATTGAAAGTTATTTTTTATATCGTCTTTTCGCATTAAAAGTGTACAGTTTCCAAAAATATTCGAAATTGAGTTAATATGCGGAATCATTTGGTATCACCAGTATTTTTGTCATAATTACTGTCAAAAGAGCGAAGTTCACTTTTTTTTTTTTTTGTTTACCTATATTTTGACTACTATTAACAAAATTAATACATCATTTTATCTTACTTTAAAAGACAGATAATGTAACTGGTAAAAAATAAAAAATAATGTTGCAAAGATGATTAATATTAAAAATATTCGAAGCACTCTCGTGTAAAATTAGTAAGTTTTGATATTATACAGTTTTAATGCGCGAAGACGATATGTCATTCGGATACACAGTAGACGAATACAGATTGAATAAACCTTCCTTAATTATTTAACGAGGCTTTACATTTTACAATAATTGCAGGTTCGTAGTGAAAGACTACAACTTCACGCCCATCGTGATGTCGCCTGAGTTCGAACAGCTGGAGCAGAGCTTGATGGTGGAGGTGATCAGGAGGCGGCAGCAGCCGTCGTCCAAACAGGCAGCCCCGCACGACTCTGACGATGAGATCACGGGTACATAACGAAAACAAATTTTAGCGCTTCTTAGTAATAGTTGTACTTGACGTGACGTCACTCGAATACAATATAGGCAGCGGCTTGGCTCTGCCCCGGACATTGCTGAAGTCCATGGGCGACGGTAACCACACACCATCAGGTGGGCCGTACGCTCGTCTGCCTACAAAGGCAATAAAAAAAAAGAAAAAAAAAGATTACAATTTTGATACATTTTTGGGGCTATAATAATAAATCTTACTAACGCGAGTACGCGACTGGAGCCCCATGACGTCCCTCGCGGTGATTCGGAGCGTGACCGTCGCTAGATAACAGCTGAGCCCTATCGAACCTGTGAATTAATCTTCTGAGATGAATTAATTCTTCTTAGGCATTTTTTTATTATTGTTACACAAATAAGAGTAACGCCATCTGTCACCGAATAGCCGTAACGAACATTAAAAGATCTGGTAATATCTAGAACGCTCGAGAAGTACAACGCCATCTATTGTCAGATATCAGAAGCACGCATCGAAAGTGCTCGACTTGTGAGGAATTTTCTGGACGATTCTAGAGATGTCGTATCGACTATAAAAGCGTTAGACTGCGACCGAGCACGCATACCGAACCCTCCCCAACTACCCTTCTGCATTACTTCACTCTTGCCCTGAGTGGCAGGGAGCTTCTGCTCGGGCAGAGAGGTTTGCGCTGAGGCCCGTTCCGTGTCCCCGTACAAGGAAGCACGACGACTCATCTTATTATAAAAGCGTTGCAGAGATGGCACGCAGTCAGTCAGTAATCGGAATTACTCGAAGCGAAACAGCGAACAGATCACCCGAAGCGAAGCGAAAGAAGTGAACTACGAGTTTTAAAGTGTTCTAATACAGTAGTAATTTATACTTCGATAGAATTTTATTTATCCCGAACCCCAACGCGTAACATTATTGAAGTACTACAGTAGAGCTTCCCAGTCATGAATTGATCGAAATACCGACGACGCGTTCCGCTGTCGCCTNTACTCGAAGCGAAACAGCGAACAGATCACCCGAAGCGAAGCGAAAGAAGTGAACTACGAGTTTTAAAGTGTTCTAATACAGTAGTAATTTATACTTCGATAGAATTTTATTTATCCCGAACCCCAACGCGTAACATTATTGAAGTACTACAGTAGAGCTTCCCAGTCATGAATTGATCGAAATACCGACGACGCGTTCCGCTGTCGCCTGGTTAACCTTAGTCCTTGTGTCGAGTGAGTGTGCGTGGTGCGGCAGGCACGACACTGGAGCAGGACATGTGCGGGCTGGCGGGCGCGGGCGGCGCGGCGCTGAGCGACGTGCGGCTGCGCGCGGCGTCGCACGAGCGGCCCGCGCACCGCTCCATCCTGGCCGCGCGCGCCGCCTACTTCGAGGCCATGTTCCGCTCCTTCTCGCCGCGAGACAACATCGTCAATGTAATTGCTTACAAGTTCTAATAACGTTCGAACACTACACTATTCTACATCAAACCCTGCTTGGGCATGCTCGATCCACGCTTACTTAGATGAGTGTGCTCAGATGTTTTTCAAAATAGCTTCCACTGACTGACGAGCTCACAGCCCACCTGGTGTTGAGTGGTTACTGGAGCCCATAGACTTTTTTTTTTTAATTAACCATCTAAAACGTAAATGCGCCACCCACCTTCAGATATCAGTGCTAAGGTCTCAGTATAGTTACAACGGCTGCCCCACCCTTCAAACCGAAACGCATCACTGCTTCATGGCAGAAATTAGGCGAAGTAATGGTACCTACCCGTGCGTACTCATAAGAGGTCCTACCACCAATAATAAGTGCTCAGGGTTTTTTTTTTAATTAGCTTCCACTGGCAGTGTGATAGTCTGTGACAACGGCGCATTTACTTGCTATTGATTGACTTTTTGGCGGGAACGCGAGGAATGAAGTTGTGTGATTTGTTTTATTTTGTCTATTTAGTGTTTCTTCAGGTTTAAATGTGTAATAACGGTGGTTTATTAACTGTTTAATATCTGTGAAAGTGCACAAATGTGGGAAAATGAAACAAAGCCGCTGGACGCAACTTCTCGGGATCCTCCAAAAAGTCCACTGGAAAAATCTTAGTAAATGACCATCATTTTACTAAGATTATATTTCATTCCATATCATCTCATTTCATTTAATTTCATCCCAGTTGATTAACGTCTCAAATTAATCATTTTCATTTCATTTCACTCCATATTATCATTTTTCATAAAAATAAGAATATAAATTAAAATAAGACATGACTTAAAGGTCTTAGTTACCAGGTCATAAAATCACTTAAAAAAAAACTTGCTATTGATTACGTCAGAAATAAAGGCTATCATAAAAAGTTGATCAGAGCAGACGAGCTATTATTTGAAGGAAGATCTGTGCAGATAATTAAGACTATGATGCCTTTGTAATCATTCAAACACACACGCAAAATATACTGTGTACAGAGAAACGTGCCATAGAAATATGATTCCTATGAGTTAAACTGCCATCAAGTGATATTCATACATTATAATCATCACAAAATTAATTTGTATTTTCATATTACAGATACAGATATGCGACACAATTCCGTCGGAGGCAGCGTTCGACTCTCTCCTGCGCTACATCTACTACGGCGACACGAATATGCCCACAGAAGACTCTCTATATCTTTTCCAAGCTCCCATTTATTACGGTTAGTAAGTGGCCCGCTCACCTGTCCCCAGGCTAGAGTACCCGGTACTACGGAAACTAGAAATTGTAACACATACGTAGATTTCAATATATACATATCATCATAATATAGATAATCTTACTGGTGTTAGGACCTCTTGTGTCTACCGTGAAGCAGTAATGTGTTTCGGTTTGAAGGGTGGGGCAGCCGTTGTAACTATACTGAGACCTTAGAACTTATATCTCAAGATGGGTAGCACATTTACGTTATTGGTGTCTATGGGCTCCAGTTACCACTTAACACCAGGCAGGCTGTGTGCTCGTCCACCCATCTAAGTAATAAACCGACCGAATTCGAACACCGGTGCATCGCTATATACGAATGCACTGGACGTCTTATCCTTTAGGCCACGACGATCCCAGGTCTCAGATGTCAGATTTTATTATAATAAAAAAATTAACTGACACTTTTTTAGGTTTTGCTCATTCAATCGTCTTGGCCATCTTGTTTTTCTCTGTCACTCTCTTTTCGCTTTCTTAGTGTTTTCTCTCACTTGTGTCTTAACGTTCCATTCCACACTCTTTTAATACGTTCCGTTCTTACCAATCCTACAATATTTGTTTATTTGAATGTTTATTATCTATATTGTATTATTTGCATAGGATTCACAAACAATCGTCTCCAAGTGTTCTGCAAGCACAATCTACAGAGCAACGTGTCCCCTGAGAACGTGCTCGCCATACTTCAGGTCGCGGACAGGATGAAGGCGGCCGACATCAAAGAATACGCGCTTAAAATGATCGTGCACCATTTTGGGGTTGTAAGTATCAAGTGTACAGCTGAAAATTCTATATATCGATTTACTTGATTATGGAAAAATCCAACGTAAATACAGAGACGGTCGTCGTAAACAAAATTAAAATCTGTTCAGAAGTAAATACGTTATTATCGTTTAGATGTTATACAGTGACGTCATTGTTCGATAGGGTTCAGAGGTGCGAAAATAATTCGATATCGAACTCTCGCTTAGATTTTTTTTTATTGCTTAGATGAGTGGACAAGGTCACAGCCCACCTGGTGTTAAGTGGTTACTGGAACCCATAGACATATACAACGTAAATGCGCCACCCACCTTAAGATATAAACTCTAAGGTCTCAGTATAGTTACACGGCTGCCACATTACTGCTTCACGGCAGAAATTGGCAGAGTGGTGGTACGTACCCGTGCGGACTCACAAGATGTCCTACCACCGGTAATTACGCAAATTATAATTTTGCGGGTTTGATTTTTATTACACGATGTTATTCCTTCACCGTGAAAATCAATCGTGAATATTTATTAAGTACTACTATAGTATTTGTTCAACATTCCTATGGTGACAGGTGGCGAGGCAAGAGGCAATAAAGAATCTAGGTCAACCGCTGCTGGTCGACATAATCTGGGCGCTCGCGGAGGAGCCGCAGTTCGAGGTGCCCCTCCCGGTCCAGCCGCACTCGCTGCCCTCCTCGTCCTCGGCAGATACGATCACGGACGACGCGGACTACGCGCGCAACAAGTGCAAGCCGCCGCACCGACTGCGCCATCCGGACTACAGCCTCGCCATCTGGCGCAGTAACAGCGATTAGAACGAGCGTACTTTTTTTTTGAAGTGAAACTTCTTTAGATTTGTTGTGATTTCAAACTCGATGAAACGAAATGAAACGAAACGAAAAAATAAGTCCATAGAGACACAAACACATGAATGTATAGCCCGACGAGAGAATGAGATAGGACACATTATACGTGTGAAGTTAAAATATCAATTCACAGAGGGTGCTACCTCATACTACAAAAGATGATTTACAATTATTTATATTTAGTTTGTTATCAACAGATTTCGCTGCGCGTAAATTCAACAATTCCTGAATCGCGGTGACGAGATGTTACGCAGTTGATAGACGGTCTCGTAATTCTCTTGCTTAATTATACTCACCTGGCTTAGTGATACCGTGATCATGCAGGCGGTTTCCCCAGGGTGAGGCTGCTCCATTTCACTGCGGAGTGGTTGACTCTTGCTATTTTTTTAATGTTTTTATCAGTTTCACTTCTACTGTGTGTGACTTCCACGCACACACTTTTTTTTTCCTACATATGCATTGAGAGGCTATTTCAGCTTCACCCTAGCGTGTAGGTGAGCTCTCGGGGCTCAAACCGAAGTGATGCTAACACTGGCCCTAGCAAGAGCAGTGCTTCGCAGAATCTACCGCCTGATCGAAAACGCAACCTACTGAAAAGATCCGGGGAGAAACTCAGTCGGTATAATAGGTATTACAAATTATACGATTTCTTTTTATTTTTGATACATCGTATCTGTAAAAATAGTAATTTATCTCTATATTTTTATTAGGGCTGTTTAAGGTAGACTCCTAGAAATTATAGAAAATTTACTAAACGCTTCTATTAAATTCTATAAAATTACGCCTAATTATTGATCACTGTACGAGTCGTTATAATTATTATTATAATAATTTGGAGCCGCTTTTTTTATTCAAAGCATTAGAGGATGTAATAAATAAAACAAATTGAAATCTTCAGGTGCCAGTGATTATAATCGAATTCCAGTTATTGATTGAACAGGTTTCGTTTAGTTTTAAGTGTTTCCCCGTGTTACACAGGGTTGTCGACCCAAAATTGGACTACAAAAATATATGAAAAATCTAATGCCTATGTTGTCTAACAGCAATCACTAGCAGTTCCGGAATGATAACAGAATTAATCAACATTCCCCTATCTAGTATAGTTGACCGATTATTCATCTACTCAATAAAATTTATGTTTATGATATTGACCATTAGACGGGTATTACTACAACATTCTACAAACTGTATTAATTTAAACTAAGATGTCCATGTGATGTACAAAATTAAATGGTCTCCTAATGCATTTCTAGAAAAATAATTGTTATTAAAACGATTGTTAATTCTTCAAAAATATTGTCTATATCAGATTTGATAGGTTCCTGTTAATTCCAAAATAAAGATTTTAATCTCTTGTCTATGGGCAAGAGTGTTCTATTTGTGGTTTCTATCTCTATAGATCTTCTACAGTTTTAATGTGATGGCTAATTGTTATTCAGTATCAGTTGCTATCTCTTTTAGATATTTTTGCTTCCTTAACCTTGACCTGTATCTATCCCTGCAAAGGAATATTTTAACCAATTTTATGACCTGCAGTTAACTTGAAAATCCACACACATATCAAACACCAATGTCGATACAATATTTTTTTGTACTTTGATGTAATATCCTGAACAGGATAAATGGGTATTGAAATAAAAGCATCGCTTAAATTTTATAGTTTGGTGATTGAATTTTGTTTTATTATTATTTTTTAATTCTAAATGGCTCTCTATAAAATATAAACGTCGACAACGTTTGAGTACATATTTTGTGTAATGTTCAGTACCAGGTTAATTGAATATATAAATAACGAAATTTTAAAAATTGAATGTTTTTTTAACATAAGTTAATTAAGTAATGTTTATTAGTGATTTATGTAATAAGGTATAAAACTTATTTAATATATATTTCTAGTCACTACAGTGTTGTTTCTATCACACCCCTCCTGGCTGAGCCTTTGCTCGCCTACCTGCCCTGGTGAAACTGGAAAGGCCTCAGGGCCACCAGTAATCCCTCAATCATAAAAAAGTGTTGTTTCTATTGATGACTAACCCAATTCTGTATTGTATTTTATTGGAAATATAATAATTATAATATGTTAATTAAAAATAAATACTCAGCTCATAATAATTTAAGAATCCATAAGAATCACTCTGATATGTATCACATCTGTTCAAGATAAATTAAACTTTTTTTAATTTCTTGTAATTGAAAACTTTATGAGATCAAACAGTTTTCCGGGTTCTGGGTCTGACCCCGGATGAAGAACAGACATAGGGTGTAAGAGTGCAGGGCAATCTTTTGTGTGGAAGGGCCCTAAGATCCTTGGGCCGCGTTCTGCTCCCAACATTTGCAGATCGTCAAGTCCCACATACCCTCTAGGCGTGGGGACCTCATAGGAGGTTCACCCCGGCCCAAAAAAAATCCAATTGACATCACAGTATGAATGCCACTACTCAATTTTGGACGAGATACCTTCAAACGAACTGATTTAAAGCAGACAAAACATCCACCTGGTCAGGTTAACAATATGCTATAGCACCATTAATAGTAAATTGGTGATCACAGTATGCTGGTATAGCATTCGAGAATTTTGTTGCTCATGCCCCAGTAAATTACCTACGCATTTTTCGAAAAATAGGTATGGGATTGAATTAATTGAGGCTGTACAGCTATTAACTGCTTAATGATCTTGTAAAATGAATATGAATATTATGTTTGTAACATATTTTAATTAAATTAATAAACTAAGAAATAAATTGAACATTTACAATTTAATTTTCATATTTGTGCTTGATGTCCTTCCATAGTTTCTGAAAAAAATGAAATAAATTTACTCAACAATTCAGGATATTATTCGATCTACTTAAAAATGGGATATTTAAAATTTTGTTCAGAATCGTTTTTCATGTTAAATCTTATAAAAATCGCTTCAGAAGATAAGACTGCTTGATTTTACTGCTGGGAATGCTGATGTACATCCGCGATACATGGCATTCATCATAATGTGGAACTTGTGCTCGTCTGGCGAAGCGAAAAAATCTTGCAGATTGAACGAAATTTTAAAATACAAAATGAAAAAGTAAAACATGAGTGAGGTTAACGAAATTCCTTCAATAAAAATTGATATTAATTCTGAAATACTGTTTAGGATAATGTTATACATTATTAATAAACAATAAACCTAAGAAAATTACATAACGTCAGACTTACTCCTTTATTGAGGTTTTCAAATATCGATTGAGACACCAATTCAAATGTTCTTTCAAAGAAGAACGTTCCTCCGGCAACAGCCAAAGCAAACGTAGATGTACGTTTGAAAACAGTACGATTTAATGTAGACCACACGGACATTTTGAAAATATTCTCAAGAAAATCACTTTTCTCGTCAAAGCTCGAAACTGGTCTTTTGACAAGTGACAATGACACTTGTCGTTGTTATTTTATCGGTCTATTTTACAGACAAAGAAAGTAGAGCCCATACAATTTATTTTTCTTCAAAACAAAGACCGGTGCCATGTGATTTGTGAAAAGTGAAATGCTACTACTAAATATTATGGAGGGTAATACTACTAATTAAGAAGAGAGAAATCTGTCGGTGAAAACAGACGTAGGTGTAGGATAAAGTTAAACGAAGTATCCTCTCGGTAAAATAAACGGTCAGAAGAACCTGAAAAGTCGTTATTTTGTTAGGTAGTATTTTTTAATCTTATACACTTATAAAGATGGTAAACGAGAAGCCACCATTAATACCCCTTTAAATCTCGTGTTTTTGCCAAAAAGTCCGTCTTAGATGAAAATCAAGCAAAAGAAAAGTTTGTTATAAGTAATGCCTACCCTACATATCTATAATTACGATAATACACTTATTGATTTAATATATTATTTTATTAATCGAGTTTCATAGGCCATACATATAGAAGGCCTGGGCCTTGTACCCAGATTAGTTAAAGAAACACCTAAAATTTCCAAATAGAATAGTTTTTACCGAATGACGGCTTCAAATTATCGAGTGGAAACCAGTAATATGATTATTAAAAACCATGTGCTCTCATTGTTCTTATAATACTCTCGATATCGTGATATATATTGTTGAGGTGAACTATTGTTCCAATGGCAGCATCGAAAACCGTATTATAGATTTAAAGAGATAGATTTTTCTGCGCCTGACATCCTTTCTAATCGTGATCAAGTCTCTTGCAACAGTGCGAAAATATCGGAAAGTAAAAATCATATTAGGAGACCGTTAAATATTTTAACTTTGTTAAGTAGGACATATGAGTCGTCTATTATCAAAGGTGGCAATCTGTGCATTTGGACGAAAAAATTTTATTGATATGTCAATACAGATTTATTTGAATATAATCGTCTCCTTCAAAGAATACGGTTCAAACCCTGCATTAAATAAAGGTTAATAGTTAACCTCTTATTTATCTAAGATATCGTTCCGAAGAGTTTTGTGACTGCCAATGGAATACAAAGTCAATAATTCGTTTTTCTGATTTATCAATCATTGTCCAAAAGTCAGATTGCCGCCTTTGATAATAGTCGACTCATATGTAACGAGTTGACATAAATCAGGCAATGCTTCTTAGCGTTTTAGTTAGAGTTCTATTTACTGTTTACCATCAAGCCATGATCACGTTTGTCCATCAATCCCAATAAAACAAAAAATCCAAGAATATTCCATTTGTATTTTTTAATGATATATCTTGGTCATTACAAAGAACGGATAAAAAAATGAGAACACATTTTATTATGGGCAAAATATGTCTATTTACATTTTTTAAACAAATAAAATGCTGGTACCTATGTTGTATGAACAATACATCTTAAAATTAAAAATGAGTACTAGAATGAGAAAAAATCATGCATATTGATTAAATTAAAAATAAAAAACTAAATGACATTGTAGTTTTGCATGTATGGAATGATAATTTGGCAAAATAAATAAAGGGTAAAATTTAAATAAAAAAATAATTAGAAACGCTCCTACATTTCAAATCATAAGTTGGGCCCAAAATGACATCAGACATTTTTCAGCACTTGTATTCGACATGTTAATATAGAGTATTTAAAGAAAAACAACTTGCTAAATAATACGCACAATTATTACCCAAAAAGTACCGTAAAATAATGACTATACATACTTTAAAGCTCAGAACAATTACACAAGGAATGTTATATTTTTTCAAGACTATATTTATCCGCAAAGGCATATAATGAAATAAAAATATATGATGTTACAACATTCCTTTGCATGTTCGAGTTTCAAAATAATAATACAATGATTACAAAAATCTCCCTTGGGGCCATAAATAATAATTTTGTAATTTTGGATAAACAATACTGCATATACTTTGCCAATACTTTTAAAATTATTACAAAAAATAATAAATACAATCTCACTATAATATAAATTACACACTGGATTCCCACATGTAATTATTTCAAAATATTACCATTTCTTTTTAAACGCAGAGATACATTTCATATTATTTTACAATCATACAGCTTTCACATTCATAATATTTTATTATATTTTGGGAAATCATAATACTTTATCTTTAATTAGTAAATATTTATATAGTATAAATTTAATTTCTTTTATGGATGTTCAAAACTCATGTTTTTTTAAACCACAACATATATAGCATATTAAAAAAAGTGAGAATACAATCATCCACATTACGTATGCATTCATAATATTCTAACATAATTTTTGGAGTCATTTATTTATTCCATAGTATATAAATGTACACGCTCTGGCTGAGATTGGCAAACCCAGCACAGTTCAACAGAAAATCTAACTAAGTCTTACGAAACTGTGATTACAAATTGTTTGATTGTACAGAGATCAATTGTAACTATTTCATGCATTACTGCTATTGTGACTAATTAATTTTTGTACCGTTTAGCAAAAAACTAATTGGTTCCTTTTTCATTTCAGCTGAAGTACTTAGTCTTGCTAGGGTTATGCACACGTCTCTTGATATTTGAGCATTGTGTAAGCAAAGTCTGTGGCACATAACACCCCCCGTGACCACTAGCAACACTTTTTTTTAATTTTGTGATTACCTTTCTTCAAATTAACTGTGTCGTTTGATGTAACGTTCTGTCTCTCTTTCATTTCTAATTTGGATTTTAGTACCTGAAAAAATAAGTTTCATAGCAGAGACAGAAAATTGTATTCCATGTGTTCTTTCTAACATTTCTTTCATGGAGCTGATAAAATAATGTAATGCATCATATTGATGTATCCTTTACAAAGCTATCCAACAACAAATATTTGAAAGTGCATAATTTTAAGAATTCACTAGGCACTAAATGTAGGTAAATAATTTAAGCTACATTATGATTGAATTCAGCAAAATGGTGGTGGTTTAATGATTGCCTGATGTTCTAGTCTGTGGGGTCTCACTCAGGTTTAATGACAAAAGACCCAGAACACACTAAACTCTTCGCTTAAACAAAATCAGATCTGTCCCATTTGCAATCTAAATCAAATATTTCAGGACTAATAGAATTTTAATAAGTGAAATAAGATTACCATTTTTGTAATTGTAAGGAACATCTCCTCTACATTAATGTTTTCTTTTGCACTAGTTTCAAACAGAGGGATATTCATCTGACTGGCAAACCTCTGAGCATCCTCTGTAACCACAACTTTGCGTGATGGACAATCATTTTTATTTCCAACTGTAAAAAAATAATTATTATTCTTGTATATTTATGTTAACTTCAAGTTTTCAGGGTATTCTGATAATATTATAGTTGCAACTAAAACAGTCATTTTTTATATTTCTATAGTCTATATCGGTGTTTCCCAACGTGGAGCCCATGCCCCACTAGGGGACAATTTGATAACTAAGGTCCCTCCTTCTAATCACACTAAATTAATATACAAAATTTGTATTAAATTTATTTTGAATTTGAATTTCAGTGTTTTATTGTTTTGAAATATTGCTTACTGGGTTCTTATAACAATTTCATGGTGATTTCTTCCTAAAACCTATCATTTATGTTTCATAAGTGAACAAATCAATTTTTTAATGTTAAAAATTATGTATGGGGGGCATAAACATTTTAGAAATGTTACAGTGGGGCATGCCACAAAAAAGTTTGGGAAGCACTGGTCTATACAGTCTCTTCTGTATTTGTTAACCAATTTTCTCTTGGATCATTTACTATTATCTACTACTACCTAGAAATGAGTGTATGAGGGAAAGTACAAAAGTAGCACTGGGGGTGTTTGAAAATAAAGAGGGGAAGATTATTGTGGTGTGGTCTAGTTATAAATTAAGAAAATGATTATATTTGAAAAGACTCCCTAACTATGAAGGAGGACGTCAGGAGGGTCATCCAAAAAAGATTAACATGTACTGTGTGAAAGAGGATATGTAAGATAAGGATGTTAGTGCAGAGATGACATATGGTAGGCCTGAATGGACAAAGAAGACACGAGGGATAAGGGCAAGGTCAAGACTGCTATTGATGATCGAAATCAAAATTTTTTTTCTTATTTTTACATGAACAAATGACATTAACAAGATAAAAGAGAAAATTAATATCAATATACTATCTGAAGTTCAGATCCAATTTTTTATGTTTTCCTTTATTGCTTTTCACAATTGGTCAACCTCACAGCCCACTAGATTATAACTAGTTAGTGGAGCCCATAAACATCTCAATGTGAATACTGTCATCCAGTTTGAGACATGAGGTTGAAGTTTTGATCATCAATTGTACAACTGCTGTGTGTTTTCTAGATTTTAACTTAGTACTTTCTGAAATCTACTACTAAACTCTAAATCGGACAGATTTTAGGTAAACAACTTCGATGAAAGAGTCTCCAGAATGTGCGTTTATGGTATTATAAATTAGAATGATGGGATGAAAAGTTCTTAAGTGGAATATATTGGTTTTAAAATCAAGTTTCATTCTAATTGTGAGAATAGTACTGGTACATAAAGTTTGTACTGTTTGTATTAAAGCAACAGAAGTCATTATCAAAGTCTATTATCATGTGATGATTCATGTTACACACATTCTCTTCCTTCCATTAAATGAAAATAAACATTTTTGTGTCATTTGTACATAATAACTTGGATACACAACTTCTGTAGGGTAAAATTAATTTTAAAATAATTAAATAATAGTTGACACAATCAAGTCATTTTTATTAATAATAAGGAGTCAAACTCCTACAGATATGTAGTATCTGGCAACTTCCTACCAGAAACTATACACTAATTCCAATTTAAGCAGTGAGGACATTAAATCACAGCTTAGGATGCCTAACTTTAAGAGCCCTGATGGGACAATATATAACGAACGATACCACCACATGATAGAGGAAGAAACCCTCTAAATGTACTACTGTACAGCAGAGTTGTCCTATCACTCTCTAGCTAGGTGGTCAAACATGCCCCCGTTTGAGGCCACATTCTCTGTTCAAAAGACACTTTATTATTTTGCTTAAATAAAAAATTGTATAAAAACAAAATCCGGACAAAGCTGCATTCAAACCTACACAAAAATATTTCATACACTCATAAAGGAAGCCCCGTCCGTTTGTAGTTGGAATAAACAAACAAAAACGATCAAGCCAGTCCCTGATGTGTTTTAAATTACCCCCGCTCTATGCTATCAATAATAAAAATACCTAACCATAATCTTGTTATTGAGGTTTAATTTGCACAACCTAAGTATTCAACTATGGAACTGAATCAAAATTCACAATTAAGCAATTTGAGAAACAGTTTTCAATTAACATTAAAATTTATTATATTACCACTATTATCTTCTCATTGTGTTCATAGAATTAACTCAAGCTGTACTTCACTGTACATCTTGCAATTCATTATAAAAGCATGTTCATCTTAATCTTACATAAAGTTAATTGTGAAATAGAAAGTTGATATTATATAATTTTGATTTAGAATATTGTTATTGATTGATGTATTTCAAAATCATTATCATGTACAATTAACCTTTTGGGAGATCCCATTGGAGTACACAATAAAAATGAAATGTATGTGTGCTTTGTTACTTTACTGTATTAATTATCATATATAAATTGGTGTGGGAGCTTCTTGGTGATGGTTTCAGATGTAACTAAAGAGTTATTTAATATTCTCAGTTGCAACAAAGGATGTGCATCTAATGTAGTCAATAAATTAACTCACCTAGAACTTTATTTACGACATCGCAGTTCTGTTCAATTTCATGAAGCCATCTCTTGACATTAGCGAAAGACTCTCCATTGGTAACATCGTACACGACGATGACTCCGTGAGTCCCTCGGTAGTAGGTACTTGTAATTGTTCTGAACCTCTCCTGTCCCGCTGTATCCCAAATCTGTAGTTTCACTTTCTCTCCATTAACTTCTAAAGTTCTTATTTTGAAATCCACCCCTATAGTTGTAATATAACTACCAGAAAATGTGTTGTCCGCAAAACGCAGGAGAAGACAACTCTTTCCGACACCTGCAAAATATGAACGATCAACAGTCGACCCTAGAAGCTGAACCCTCGATATCAGCAAATACAACAGCACAGAGGCCTCGCCCACTCACCGCTGTCACCGATAATCAGCAGTTTGAAAAGATGATCGAACTCGCGCGCCATACTGTCACTTTCTTGGTTGCCTTATTCTAGTTGGTCATGTATTCACTAGTATTGTTTTGTGTTCCTTTAAATCGATTTTAACTGGAAAATTATTGATAAAACGCATGCCGCAAATGTTAGACTTGCGTCATTTTAGAATACGTCCGCCATTAATGTTTTATGTTGCAAGAGCTAAAAAAATCAAAAACAGTGACCAGACCATGACCCATAGAGTTACTATTCTAACTACTTATTAACTCCATGCCATGACCAGACCAAACCGTGGATATATTTTTTTATTTGGGATTTTATGACCTGGTAACTAAAACCTTTAGGTCAAGTCTTATTATCATTTTTAATCTAATTTTTATGAAAAATGATAATATGAAGTGAAATGAAATGAAGTTGATTAATATGAAACATGGCATAAAATGAAGTGAAATGAAATGAAATTAGATGAGATGATATGGTATGAAATATAATCTTAGTAAAACGGTGGTCATTTACTGAGACTTTTTCGGTGGACTTTTTGGAGGCTCCCAAGAAGTTACGTTTAGCGGCTTTGTTTCATTTTCCCATATTTGTGCACTTTCACAGATACTAAACATTTAATAAGCCACCGTTATTACACATTTAAACCTGAAGAAACATTAAATAGACAAAATAAAACAAACCACACAACTTCACTCGTTCTCACGTTCACACTCACGTTCACACTCACGTTCCTGCACAAAAAAGTCATCAGTTGAATGTATATTCACCATTAGCATAGATAGGTAATAAATACACTGAATAATACCATTATCAAATAAAGACTTGTATGATTTATTAATTATTTTTTCGTGTTTTGTTGTACAATAATTAAATGCCTTAAATTTAATATCATATAAGTTTAGTGTATCCGCTACAAGTGGTCGCTCGTTTCCATACAAAAAAATTGTCTTAAAATATCGCAGTTTCAGGGCCCTGGTCAGACAGGTCAACAGATCACTTGAGGATGAAGACCCGTTACGATACGAAAACGAATTATAAGGGATTTGCCGAAGATTCCCACGTATCGGTACACAATCCAGTTCGGAAAGGGAGGCTTTTAAATTACTGGCAAAAAGGGACAGACCACATCGAAACGTGTGTTTCGTTAAACATTAAAAATTTGTTTTGTTGTTACGTTAAAAAAAAATTATGTCACTTTTCGAATGCAAAAAGGTCTGTGGTGAAAGTTACAAATTTATATGGATTGGCAAAATATTACGGGTCTAACGGAGCTAATCTAAGGCGAGGGTAGTGCTATGCTGGAACGAGTAATGTCACCTGTTATCAAATAGCAGCAACGGATATCAAAACAACTAGTACGGTACCTACCTACTATCGGGAGCGTTCGAGAAATGTCATAGCGGTACGAGTAACGCCATCTGCTGCCAAATAACAAAACTGATAAATACTGATAAATAACGAAACGACTTAACTTATCTGACGAAATAAACGACGATAGTGTGCGCGGAAGCGCTAGTCTCCGTCTGAGGTATGTGAGCGGCAGGGCGGGCGAGGTAGACAAACGTCAAGCTAACTCAGTCTGATGGGTCCATCAATTACACGACCAGTGTAAAATGAAATTTACAATGTGTACAGTTTATTTCTGAGAGCGTAATGATAATTGTAGCTGAAGGAAATTCGAATCGGAAAAACCAAAATTTACTTCTCCACGAAAACCTAAAGAAAAAAAAAATGAATCCACATTAATGATTTCGACTTCATCAGTTTTTGTTGATAAAAAATCAAAACAGATAAATAAATATATTTTTTTATAACGCACTATAACAGTGATAGCGTTTTTTATTTATTTTCTTATTAAGAAATGCTAATTTGCTTATAAAATTGTTTTGTATTGTAAATTATAAAATATAATAAACACTTTTGAATATGCATTTTTTTGTTTAACCAAAAAATAGAAAAATACAATATTACAATTAGGTACCCATTACATTAATTCTAACAAGTTATTCTGAGATTTATCTGCACTTAAATATAATACCGTGTGCGTCTTGTCAATCACGCCCTTCCCCGTCTTACCCCGCCACATACTGGATAGGAGGTGACTAGCGCTTCCGTGCGCACTATAGTCGAAAATTGTCGAAATGTCTATTGGCTATAAAGGCGTTCAAAATGAAAAAAAAAAATACGTTAAAAAACATGACTGTCTGTTGACAACAAATGACAAATTTTTCCTTTCCAAAATATTACATACTAGCGACCCGCCCTCGCTTCGCTTCGTAAACTGTAAATTATTATTGATTTCTCCACTATTTAATGGATGTTATTATACATATAAACCTTCCTCTTCAATCACTCTATCTATCGAAAAAACCGCGTTAAAATCCGTTGCGTAGTTTTAAAGATTTAAGCATACATAGGTATATAGGGACAGAGAAATTGTTTTATTCTATGTAGTGAAGTTCAGTTGTATTTCAGTGATCGGCCGGTACTACACTGGAACCGACCTACGACTAGTACAAGGTTGAATTTTGACGTCCAATTAGGCAGATACGGCATGATATCCTCAGCCTAACCAGATACAAATCAGTGCTACTTCAGAAAAATAAACCCTCATAGAGTGCAAGCTAAATGGCCATGGACTAGACATATATGTCATAGATCCGAATATCACTAGAACAAACGAGTTCTTCAGCGGAGACCGCTTTTGTGGCACAGGTGGGTGGCGCATTTACGTTGTAGATATAATATGGACTCCAGTAACCACTTAACATCAGGTGGGCTGTGAGGTCGTCCATCCATCTAAGCAATAAAAATAAAAAGTAAAAACACGCCCAATGCTTATGGCATCTTCCGACCAGACAGCGCGATGATTTACGAAAGCTGACTGGTAGGAAGTGGATGAGGAGAGCCGAAAATAGGGCTCAGTTATAGAAACTGGGAGGTGAACAAGTGTGGGCTGGTGATGATAGAGAGCAGCAAGATTTTGCACCGAGCGGGTGTCTTGGCTCGGTAGGTCGACGGTCCAAATGTGCCATCGGAATATATACATTAATATTGAGAATGTCGCTAGCACGATTCAAGCTTATTGCCAGGTTTCGTTCTATTCTATGAGTGCCACTGCTGCAAGTTTTCAAACATACCGAATGAGTAATGGATGTGCTTGGGCGAAACTGGAGTAAAAGCTTATTAAAATATTTACTTATTGCTAAGTCGGGTGACCGTCACGGATCACGGCCTGCTAAGTGGTTACGGGAGCCCTTAGATATCAACAATGTAAATGCCGCCACCCACCTTAAGACACGATTTCTAGGTCTCAGTTCTATAGAAATAACGGCCATCCCACCCTTAAAACAGGAACATATTACTAACCCTACGGGCTCATATGAGGCCTGGCATCAGTTCTTCTGTAACTATTCAAGAATATTATAGATAAGCAGCGAATCATTTGAGTCACAGATATTGCTGATATCGGTCCCCATCTGAAGGCCCAATGCCCGTCTGTTTGATGAGGTAATAAAAATAAAATATACTAATTAAATTCGGTTAAATAGAATTTAAGCCGAGCAAACAAGCTGTGTTTATCTTTTATAAATTTTTTGTAGATGTTAATTTATCGATAATCTAAAAATAATGATGACCTTGAACGATTATTGTGTTTCAACAAATAATAAATTTGAAATATTTGTTTTTACGTTACGGTCAATACAATATAAAATGTTTCATTTACCGAAAGCTGTCACATACACTTGCACTATGAGTATTGGTATTGGTGGTAAGTATTAGAATATTCGTTAAAAAACAAATGACAATTTTGTTAAAAATGCTTTCTGTATCTTTTTTGTTTTGCTAGGTATGAGAAATTGCGATACCTATAAAAATGGGGCGTTTCTAGAAAAATCAATGACATGGAAAGAGCCGTTTGGACAATTCAAATGTTGGTTTGAAGAAGCTCGCGCTACGAAAACGATTCTGGAGCCCAGTGCAATGTGTCTAGCCACAGTTTCACAGTGAGTTACATTTTAAACTAGACTGCGTTTTGTAAACAAAGACAGCCACATTAACCAGCACCAAAACTTGGAAATATTTAGAGTCCCCATTAATTTTTTGAGGAAAAAAATGATATTAGATTCTATAAAAAATACCGGTGAACTCAATTAAGTTTATTCAACGTAAACAAAATATAATATTTTACCCACTAATTATGACATAATTTTTTACGACGCGCCCTCCTGATTCCGATTTAGCGATTACAGTCGTGAACCTAAGCAAATTTAATTTGGATAGTTTTAATATAATTGTACTATTTGCAATTAAATGTCATTAAAGTGGCAGTTCGTGAACACGTATTGCAAACCTATTTGCTTAGAAATATCGGTATCTTTTGAAGGCGTCGCATCGTAGTCTAAAGGTTAAAACGTCCGGTGCATTCGTATCTAGCGATGCAACGATGTTCGAATCCCGCAGATGGGTACCAATTTTTCTAATGAAATACGTACTTAACAAATGTTCACGAATGACTTCCACGGTGAAGGAATAACATCATGTAATAAAAATTAAACACCCAAATTAATTTAATTTGCGTAATTACTGGTGGTAGGTCCTCTTGTGAGTCCCCACCGGAAGGTACCACCACCCTGTCCATTTCTGTCGTGAAGCAGTAATGCGTTTCGGTTTGAAAGGTGGGGCAGCCGTTCTAACTATACTGAGACCTTAGATGCACATTGCAGATGTCTATGGGCTCCGGTAACCACTAAACAGGTGTGCTGTGAGCTCGTCCACCCATATACAATAAACAAAAAATAAAAAAAACTGCTTGGGAGAATTTAGCCCCAGAATAGTCGCATCAATCAATATCTAACACCGGGCGTCGTATCCATATACAAAAGCAAACATAGGAAATACCCCTATTATTGTTATCATAAGAACATAGCTAGGCCGAGATCTATGCTGTTGAATTAATCTTATTCAGAGATTTTTACAAAGATATATGAGGGTAATGTTTTAAGACTCTTAAGGCTTATCAATTTTTTTTCCAAACAATTACTCACTGCATTAGGGATCTGGATTGTTATGGTTTTTAATGATTATTTCAGGGAGGGTTTTCCGTCAGCCCGATTTGTATTGTGTAAGGGTTATGGTAAAGAAGGATTCAAATTCTACACAAATTATGGAAGTAAAAAAGCTAAAGACATAGTAAGTCTTTTATATTTTTTTCAAGAGGACCCTATGCCATATATATTGATTTGTTTATTTGAATTTTGAAATCTACTCTAATTTTTTTTAAACCGAAATTGTTTTAAGGTATATAACCTTAATACGTGTATTAACGGCAAATAAAGATTCTGCTTCAAACAAAAAGACACCTTTTAGATTTCCTTCACAGTAACTATATTTAGTATATACTCGTATTATACAAATACAATGCATTTTTATCACTAAAAATCTAGAAATATGGAAAAAACACTAGGAAGTAGGGTAAGTAATATCTACGAATAAAAATTTGAAAGTTTTCAAATTTAAAGGTCCACGCAATTAACATCATAATAATGATTTACATTTTCTTAAGGAAGGGAATCCTAATGTTGCTGCTACGTTTTATTGGGATATCCTGAACAGATCGGTGAGGATTGAAGGCACAGTCGAGAAACTCTCAGAAGCTGAAAATTTAAAATACTTTCGCACACGTGCAGTGGCCAATCAGATAGCAGCATGTACGAGCTACCAAAGTACACCGATAGTTTCTAAAGATATCCTATGTCAAAGGCAAAAGGTTCTTGAGCAAGAATATCTGATACCTGGGAAAGAAGTCCCAAAACCAAGTAACTGGTAATTTTCATAGTATTAAACAAGCAAATTTTTTTATCAAGACTTTCAACACAGCCGTGTTAATGTTTTATTAAATTGTGTCGTCATTATTACATTATGTAATCTGATTATTTTACAATAAAATAAAATCAACTGATTTATTATGAAAAAAATAACACAGTTAAATTTTTCCAGGGGAGGATACCTCTTAGTTCCTAGGTCCGTTGAATTCTGGCAGGGTCATAATGAGAGATTTCATGATCGCATAAAATACAGAAGACCATACAAAGGGGAAGTGCCAGATCAAAAACTATTGCACGAAGGCGAAGGTGGGTGGGTTATCGAGAGACTTTCGCCATAAATCCTGAAAAATAATTCTTGTTGTTATTAAAATTTATAAATTTATAATTTATTAATTTCATTTAATCATATAATTATTAATAATTTAATCAGTTAAATAAATAAAAGCAAATGTCTATTTATATGTTTGTCCTCTATGCGTTCCTAGGATATATGAAACTTTATTGATAGTCCAATCAACATATTATAGGTGACGCGCGAATAGTTTCAAGAAGTCGATAGCGATATGTAGCCACAGCATAATAAAATGGTTTTACTACCAAATAATTTAATGTTTCTTCTATATTAATGTTAGCTTATTAATTGCTTAGCATCTATGAAAGCACAGAAGAATAGAAAAACTCTTCTTCCAAATGTATATTGTGTTCTTAGCATAGATAGAATACACTTAATATTTAAGAGATTTTAGTAAATTCTCTCCACCTTACTGAGATGTTATTTCATTATTTCTCATCCAAGATTTAATTCCATAATAATCATTTAATTTTATTTAATACAATTTCACACAACAATACACTTGGATTTGACTGTATGGCCTACCTTCCCTTTGGCTGTGTAATGAACGAATCAAACAATGATGCTTATGTCAAATCTCAGTCATCAATGGTGATAGATAATTCATGACTAAAAAATTGAAAGGAACTTAAGGTGTGGCGTGATCTTTGCGAAAGTATAATTTTCTACAATGGCTGCAACTTTAAAACCGTATCTAACAGCGGTGCGTCACACGCTCACTGCCGCTATGTGCTTAGAACACTTTTCATCCCAAGTTGTCGAGAAATACACCAAGCCGGAGGTCGAAGTTAGAACAAGCAAAGAACTTTTACTCAATCCTGTTGTTATTTCAAGAAATTCTAATGAAAAAGTATTAATAGAGTCTTCAATAAATTCAATTAGGGTGAGTATTATGATCAAGCAGGCGGATGAGATAGAGAAAATTCTTTGTAAAAAATTTATGCGGTTCATGATGATGAGAGCTGAAAACTTCATTGTATTAAGGAGGAAACCAGTTGATGGGTACCATATCAGCTTTTTGATTACTAACTTCCATACCGAACAGATGTATAAGCATAAATTGGTCGATTTTGTAATATACTTTATGGAAGAAATTGATAAAGAAATCAGTGAAATGAAATTGGCTGTCAATGCAAGAGCCAGAATTTGTTCGGAAGAATTCTTGAAGAGATTTTAACCACTTCTTTCAGTGATAGAATGAAACATCTTTATTGTACATAGAGTATGAATTCATGTGAAAAATTTGTTGCTTTGATGACTATGTAATTTTAATTAGTGATGGAATTCATATTACCTTCATAGACAAACAAATTGTATCATTACAAAAATGTCATTTAAATATGGAATTTTAGAAGAAACTAGTTTTTTTCTCTACCTATTCTCTCGTAGCCTAAAGGCCTATTCCAGCTAAGCACAAATGGGTAGGTTACAGGCTAAAATTAAACTATTAAAAATATTACATTATTTAGATAGTCAAGGAAAATACATTGCACACAAATATAAAATTTAATGTAGATCACCGGTGTCCTATTTATTCTTAGTATCTGCAAATTCATCATTTCCAGACACTACTAGATATTCCGGCACTTTAGTATGTAAATTGAAGAAAGAAAGAAATCATCATTATTACTTCAATGTGCTGCGTAGGGCACCGGTGATTTACATGGCAGTCAACGTGTTAATAATTATTGGGGCTTTGTTGACATATTCTATTGTGCTATGTGCTGAGTGTCCTATCTATGACTATTATTATACTACTGGGAGCCCTTTAAGTTCTTTAGTGTAATACCTTTTGACAAAGACAGCATGTTGATTTTGCACCTTGAATTGTCAATGTCCACATTCCACCAGACTGTTTGTCGGTAGCATGATTGTCTGCTTTCATGGGTAAAAACAATTATTGTAATTTGATATTTGTAAAAAGTAAAAATAGTGTGAATGTTTCTTCCATGTTCTTTTACATTATTATTTTTTTGGTATAATTATTTTAATGTTGATATGTAAGTTTTGAATTAATTTCTGGTGTAATTTAAAAACTTTAATATTCTTAGTTATAATGCAGTGAATGTGTAAACCACCATAATTATATTCAATTTAAATATAAAACATTTTTTGTGTTTATAACATATGTCTTTTTTTTGTAAACCTATTTGCTGGTAGCCTATTTGGCTATTCCAGCATGGACGGGTAGGTGAGCTCACTGGTTCAACCTGAGAGAATTTGCTAACACTAGCCTTAGCAAGTGTAGTGCTTTGTTGAATCTACAGACGGAACACAATTATGACCTATGGTGGTGGTCTATATAGATATATATTTTATTTTCTATGAAACACTACTATATATGTATCAGTTTGTAAATAAAACTAGAAACTTACTTGAGCAAGTAGTTTGAATTAAGTAAAAATAAATTGTTCATTAAAACTGAGAAACAGTTATGCTGAAACTTTTAGTGCATATAATCTATAAGGTATGATGATATTATGTACTGTTTTTTTGCTTTAATCATAGAAGAGGAGAAACAGGAGATCTTTGGCAAACTACATCACGTCTAATTTACTCCTGAATATAAACTTTTGGGAATTGATGCCACAAGATTTCTATCAAAATGGTTTGCGGTTTGGTAGGCAAAAAGTCCGAATGTTGCTCTTTAGGGCTTGTTGCTAAGCTGCTTTTGAAAATGTCATTAGCGCGGTTGTAGCCGCTATACAACTTATACTAGGATGAGTGTCTATTACTACGCATATAATGAATTTGCTATAAGAATAGAAAATATATTTACAAAAAAGAATTAACTAATATCACAATATCAAAGGACTTTTATATTCAAAACAAAAAATTATCAGTAACAATCTCTTCATCAGATTTTGACAATATTCAAGTTTAATTAACACGTAGTAGCTGTTTAATTAACTCCAACCAAACGTATACCACGATGTACTGATACAGAAAACCAGTTTTAGTTCTTAGACTTGGCAGTACGCAATGTAAATCCTTCGCCTGTAAATGCTTGAAAAGGTTCGGTTTGAGCCTCCTCTTTAGGGTCTTTGGCTGGTCTTGAATTTCTGATAAATCGCAGTGTACCAATCACAAAGTCGTAATCCGGAATGCCTCGTACATATGACTAAAACAAAAAACAAGTATGAGTGTTTTATTACTTACTCAATGAATAATGTTTTTTTATTTTATTTAGTAAAGATTTTGAGCTCGGCTTTGATCAACTAATAACATCACAGTAAAACTTATAAATTCGGTACTACTATTAACAGCAGTACATTTTAGTCGTTGCCTGGGATTTTTCTAATTTCGTGGGTGCTTGTATCACGAAACAAAAAGGAACAAATAGATCCATGTTCGTTGGAGGTTAACCGCTTGCCGTCGCATGGACCGCGAGATCGACTGTCTTCAAAAGCAATGAAAAAATGCCGAATGGCTGGAAACAATATGAATAAAGATGACGATTGAACGAGAATCAAAATGGAATTCCGTAACTCGGGGAAGATTTTTTTATTGTCTATTAAATACAAAACCTGGCGGGGTTGCGAAGTTCCCGGTTCGGAATCACTCTCGCTGATCAACTTCTTTTTCTTTCCATCGAGGCGGTTGCCTTCGCCGCTAAACGCCCTGAAGCCACTAGATTCGGGCATCATCGCAGCAGGATCTTCATCCATACCTTCTACTGCTCCATCATTTGACCTTGACACGTGATCTTGTTCCTTATACCCGACTGGTGGAGCAAATTCTACCTGTTGTTTTTAAATGGGAATATCATATTAAGCTCCTCCTAACCGGAATACGTACAAAATCGTTTGTCAGACGAGAATATTTTACGAATAGCCTAGAAAGTACAATTAATATTACAGTCAAAGTTTTTTTGAATTTTAATGAATTCGGACACTTTTAATACGTTCCTTTTTTTAAGCCCTTTTTTATTTTTTGTATTGCTTATATGGGTGAACGAGCTCACGACTCATCTGATGTTCAGTGGTTACCGGAGCCCACAGACATCTACAATACAACGTAAATGCTGCCACCCACCTTAAGGCATAAGTCCTAATGTCTCACTTTTAAATACGGCTGCCCCGCCCTTCAAACCGAAACGCATTGCTGCTTCAAGGCAGAATTAGGCAGGGTGGTGGTACCTACCCGTGCGGACTCACAAGAAGTCCTATCACCAGTAATTACGTAAATTATAATTTTGCGGGTTTGATTTTTATTACACGATGTAGTTCCTTCACCGTGGAAGTCAATCGTTAACATTTGTCAAGTACGTATTACATTGGAAAAATTGGTACCTTCGGCGGGATTCGAACACCGGTGCATACCGGACGTTATCCTTTGATTTGACGAAGACTTCAGGCTTAGATTTTTTCTAGAGTGAAAATGAAATCCCAACTAAAAACTGGAAAATCAACCAATAATCCTTCTGAAAGGGCCAATCCAAAATTCACCCCAGACTGGGATCGTGATTATAATATTGAAGCAATCTATTTGTAAGTTTTAATAAGGCAAGTAGATGTAACAATTTAATACCAGATGGGCCGCGAATTTGTTCAATTAAATAAGCAACAATAAAAAAAGCCTGGTCTTAAATAAAAATTACAATAACAACTTCGTGCAAGGCGTGGTTAAGTTAGAGAGAGAGAGAGAGAGAGGGAGGGAGGGAGGGCGGGAGGGAGGGAGAGAGAGAGAGAGAGAGAGAGAGGAGGAAGGGAGAGGGAGAGAGAGGGGGAGGGAGGGGGAGGGAGGGAGAGAGAGGGGGAGGGAGGGAGAGAGAGGAAGAGAGAGAGAGTATTCTCAGCAAAAAAAAACAATGCGAAACATTAACTCCAAAAAAAAAGTACTATCTTATCGCTAAGAGCGATCATTTCGAGACAACCATCAGGTGGACAAGAATAATTAAAGTAAAGCGGAAATGTAACTGTAAATATATTACAGGCAGCAGTAAAGTCTACATTTACGATATATAAAAAATCCACGCCTCGTACTCGAATCATATCAGTAGTATAACTCAGACATAAATTGATAGTACATACATTCATATCGCACTCTATAATGATGACAGCATTCCCGGGTTTGGTCTCCAGGACACACAGCTCGTAGACTTTTGAGTTGTACTTTATAGCGATGACGTCACCGGTTGTTAAACATGAGAAGTTACGCAAACAATTTTCCAATACTGTGAAGAATAATAAAACTTCTGAAATGCTTATCCACGTTATACTATATCACATTAAACTTATCACATATTGTTAGAAAACAAAAAACACCATAAAGGCTTAAGTTTTGATTTTGAATCATATCTAAAATTTTCATTGTCTTTTAAGTATTTGATAGGTCAGTTATGGAAATATTCCATTAATGTTGACCCTGCTCTTTGTATGTCATATTATGTCTGGCTCTCTCTGACGCGGTTGTTATTTTCATTTGCCACAGGAGCTCTAGTTTCCTCTAGCTTGGAACTGTTAATGCAGCTTATGGACTTCAGAAACTGCCATGATGTGAATGCTGCTGTCTGTCTAGACATGAGATCAGAGCCTGGATTACATAACAGATATTCTTAATCTGAATGATGGATTATGTAGTTTGTCTGGTTTGTAGTACCAATTCGTGTCTGCTCAAACAGACCAATATACATTGGTCATGTATTGGTTTTTTTTTATTGCTTAGATGGGTGGACGAGCTCACAGTCCACCTGGTGTTAAGTGGTTACTGGTGCCCATAGACATCTACGACATAAATGCGCCACACACCTTGAGATATAAGTTCTAAGGTCTCAAGTATAGTTACAACAGCTGCCCCATTTTTCAAACTGAAACGCATTACTGCTTCACGGCAGAAATAGGCAGGGTGGTGGTACCTACCCGTGCGGACTCACAAGAGGTCCTACTACCAGTAAAATGGTAAATGATGTTTGCTTCATTTAATCTCTTATAGCTTAATTACAGTTATCTGGTGGAATGTTATTTAAAATGAGTTCCCAGTCAATCAGTTGAAGTTTTTGTAAAGGCCCTGTCATGTTTGAAAATATTACAACCACATACTTCAGTAAAAATGTGACTCAATCTTAGAAAATTCTACATAATAATTAAATTGATCATTTGTATGTACACATACCAGCTTTCGGATTTGTAATGTCCAAAAAATCTTCTGATAAAGGTTGGAACTTAGAGAATGTTGCTACAGGTAGTGATACACTTTCAATTTGTATTAAAGCTCCTTCTTCTAGAACAAGATTTGCCATCATCTAAAAAAAAAATTTTTGTTACTAATCTAAAATGACAGTTTTAGTTTATTAGTATTTAGTATTAGAGAGTATTAGAGTAGTAGCATTCTCGTTGTAATGTCTATGATATCCAATAAATACTAAGCACAAGGAAGCATGTGAGTTCTACAGCTAATCTTAAAAAAATAAGTCACTGATATGATCAACTAATATTTTGATTTTATTAACTTGTAACATAATTTATTCTAGTTAGTAGGTAATTTTAAACTAACTTCCTGATGACCAAGAGATTGAATATATTTCATTTATTTAAAATTTGAATATATTTTGCAATATCCCATAATATTTCCTACATAACAAAAATGGAGCAAATGTGCATTTTTAGTTGTTTTTAATGGGGTTTCTATGAACATAGAATCAGTGGTCCAGGAAATAGAGGAAGTCCTAAAGCAACAGTGACTAGTTTTTACTAGGTTGGTGTGTCTCCTACTTGATCATTAGATAGCAGTCAAATTTATTTTCAAGTTCAAAAAGTTCATATCGTAAAATTTTGTTTCATTTTCCCACATGTACGTCATAAGTTGCAAAGTACAGATTTATTCACAAAATAACAAAAGAAAACCATATTAATTCGTCTATTCATTGATTATTAACAGTTTCATTTATTATCATCATTATCATTAACAGTGAGTGCGTTAAATGAAACTGGAAGCAGTCACTGTTCAAACTACTTCATTGGAACACTCTTCTACAATACATTTTTTAAGAGCGTGTATGTGTCTGTGTGCTGCCTTCCATAGACAGTTTATGCACTAAAGAGACGATCTTAGATGTTAATAACTGTTATCGTATGTTATATTACATTTGCTTACCATTCCAAAAGTTATAAGCATGATTATGTGCATTTTTATTTAGGTTTTATTTCAATTTGTATTATTTTTGATGCCTTTGTGGGCAGAAGAGCATACGGCCCATCTGATGGTAAGTGGTCACCGTACTGACTGATTTGATTAAAGTTCATTAAAAATCTTACCCAATGTGGCAGATACACTCTTCCTTCATCAGCTACAAACTCTAGCACACCACAATGAGTGAGCCTCTTTGATTTCTTATTTGTCAACTTGAATATCATAGGATATTCTATATTGAGTCTTGTGAGTTGTTCTAATGCCGATGGGGGCATAATTACTAAAAATTTGGTAATTTGTGAAAAAAGAACAGAGATGTGAGAAATATTTTAATGAAAATAATCAGTCTAAAATAAATAAATATAATTCAATATAATTCATTTAAAGTTTATACATTTTATTTTTAAATAATTCGTTTGTTTTGACGCATGTTTGATAAATTAATTTATTACTTACATTACTATTATACTTATATTATACTACAATTATTTGTGTTTGATAAACACATACTTAATTTATGTGACAGGACCTCCTTGAGAAGGAATAACATAATTTAAAAAAAAAACCTACAAAAGATTTAATTTGCACAAGTCATATACAATTCAAATATAGACCTTAAGTCTCAAGGTTGACAGTATCACATTGTGATGTTCATGGGCTCCTATAACCACTTAACACCAGATGAGTCATATGAGCTTGTTCACCTGTCTAAGCAATTAAAAAGAGTATAAGTCTCTAACAATAAAAATCTACTGATAATCACTTTTACTGGTGGTAGCACCTCTTGTGAGTACAGACACCCGTGCGGACAGAAATATGGGTATGTACCACCACCCCGCCACCTATTTCTATCGTGAAGCAGTAATGCATTTCGTTTTGAGGGGTGGGGCAGCCGTTGTAACTCTACTGAGACCTTAGAACTTAGATCTCAAGGTAGGTGGCGCATTTAAGTTGTAGATGTCTATGGGCTCCAGTAACCATTTAACACCAGATGGGCTGTGAGCTCGTCTAGCCATTTAAGCAAAAGAAAACAACAATGAACAGAAGAGCATATGATGCTTTACCTATCAAATTCTAATGCATATGATAGGTAATGCAAAGACTTTCTCAAAGTGAGTGAGTGATTATTGTGTGTGTCAATGGGCTCCAATAACGACCATACACCAAGCTTATGAATTCTATTAATTATCTGTGATGATAAAAACGCAGCATTAAGAACTTTTCGATTGGTTCTCTAAGAGAAGTTTTGCCAAAAGTCTTTGCAAATAAAAAATAATAATGAATCAGACAATGGACACAAAGATGTCATTTGTTTTTTGTTAGCTACTCACTTTTACCACCTCTTTCAACGTCCTGTCTCTCATTCCCAGGTAACATGGAGACTGAATAGCATCTATAAGTCATATTAAATGGCCTAGATATTTCGTGAAACATATTGAATCCGAATTGAAACTGAAAAGATATGTTTAGTTTAGGGATTTCATTAATAGGTTGAATCTCTTAAATTCGTTGCCTTGTCATGATTATTAACAAATTAAATTACCATTTCGATTTTCGTTAGTATAAGCAGATATCTGAACTCTTATTTGTAAGTATTAGAAAATTGATTTAATGCAATTCATGCACAATGTACAAAAGTTCAACACACTTGTCTTTACTTAGCAAGCAAATCATATAACATCTATATAGGTCTATGTATAACATTTACAAAACATTAACTTTGACATTTTTGACAGCAGTAGTCTTCTATTTTTGTAATGGTAAAACGCAAAGGTATCACACCACACATTCAAAAATGATTTGAGGCTTCAGTGGACTTTTTAAAAGAACCCAAGAAGCCACTTCCAGCGGCATTGTTTTATTTTTTCATATTTGTGAAGTTTCACAGATGCTAAACAGTTAATAAATCACTGTGTCATCTACACGTTTAAACCTGAATAATCTAAATTATCAAAATAACACAGTTCATTTAATTCGGCAACACTTTCCGCTGAAAGGTCCTACATTTAATTTTATGCTTAAAATGTTACCTTTTCCTAACAGTCTATGAAACTCAGAGAAAAGAACTATGAAAGAACAGTCGGAGTCAGAGTTTAACGTTATGTTGAGATCAACGGAGTGTGGCGAATGTAATGTCCACGTCTAGATTAGTCCACGTAGAACGACTTCAACCTAAATATTTAGAATAAGTAGGAATGGAGGTGAAAAATATAAAACGAATGATAGCGGACGTTAATAGAAGAAAATAGACCTGAAAAAACATGTGATTGATATTATATCATACAGATAATCGTGTTTAATTAAATCCTGTATGTCGTCTCAATAAATTATTTGAGGACGAATATGATTTGGATTTTAACAAATTAATGAACTTTGGATTTTCGCATGGAAAGCGAGATTGGAAAGCGAAAATTTCAGCGAGATTTAATCATAGATTTAAATTTAAAACAGAACTCTAAGCCCAAAAGGGTACTAAGGGTATTATATGAGCCACGCTATCAAGTCTTTCAATTTTATTTTTGGAATATTTTGATTGCATCTCTAGACTACTATTAGATGCGATCGCATCATAATGAACGCAGAAATTGTGATTGAAGTTTATATCATGCTTTCTCTTTCTCTTTTGTCTACCATTTCATTCATTTGTATATGTGGCATCCGAGGGTGTACATTATTCGTCATATTACTCCGAAACAGCCAAATTTATCCGCCCCTATTCTTCTTCATGTAGAATTCTAGAAGTTGTAAGTACGATAGGTCATCTATCGTTTATAATCAGTAAATTGTTTTTGTCGCGATCCGGTCGTTGTCATTTCTTTCTCTAACGAACGCCATGTTGATTGTCAAAAGTGTTTTCCGATGAGACATCAGTGAAATTGATTTNTTCGTCATATTACTCCGAAACAGCCAAATTTATCCGCCCCTATTCTTCTTCATGTAGAATTCTAGAAGTTGTAAGTACGATAGGTCATCTATCGTTTATAATCAGTAAATTGTTTTTGTCGCGATCCGGTCGTTGTCATTTCTTTCTCTAACGAACGCCATGTTGATTGTCAAAAGTGTTTTCCGATGAGACATCAGTGAAATTGATTTGTGCTATCTTTTCAGAGTTCGCGATTTTAAAAGGGTCGCCCGTTTTTTCGTTTTCGGTTTGTGTAGGACGGAGTGATCAATAAACATGGCGCAAGTATTACCGATACGGTTTCAAGAACATTTACAGGTGAGTACGCCCATCAGTTTATTGCATTTACCGATCATTTCCTTTTAGGAACTAAGGGCCCCCTAAGAAAGTGTATTAGGGATGGGTAGTGAAACTTTTTAATGAATTGATCAAAAAAATGTAAGGTAATGAATGTTTTTTTCATTACTTAGACAGTGTCCACCCCCTACGTGCAAGTCGAGTTGAAGCCAGTAGGTATTGATTTGTTCCAAATTCAATTTGCGATCATATGATTGGGGGTTGAAACGCTAGATGGGGTTATTTTTTACTAAACGCCAAGTTTTAAATATAATTTTCTTTTTAATTTCAAATCTCGTGATTGTCAATGTATACAATATTGTCATCTGTGGATTTTGTTCAAAGAGGATAAGGTCTAAAAAATCGAATACTATTTTTATTTCTTTACAAAAATTCACCTACCTTCAACAAAATATTGTTCCTTGAAAAACAATTTGTGATAATTTAACTACATTCCAATTTTATCAATACTCAGGATTATAACAAGTGAAAATCGCATCAGTTCTCTTTAGTGAATTAAACCTAATATAAATTTAAAATAAATTAATGATTAAAAATCACCAAATAATTATATACCATAAGATATCTTATGCAATGTAGGCACTTGAATAACATTTGTAGTTGTAGGTAAAATAGATCTTAGAATAAAAGTTGATGTCTTCATCTGTAAGAAAACTATTAGGAGGGGAAATTAATTATTTTAACATCTTATATGTATGCTGAGTTTCTCACCGGATCTTCTCAGCAGGTCGCAATTCCGATCCGGTAGTAGATTCATTCACGAAGCAGCTGATCTTGAGCTGTTAGGTCTCCTTCGGAGGCGCTCAGGTAGCTGTTAGCAAATCCCACCCCTCCTGGCGGAGCCTTTGCTCGCCCACCTGTCCTGGTGAAGCTGGAAAGGTCTCCAGGCCACCAGTAATCATTCAATCATAAAAAAATAAAAAAAAACCTTCTATAAAAATAATCTCATCAAAAATTTAAGGCTCTTTTCAAAAATTTTGTTCAAATATGATATATACATTATTTTATAAAACTGTTCCAAACATATAAGATTTGTATTATATGACATATTAATTGCTCATCTGAACATGGAATGTAGGTAGGTTGATTCTGTTAACAAAATTTTTTTTGCAGCTTACAAATGTGGGAATCAATCCTGCTTCTATTTCTTTCAACACTCTCACCATGGAATCGGACAAGTTTATCTGTGTTCGTGAGAAGGTTGGTGAGACTGCAGAAGTTGTCATTATTGATATGGCAGATCCAACAAATCCAATTCGACGACCAATCAGTGCCGACTCTGCTATCATGAATCCAGCTAGTAAAGTCATTGCTTTGAAAGGCAAAGCTGGTGTTGAAGGTAAGATAGTAATTCATCTATGTCAATATATGGTAGAATTATCTTATAAGTTGATTAAGTTTAAATTTCAATTAGGGCAGTATGTGGAGACATCAAAAAAGATTCAAATGCAGTAATTTATTTTTTATGTTTTTTTATATATTAATACTGACTTGTTAGTTGCGTTAGCAACTAAAAAGGGAACATGTTTGCTCACTAGGCAGACAATCTGAATGTTGCTTGGAAGTGTTTTGATTTTGTTGTTACAAAATTCAGATTCTTGCCAGTTTTATGGTAATAGTTTCTGCCACAATTGGTTTCAAATGTAAAATTGAATTTTGATCATTAATATATATGGCCGAAATTGCTAGCCAGGGCCCTTAAATGTAGCAAGTTAAGAAAACAAAATTGTGATTTTAACAAACAAAAAAAACTTATAATAACTTATGAGAAACAGGATTAACCTCTTCTTTTTAGTTTATTTTGTGTTATCCAGAGAAGAAACAAAGAAAATATGCTAGTGTGGAGCTAATGCAATACACATTTATTATTCTATAGACTTGTGGGTTGCACATAAATAAAGATTACATAATACTGAAAATTTTGACTACATCTATTATAAGCTTCCAAATTCTATTTGCCGACATGTCCAAAAACAGTACGAATAAGTCATGAAAACGAAAAACGAAAAAAAAAAGCGTGTATATTTATATAAAATTATACAGATGGTTAAAAAGTGAGCACAATGTATTAGAATTAAAAAAGAAAACTATTTTCATTGAGAATGCTTTTGTGTAAAGAAATGACATACAAAATATCCTGCTGGGCGTTTCTTGTTGTTTTATCATCGTGTGGTTAAATTTAGACGCGATTGTAACGCCCAACACAAAGACATAGTCCCAAGAAAGCTTTCTTTGTGCATTAAACAGGTGATAATTATGCAAAAGGGATCTATTCAATATTGTAGTTAATATAAAAATATGATGTGTACTTATTTAAAAAAATATTAATGTAAACATAACCAAAAAATTCATTACATAACACTTTTCTTTTATTGAGTTTCAATTTAATATTTTTCTGGGTTATCATTTTAATAAGTGAATCAGGACAATTAAATAATTAGAAATCATCCTTCTAATTTCATATACAGGCGTCCTCGTATAACACGAGTCATTCGTACCGTGTTAAACGAAACAAGGTATACCGTGTAGTATCGAGGCCTTGTATTCGAGATCGTGTTATACGAAGCCCTGGGGATTTCCCTAATTGAATGCAATTCAAAAATACATTTGAATTTCTAATGCAAATTCGATATTTTGAAATCGTGTTATTTTAAAACCGTATTACAATTATTATTCTTAATTCTTGTACCGTGTAATATCGAAACCGTTTCTTACAAGTACGGTGTTGTACGCGAGACGCCTGTAATATGTAATAAATAAAATGACGACATTTTGTAACGAAAAGAGTCAAATTACGCCCATGATATTAACGATGTTCGAACACTACTCTTGAACGTTAATACTATAAGAATGCCAACATCTGACACTATTGGATTTGTTAAATTACTCTAGGCTTTAGGGTAATGGAGCTCACGATCCAACTATTACTAAGCTTTTTTGTCATTAATCGCGAGAGGCTATTATTCTGACTTCATCTGGACTAGTGTGCGAGATCACAGGCCTCGGCCTGAAATAATTTGCTAATACCGGGACATGTGCAAGCAGAGATATCTGCTTCACTTAATCTATTACCGGACCAGAATCTCGGCCCACTGTGAAGATCCGGCGAGGAACAGTGCATCGGCTATCGGAGCCCATGAACATCAAATCATAAATTCCACAAATACGTTTTAACCGGAATGCATCACTGCATCTCGACATGTGGAATGGTGATGCTCGCTTTCTTGTGTAAGCTCAATACGGAAATTCAAATTGTTATTGTGCGATCCCATCAAAAAGTACTTTGAGCACATGTATGGTACGGTCTATGTATTTAGAAAAGTCGGTACCGGTCATCGAACTCGAATGCAGGCACAGTCGCAATACACAAAAAGTTATCCACTTATCAGTTTTGTCTGTATAAGTGAACAACAATAATAATGTGTCATCAAACAAACAAACAAAAAATTATACTAAAAGGAAGATAAAAAATATTTTGTGTATATTAATTCCGTTTTAATTGAAGCTTGCTACAAAACAAAACATTACTCTTATCACATCTGTCTAGTAAATTAAAAGCTTTGGATATGTTAAGATAATAAATAACAATTAGCGGTTGACGATATATACTTAAAATAAATAATCTTCAATAATTTCGTTGCGTGTTCGGCAATATCAAAATAGCTTTATTATTGTTTCGAAATATATGACATTTCCGTATTAAGGAAATTGGCTTCATTTAACTTGATGTGGCCAAGTCGCGGATTACAGTGAATGGCGTCTAAATCAGTTGATTTGTCGAAAATTATTGGTACAAATTGGTTGAAATTAAGTACCTAACATTTTGACATTGACTGATAGAAAATCCACTATCGGGCAAAGTCATCCCTGAACGTTTATCGGCTTTTGTTTGATAAGAATTTGCAAATTTTAATGTATATAAAATGTACACGACATTATTTACACAAATGTTTGAGCATAATACAAAATCTATGAAGATATTATCTGCATTGCAGTTTTCTATGACGTAACGCATATACGCAGGCGATCGATATGTACATTTGGGCTATATGTCCAAATATGTATGGACACAAATTGATTTATATATACGTATAAAATAAATACATTTATTATATTCTTGGTTACATCACGCACATTCGTGCCTCCGTTTGGGGAAACAGCTCTGGCAGTGACTCATCCGTGCGTTAATTTTGTCAGTTACATTTTCTTGGCAAAAAAATTAATAAATAACCGAAACGAGCACCAAATTATTGCTTATATATAATCTAAAGCTGTTTAAGCGTCATTGCCCTCATTAAATCTACGGCAATTCAATAAATAACAATCTGATTATTACGACCTTGAATTGTAAACACCCTAGGATATCATAATAATAATAGAATAATGTGTCAATAAATCATGTTTCAAAATGACTTCGTTCATAAGTTAAATTTAGTACTTCGGATATAAAGTTGTAGGCTTGACCTTTATCTCAGCGTAATATTGATTTTGTCGTAGTTCGTTCATCTTCTACGTGAAATGACCCTGTTGTCGTATCATACTTAATTTTATCACATCAATAGAGTTTCCATAAAGGATATTGATGAAATAATTACAAAAATGTTATAAAAATGTCTTTGAAGTCGTCGGGCCTAAAGGATAAGACGTCCGGTGCATTTGTATCTAGCGACGCACTGGTGTTCGAATCCCGCATGCGGGTACCAATTTTTCTAATGAAATACGTACTTAACAAATGTTCACGATTGACTTCCACGGTGAAGGAATAACATCGTGTAATAAAAATCAAACCTGCAAAATTATAATTTGCGTAATTACTGGTGGTAGGACCTCTGGTGAGTCCGCACGGGTAGGTACTACCGCCCTGCCTATTTCTGCCATGAAGCAGTAATGCGTTTCGGTTTGAAGGGTGGGGCAGCCGTTGTAACTATACTGAGACTTTAGAACTTATATCTCAAGCTGGATGGCGCATTTACGTTGTGGATGTCTACGGGCTCCAGTAGCCACTTAACACCAGGTGGGATGTGAGCTCGTCCACCCATCTTAGCAAGCAATGAAAAAAAATAATATGGATATTCATTTTCGACATATAAAAGTGTAATGAGATCTCTCATTTACAATGACTGAAATTGTTCTCTATTTTTCGTCGTTAAGAACTTTTGTAAGATTTCTTTATGATATTCTCTTTGATTCTCACTCGCCCACGTACCTTAAAAGCCTATTTTATTATAGCAGCGACACCCACTCTCAATCTTCGTTCTTCGATTAATCTCATCATCGCCAATCCTTTTCATCTTTTTTTTTAGTATATTTCGTTTTCTTGAACAGTTTTTCGTTTCTTTATTATAGCTTATCTAATTAATTTCATAAAAACGAATTAAACTTTTATGTGTACAAGAAAACAATAACTCAATACTTCATTATTTTAGTTCGGTAATGTGTTCTTATTTCGATCTGTACCTTTATTATAATGTATTATTTGATATAGTGTATCAGTTGATCATTTATTTACTGCATATATGTATGTATATTTGCAAATATACCTATAGAATATAAGAGTTCATCTGTATTGCCCCAAAAATTTCTACGATCGAATAGTAAGCTGGTAGATGATGCTTTATGCCACTAAGTTCGCCGTTTATGTTTACAATAATGCTTAAGTGAATAAATAAGTATAAAGCTAGCGATTGGTGTCTGTGAATACGCAGAAGCTCCGCAGTGCCGTCTGTAACTGCTGCCAAGCAGTTATGCGTTATGGTTTTAAAGTCAAGATATCCGGTTCTACAATTTAGAAAATTATAATAACCTAACCCATGAATCAGCTCGCTGAGTTTCTCGCCGGATCTTCTCAGCGGGTTGCGATTCCGATCCGGTAGTAGATTCATTCGCGAAGCAGCTACTCTTGAGCTGTTAGGTCTCCTTAGGAGGCGCTCGGGTAGCTGTTAGCAAATCCCACCCCTCCTGGCTGAGCCTTTGCTCGCCCACCTGTCCTGGTGAAACTGGAAAGGCCTCCGGGCCACCAGTAATACTTCAAACATAAAAAAAATATAAAAAAATATATAAAATTATTTTGCAAATCGGCAAGGGCACGTTATATATCCGAAAGTTTATTTAACTTGTAAAAACGTTAGTTTTGAATCATTGTATTTATCAGACTGCTCGTAAGAAGAATAAAATATGATCGTTTCAGTAACCCTTATATATCTGACCTTTGATAAATTAATTATCTAATATTTCGCACTAGGATAATTAATTCAAGATCGCCTCTTTGCTTGAGAGAGGCGTTTGACCTGTTTGTTATATCCTATTTGGGTCGCCAAACGAATTCCAATGACAGTTGACCTTAAATATTTAAACTGCATTAGTAATGTGCCATTAAGTAACTGGACCGCGCAGTAAGAGAAAGTCTTATTAAAATCGACTTGTTTTGGCAATCGTATTTGGCAGCGGAACTAAAGATTTTTATGTCGAATTGTCTAGTACGAAAAAGGATGATTGCGTAAGAAGTTTCATTCTCCAATATTTTTTTCATGTCACTGAATGTAGTTTCTGATGATCCTCTTTTTTTTAATATAGAAATCGACTTCTTGCGGTGCCATAGTTGCCAGTATCAAGATTTTCTTTATTCTTGAATAATTAAATATATTATAATCTGTTATATGAAAAATGCAGCGGAATGAGAGGAACTTCATTTATTTGAAATTGTAATCAATTGAAATGAAATTAGATGAAATGGAATGAAACGAAATGGGAATTTACTAAGACTTCAATAGGATTTTTGAAAGAAGCTACGTCTAGAACTACTGTTTCATTAATCGCACCGATACTGATGCTTAATCATCATCATCATCATCAACAGCCCACAGTCGTCCACCGCTGGACATAGGCCTCTCCCAATCCACACCACTGAGCCCGGTCTGCGGCTCTCCTCATCTACTTCTTGCCGGCCACCGTGCGGAGGTTTATAATGGTTAATAATAGGATGCTTAATAATGATTTAAAATCCCCCATTATTAGCTTCTTAAACTTGAAGTAACACTACATTAACTAACGCAATAGAATTATTTACACAACTTTGCTCCTCGCGATTCCGTCAAAATAGCTGATGGTCTATTGTGCTCCNCGGTCTGCGGCTCTCCTCATCTACTTCTTGCCGGCCACCGTGCGGAGGTTTATAATGGTTAATAATAGGATGCTTAATAATGATTTAAAATCCCCCATTATTAGCTTCTTAAACTTGAAGTAACACTACATTAACTAACGCAATAGAATTATTTACACAACTTTGCTCCTCGCGATTCCGTCAAAATAGCTGATGGTCTGTTGTGCTCCATACGCGATTAATTGATGGTTCAAATCAGCGAAAAGCAATATGTAGGTGAGTAGGTGCTAAAAAAAAATAAGATATGGTAAAAGTGACGGTAACTCGTTCACACATTGTTCGACCCAACCCGTACTATGCTGTCGTAGAAAATATATAATGCAGACCTACAAAACATGTTCATATTAAATGTAGTAGAAATGTTATTTTATGTAAGTCGTATTTTTCGTAAGTCGTTGTGGCCTAAAGGATAAAACGTCCAGTGCATTCGTGTTGATCGATGCACCGATGTTCGAATTCCAGACAGGTACCAATTTTTCTAATGAAATACGTACTCAACAAATGTTCACTATTGACTTCTACGGTGAAGGAATAACATCGTGTAATAAAAATCAAACCCGAAAAATTATAATATGCGTAATTACTGGTGGTAGGACCTCTTGTGAGTCGCCACCACCAACCTGCCTATTTCTGCCGTGAAGCAATAATTTGTAGGGTGGGGCAGTCGTGTAGGGACTATCAGGTGGCGGGTGCGGGGGCGCCCGGTACTCGACTGTCGGTCCGGTGGTGGGGCGGTGCAAGGTGGCTCCTGTGCGCCGCCCACGGTGTATCTCCCGAAATGACGTCCTTCGGGATTTTCCCGGAGATGAAATCCCGTCTTATCGTCAGGACGGGTACCGGCGAAGGCGGACTTTCGGCGCGCACTGCGGTACCGTAGGTCTGGTGTAGCCGGTGTGGTGGAGCTCGATGGGGTATAGTCGGTAGTCGTTCTGCGGGGCAAGTGCTTCGCGCGCCTTTTTCAAGGCGTAGTCTCTTGCGAGGAATTCGGGGAGGTGGAGGACCTTCTCGTCCCCCTCTTCCTCTCAGGAGGCGCCGGAGTCCGACATAACCCGGTTCGTTACCCCCCCGGACCGGGTATCAGTAAATGGATTCCCCAGAAAAAAAAAAAAATTTGATTTGTGCTTTGCTGTAAAACCGATGAATAGAGATTTGTACTAGATATTAAAAAGTAGTAGTAATCGACGACCCATCAAAAAATTAAATACTTTTTTAACTGCTTTGTAAAAAAATGCGGCCGTCGGTTGCTTTTGGTTCTTTGCTCGTCTTCGCTAAAAAAGTGGATCATAATTCCTTTTTCGGATTTTTGAAGAATATACGTTTGAGTACACGTACACGTACTTATGAGGAGTACGTATGTACATCTTCATTTAGTAAGGATACCGCGTTATTAGGAACTTTTTAAATCACAACTTTGATGTTCAGATTGAGAATGTGGGGTCTTTAAAAGCGTAAAACTAAGAAGTATTCTCTGCCTGGCGTCAGTTTAAATTATGTGATTTCGTCAATCAAGACAAACATATTTTTAAACATTAATTCTATTGTTACAGCTCAAAAAACACTTCAAATTTTCAATATCGAGATGAAATCCAAAATGAAGGCGCACACCATGACCGAAGACATTGTTTTCTGGAAGTGGATTTCACTGAACACACTCGCTCTGGTCACCAAGATGTCGGTGTACCACTGGTCGATGGAAGGCGACTCGACACCCGTAAAGATGTTCGACAGGCATTCGTCGCTTGCCGATTGCCAGATCATTAACTACAGGACGGATCCGAAGCAACAGTGGTTACTGCTGGTCGGTAAGTAACCTTTTGTTACTAAACTCACGATTTTTTTTAAAAAAATTAACACTACTCACTTAACTCTAAAAGCGTCAAGACACAACCCTAATTATGTGTTATAGAAGAAGTGAGCTGCATCGGATTTTTTTAGAAATCACTACATAGTATAAAACAAAGTCGCTTTCTGTGTCCCTATATCCCTATTTATGCTTAAATCTTTAAAACTACGCAACGGATTTTGATGCAGTTTTTTTTAATAGACAGAGTGATTGAAGAGGAATGTTTATAGGTATAATAACATCCATTAAATAGGGGAGAAATCAATAATAAATCACAGTTTCCGAAGCGAAGCGAGGGATAAATACGTGTTTTATATCAACTTTTGATATAAAAAAATGTCTTCGATTATCACTACCTGTACGTTTTTTTTTTACGAATATTCGAATTTAAATATGTAATGGCCCCAAAATAGAATTATCGTTTATTCTCCTAATGGAGCAAAAAAAAATATACCAAGCGATAGTTTACGGTGGTATGATAAGTTATCAAGTCACTGTCACGACGAGCAACGGGTTTTTCGTATAACCTAATTTCCTTTTCACCAGGTATTTCTGCTCAACAAAATCGGGTAGTCGGCGCTATGCAGCTGTACTCTGTCGAGCGCAAGTGCTCTCAGCCTATCGAGGGCCACGCCGCGTCATTCGCCACATTCAAAGCGGAAGGCAACGCCGAGCCGTCCACTCTCTTCTGCTTCGCGGTGAGGACTGCCCAAGGCGGCAAATTACACATTATTGGTAAGTTATCGTATCATCACTATGAAGTGATGTTGGCTATAATGGACAACACAATAATCAATGACATTTAAGTAAAGCAGTTATCTTGGCCTTGCTTCCTTTTCGTTGCTTCCTTGTAGTTTCTTTGAAAGTCATGTTTATGCATTTCTTGTGTGACTTAATTCTCACAATTAGCTAATATATAGAGCTATTATTTGCGAAAAAAGTGGGTAAAAATTAAAAATGAGGGTAGTCGATAAACTAGAGCTGATGAGTTAAAATGACATATGTGAATATATTGTACATTACCTACTTTATCGACCATAGACACAAAAAGACCTGCACCAAAAAAAAAAAATTTTTTTGTAGGCCTGTGTAATGTTTACTGAAATGATTCTCTCCAATTTACTCAATCACTAGCAGTTTAAAAAGGGCTTTAAAACTTAAAGCCTTGTGAAAACAAGAATCTTAGTATTTCAAGTAACACCTACGCAAAGAGCATTCGAAAGTTGGTCCAACATTTCACCGAACTGATAAATTGAAATAATACATCACATAATATGGCTAATTATTCAATTAAAATTTGATCTGTAAATGTTTCCAACAGAGGTTGGCCAAACGCCGGCCGGCAACCAACCATTCCCGAAGAAAGCCGTCGACGTGTTCTTCCCGGCGGAGGCGCAGAATGATTTCCCAGTGGCGATGCAAGTATCGCCGAAGTATGACGTCATTTACTTGATTACCAAATATGGATACATTCACATGTACGATATCGAGACTGGAACGTGCATTTACATGAACCGTATCTCGTCGGACACGATCTTCGTGACGGCGCCCCATGAAGCGACTGGCGGTATTATCGGTGAGTTTACAATAAAACCCATTTATCGATAAAATTATAAGTTAACTCTTAATATTAATGCAGGAAATCGCAAAATTTAAACAAAAGCACTACGAAAGATTGGAAAAGCACCCAAACAATCTGGCTGCCGCCTTGAAAACGAATTTACGGTAAACTGCTCAAGAGAAAAAACGTCATATAGTTCAATGACAAATCCTTAAACTTACAGTAGATGGCTCACTGGAGTTACGCTCTTACTGACTACGTAATGAATTTCAACGCATTTAATTAAAGGACAAGATGCTGATGGTAGATAATAAAGGAAAAAAAAAACTTAATATTAAGTATGCAAATTTAATATAATGTTACATGCTGTATTGCACACGAAACTAATATGAATAGCAGAATCGTACTGTGAAATGATATGTACATATTTAATGCATTCTTTATGATTCTATATTGTTTTAAATTACCATTCTTTTTATTTTGAATTTGTTTTTTACTAGTGGTAGGACCTCTTGGGAGTCCGAACGGGTAGGTACCACCACCCTGCCTATTTCTGCCGTGAAGCAGTAATGCGTTTCGGTTTGAAGGGTGGGGCAGCCGTTGTAACTCTACTTGAAATCTAAGAACTTACATCTCAAGGTGAGTGGCGCATTCACGTTGTAGACGTCTATGGGCTCCACTTAACACCATTTAACACCAGGTGGGCTGTGAACTAGTGCACCCATGTAAGCAATAAATAAAAAAAATCTGATTAAATGAAGATGGAATAATCGGTTCTTAGTTAACTTCATTTTATTGATATAGGTGTAAACCGCAAAGGTCAAGTGTTATCAGTGACGGTAGAGGAAGACTCAATAGTTCCGTACATAAACACCGTGCTCCAGAACCCCGAGTTAGCGTTACGCATGGCCGTGCGTAACAACTTGGCAGGTGCTGAAGAACTGTTTGTGAGGAAATTCAACATGTTGTTCACGAATGGACAATACATTGAGGCTGCTAAGGTATAGTCATTTTTTGTTGTTCTAAATGTTGATACGGAATGGAATTAAATGTGTTTCATCAAAAATCGATACATCACTTGTCTAAATACCACGTATCACATAGGTCCCAATAAATATTTGACTTTAGATTTTGAATTATAAATAAAACTAGTGGTCCTTCTGTAGTCGAAATTCGACTATAATTAATTTAAATTATAAGTTTGGCATTATTATGGTTCCATTGCCAAAGACCATACTTCTACATTTAATCATATTAATCTATTCTCAATTTGACCACAGACTTTAACAATAAATATATAGGTATGTGAGTGTGTGTCAAATACTTGGTAGTGTGTGTAATGTTTTCTTTATTGATTTAAATTTTTTTTTTTAAGAGATTTTATGACCTAGTAACTGAGACCTTTAAGTCATGTCTTATTTTATTCTATATTCTTAATTTTATGAAAAATGATATTATGGAGTGAAATGAAATGAAAATGATTAATTTGTGACATTAATCAACTAGGATGAAATTAAATGAGATGATATGAGATGAAATCTAATCTCAGTAAAATGGTGGTCATTTACTAAGATTTTTCAGTGGACTTTTTGGAGGATCCCGAGAAGTTACGTCCAGCGGCTTTGTTTCACTTTCCCACATTTGTGCACTTTCACAGATATTAAACGGTTAATAAACCACCATTATTACACATTTAAACCCGAAGAAACACTAAATAGACAAAATAAAACAAATCACACAACTTCACTCCTCGCGTTCCCGCCAAAAAGTCCTTATTGATTTAAAGATTTTTTTTATGCATAGCTAAAAAAAATATTCGCTCTCTGCACTTCTTCTTTATATTCTCTATAAGTGTGAGAAATTTTATGCTCTTCCGTCTGCGAAATTTTCATAAAAAGGGGTACAAATTTTCTGCTTCACGTATTAATATAAAGATTAATTGGCAAGTTAAGTACTTGAAATAAATATTAAGTACTTCAAATTTTTTTTAAACACAACAGGTAGCAGCTATGGCACCTCGAGGAATCCTCCGTACACCGCAAACTATCCAGCGTTTCCAACAAGTGCCGACACAGCCAGGTCAAAATTCGCCGTTGTTGCAATACTTTGGTATACTCCTTGATCAGGCGCAACTCAACAAGTTTGAATCCCTTGAATTGTGTCGTCCTGTTTTATTGCAAGGTAAGTTTTTTATACTAAACTTTAACTTGTAAAATAACAAATGTCAATGAGCAAATCCCCCCACTATTAGATATGAAAAATTCATAAAACCTTTGAATCAACAATTGCATTTGTCTTAATGTTTTTTGTCTTACAGGGCGAAAACAACTGCTCGAGAAATGGTTGAAGGAAGAAAAATTGGAGTGCTCAGAAGAACTCGGAGATCTTGTAAAGCAAGTAGATCCTACACTTGCTCTCTCAGTTTACCTTCGTGCTAACGTCGCCAGTAAAGTTATTCAGTGCTTTGCTGAGACTGGGCAATTCCAGAAAATTGTGCTATATGCCAAGAAGGTAAGTTTAAACCTTATATGTATTGAGGTTTTGCCTGTACTAAATACTCTTAAGTTGTTGTAAACCTGTGGATTTTGAATTGGGGGATGCGGACGCAGTTAATTTTTATTCCTAAAGGACTTGACTCAAAAAAAGTGGAGACTTTATATATGGAACAATTTATATCAAGTAATCATGTTGTCACTTATCCTTTTTCTAGAAACTTAAAAGATTCATTATGTTATAACTAAATTAAATGTGCAAGAAAAATGCATTGTGCAAACAGTATTTAATAAATAAACATACAATCACTACCCCCATATTATTTTAGAAAATGGACAGTTACAATCCAATTTTAGTCCATTGATAATTCACTTGGATAAACAAATCAAATAACTGGCTTTCCTCATTAATCATCTTTTGACTCAACACTACTAAGAATTCGATCGATACTCATATTAAGTTGTTCACAAGTGAAGATTGAAATACATTATTTATTTTATAGGTTGGCTACACTCCAGACTACATTTATCTTCTTCGTTCCGTGATGCGTACCAATCCTGAACAAGGGGCAGGATTTGCAGGAATGTTAGTCGCCGAAGATCCCCCTCTAGCAGACATTAATCAGATAGTAGATGTTTTCATGGAACAAAATATGGTGCAACAATGTACAGCCTTCCTTTTGGACGCTCTGAAGAATAACAGACCTGAGGAAGGACCTTTACAAACTAGGTACACACTTAATACTGCATTTGATATTGTTTTAATATTGTATCAAAGCTGTAATTATCAATGGTTATCCTGTAAATCTTTGAAAATTATCAATAATTTTATGTAATTAATGTGTAACAAAATTAATTTAATACATTTAAAATATATGTGTTTTTATATTATTGATGAATATGAAGTGTATTCTTATTACAGGCTTCTAGAAATGAACTTGATGTCAGCGCCGCAAGTAGCAGACGCGATCCTCGGCAACGCGATGTTCACGCAGTACGATCGCGCGCACGTTGCTCAACTCTGCGAGAAGGCTGGATTATTACAACGGGCGCTTGAGCATTACACTGACTTATATGATATCAAGAGAGCTGTTGTGAGTACCTACATAATGTTATAATATAATAAGGATACATGTTTATAGATAGCATTGTGGAATTCTCTCAGTGATTTGTTGAATGAAATTAAATAATTATAATAATTAAATAATTTCGGTGTAGAGTTCATTCATACTACCTGGAGCTACTGCGTTCGTCCACAGTGCGTTTCCAGAGATCTTTTTTGCCACGTACCATCCGGCTTTGAAATGAGCTCCCCTCCATAGTGTTTCCCGAGCGCTATGACGTATCCTTCTTTAAACGAGGATTGTGGAGGGTACTTAACAGTAGACAGTGGCTTGACTGTGCCCCTGGCATTGCTGAAGTCCATTGTCGACGGTAACCACTCACCATAAGGTGGGCTGTATGCTCGTCTGCCTACCAGGGTAATAAAATAATAATATAACATAATTAGGTATTATATGTGATTTAACATTTACAGGTACATACTCACCTTTTACCGGCTGACTGGCTTGTCACATACTTCGGAAGTTTGTCCGTAGAGGACTCCCTTGAATGTCTGAAAGCAATGCTTCAGGCTAACATCCGTCAGAATCTGCAGATTTGTGTCCAGATCGCCACTAAATACCATGAGCAACTAACAACAAAGGCTTTAATTGAATTGTTTGAGAGTTTCAAAACATATGAAGGGTTGTTCTATTTCCTGGGATCAATTGTAAACTTCAGCCAGGATCCAGAAGTCCACTTTAAATATATTCAGGTATGTACTAATATTTTTACCTAAAGATCATACCGAAAGAAAACTAAACTTATATTTTTTATAAAATTTTATTGGAACTATGTTGCTGAACTACAAATTCGCAATGATGGTATTGTAATAGGATGTTTTTAAAATACACAGATATATAATATGTTTTCATACTTTAGTAATTCTTTTTCACTGATATTCATCAATTTATTTCCAGGCTGCATGTAAGACTGGTCAAATCAAGGAAGTGGAGCGTATCTGTCGCGAATCCAGCTGTTACAACCCAGAGCGCGTGAAGAATTTCCTCAAAGAAGCAAAGCTTCCCGACCAGTTGCCTCTTATCATAGTTTGTGATAGATTCGACTTTGTTCACGACTTGGTTTTGTACTTATATAGAAACAGTCTTCAGAAATATATTGAGATTTATGTACAAAAGGTATGTAAAATGTAATAAAATTACTATCTTTATAAATTTACGTAAAATGTTCCAAGTGCTTGTGATCTGCCTGCTATTTTCGCCAAAATATGCAGTTCTTAAATTTCTGAGAATATCACTGTAAATTTTTCAAGGATGCATAAAATTACATAAAATTAATGTAACCATACCTTTCAGCAAAACAAAAAAAAAATCATATTTCGATTTCAGGTTAATCCTTCTCGTCTGCCAGTCGTAGTTGGTGGCTTGTTAGATGTTGATTGTGCTGAAGACATCATTAAGAACCTGATCTTGGTTGTCCGGGGACAGTTTTCGACTGATGAATTGGTTGCTGAAGTGGAAAAGAGGAATAGGTATGCTTAACATTATATTTGGCATAATAAACTTGAAAAATTAAAATGGATTCACAGTGCAGTACAAACATGGGACTTAGAAGGGGGGTTCAATTATTCAAAAACAGAACTAATCCAATTTGTAATGACTTGATATGTTCATCCTTTTAGACTGAAACTCCTCCTTCCTTGGCTGGAAACAAGAGTACATGAGGGCAGCAACGAACCAGCCACACATAATGCTCTAGCCAAGATCTACATTGATTCCAACAACAATCCTGAGAGATTCCTCAGAGAAAATCAGTGGTAAGTAATTGATTAAATTGTTTTATAATTATACTTATATCTTTGTTAACTTAGAATTGCCCTTTTACTGCAATCAGTAAATTACAAGCTGCACATCAATAATTAAATAGCCTACCTCCTGTTTCTGATGCTTCACCATAAAAACCCTCTAAGAATAGTTTTTTTTTTTATTGCTTAGATGGGTGGACGAGCTCACAGCCCACCTGGTGTTAAGTGGTTACTGGAGCCCATAGACATCTACAACGTAGATGCGCCACCCGCCTCGAGACATGAGTTCTAAGGTCTCAGGTATAGTTACAACGGCTGCCCCACCTTTCAAAACGAAACGCATTACTGCTTCACGCCAAAAATAAGCAGGGTGGTGGTACCTGCCCGCGCGGACTCTCAAGAGGTCCTACCACCAGTAGCCGCAGTAAAAAGTTATTAATTAAAGTTACCGTCAATATAATTGTCAGGTATGACTCCCGCGTGGTTGGCCGCTACTGCGAGAAGCGCGACCCGCACTTGGCGTGCGTGGCGTACGAGCGCGGACAGTGCGACCGCGAGCTCATCGCCGTCTGCAACGACAACTCTCTCTTTAAGACCCAGGCTCGCTACCTGGTGCGCAGGAAGGATCAAGACCTCTGGCTCGAGGTGCTCTCTGAGGAGAATCCTTACAAGAGGCAACTTATTGACCAGGTAAATCAGTTTTCTATCATGGTACCACTTTTTTTTTCCTACCTAAGCTGAGAGCCTTGAGAGGCTATTTCAGCGTAACCTTAACTAGTAGGTAGGTGAGCTCACGGGGCTTAAACCTGACGACGTTGCTAACACGAACCCTAGCAAGAGCCGTGCTTCGCAGAATCTACCACCGGATCGGAAACGCGACCCACTGAGAAGATCCGGCGAGAAACTCAGTGGGCTATGGTACCACGCATTTTAAAGCTCTTATAGTTTTAAAGTGGTTACTCCAGTACAATTGAGACTATAACTTAACCTTTGTATACTTTTATTTCTTAGGTGGTGCAAACAGCTCTTTCTGAAACCCAAGATCCTGAAGATATCTCTGTTACTGTAAAAGCTTTCATGACAGCCGACCTACCCAACGAACTCATTGAGCTGCTTGAAAAGATTGTTCTTGACAATTCTGTGTTCTCTGATCACAGGAACCTTCAGAACCTTTTGATTCTTACTGGTAAGCTATTTAAGTACTTATTTGACGTTCTATATATTATTATATGTATCTATTGAACGAATATATGTAAACAAAATTGTAAATGGATTTGTTTGTTCACCTATGCTTTTCTCTTAATTTGCTTGTAGCTAGTCATAAAATCTTAAAAATATAATATAAATATAAGTTTGGGCTATTCATTCTTCTATTAAATTTATTGACAAAGAAATAGATTCATCAATTCAATATTACAAAACTATCAAAACCCAATAAACCATGCTGATGACGATTCAAAAGTATAATTTTGTTTTTCATTCTATTACAGCTATCAAGGCGGACCGTTCTCGTGTAATGGAATACATCAATCGTTTGGATAACTACGACGCACCTGATATCGCCAACATTGCTATCAACAATGAATTATACGAGGAGGCATTCGCTATCTTCAAAAAATTCGATGTTAATACTTCTGCTATACAAGTGAGTACTAAATATAGATTATTCATTAAATATATATTTCTGTACCAACCCAAATCTGTACGACATTCTTCTTTTATAATCAGTCCTTGTGTATCATGAATTTCTTCTTTTGTCGTTGTCGTCGTCGTGGCCTAAGAGATAAGACGTCTGGTGCATTCGTGTTGAGCTATGCACCGGTGTTCAAAAACTCAAAAAATGTTAACGATTGACTTCCATGGTGAAGGAATAACATCGTGTAATAAAAGTGAAACCCGCAAAATTATAATTTGCGTAATTACTGGTGGTAGGACCTCTGGTGAGTCCGCACGGGTAGGTACCACCGCCCTGCCTATTTCTGCCGTGAAGCAGTAATGCGTTTCGGTTTGAAGGATGGGGCAGCCGTTGTAACTATACTGAGACCTTAGAACTTATATCTCAAGGTGTGTGGCGCGTTTACGTTGTAGATGTCTATGGGTTCCAGTAACCACTTAACACCAGGTGGGCTGGGAGCTCGTCCACATATCTAAGCAATAAAAAAAAATTAAAAAAGTTTTTTTTAAATTATTGATTAATATAATTTCAGGTACTGATTGAACAAGTGAAAGACCTCGAACGTGCCTACGAATTTGCCGAGCGATGCAACGAGCCTGGTGTTTGGTCTCAGCTCGCAAAGGCTCAACTACAGCAAGGTCTGGTCAAGGAAGCCATCGACTCTTACATAAAAGCGGACGATCCCTCCGCTTACATGGACGTTGTCGCTACTGCTACCAAGCAAGAGTCTTGGGATGATCTCGTGAGGTATTTGCAGGTCAGTACTTTTTCGGTTTCTCTCACTCTGTAAGAAACCTGATGGCATATTATGAGAGCTAATACGCTATAGCTGTTATTCCAATGGAAATTAAATTGCGACTTAATGATTTATATAAGGCAGTGGAAGTACTTTTTATTTATTACTCTTTAACATTCCGTGGAGACGACATCTAATCTTGTCTGACCAGTATACTATACTCACTTTATAATATACAAGCGGCCCGCTCAGGCTCCGCTCGGGTCTTTAACAAAAATTTCAATTATATTTGACGTTGTTTTATTTTTTTAATTGAAGTACACTTATTGCGGCATAACTATAATACTTAGTCATATGCTGTCGCGACACTTTTTGTAAATAATAATGTGTTCTACAAAGTCGTAGTACATTATTTTATTCTATTATCAATAGTTTTCGCAGGGCACGCGATGTAAAGAATATTTTAGGTAATTTTTTTACACCTTGGATTACATTACTGGAGTTTTAGTAAGGATCCCTAATTTTTTTCAATGTCACTCGGGAATAACGTAGCTTCCAAATAGTGAAAGAATTTTTCAAATCCAGTAGTTTCGAAGCCTGTTCAATACAAACAAACAAATCATTTCTCTTTATAATATTAGTATAGATATTCAATATACACAATAATATACTCATGTTAATTTTATATGCAACTAGATGGCCCGGAAGAAGGCGCGCGAATCGTACATAGAGTCCGAACTGATCTACGCTTACGCCCGCACCGGTCGCCTCGCCGACCTGGAAGAGTTTATCTCTGGCCCGAATCATGCTGACATCCAGAAAATCGGTGACCGTTGCTTCGACGATAAGATGTACAACGCTGCGAAACTCTTGTATAACAACGTCAGCAACTTCGCCCGTCTTGCTATTACTTTGGTGCATCTGAAAGAATTTCAAGGTATGTACCAATAAGCGTTTTTACTGGTGGTAGGACCTCTTGTCAGTCCGCGGGGGTGAGGCAGCCGTTGTAACTATACAGAGACATTAGAACTTATATCTCAAGGTGGGTGGCGCATTTACGTTGTAGATGTCTATGGGCTCCAGTAACCACCAGGTGGGCTGTGAGCTCGTCCTCACATTAAGCAATAAAAAAATATATAAAAAAAAGCGTTTCTTTACGGTTCACGGTGGCGATAAAAAGTAGTTTTTGCATGAAGTATCAAGTCCAGTATTATGCTTAGAAATGAATATCAATGGAACACTTTACTATAACATCAATGCTTCGACAATCTTCGCAAGCGTTCAGCGATGGTCGATTCATGTAAGGAAGGAAAAAGAAAAAAAATGGTGCAAATATTTTTAGGGCAATTAAGTGATAGGCTAATAAAATCCTACATTTCTCTATTTAAATTTATGTGATGACTGCAACTTAACTGGTGACAAGAACATTGTTTTATTGATCTACTAGCGACCCGCCCTCGCTTCGCTTCGGAAACTGTAATATATTATTGAATTCTACACTATTTAATGGATGTTATTATACATATAAATCTTCCTCTTCAATCACTCTATCTATTAAAAAAAACCGCATCAAAATCCGTTGCCTAATTTTAAAGATTTAAGCATACATAGGGATATAGGGACAGAGAAAGCGACTTTGTTTTATACTATGTAGTGATGCTAATGATCACATTATTGTTTTCGAATTCAGGTGCCGTGGACAGCGCGCGTAAGGCCAACTCTACGCGCACATGGAAGGAGGTCTGCTTCGCGTGCGTGGACGCCGGTGAATTCAGACTCGCGCAAATGTGCGGATTGCACATTGTAGTACATGCTGACGAACTTGAAGACCTCATCAATTACTACCAGGTTGTTTTTTAATATGCGCTTGTAATTGTAAATTTGCAATAACTTGACATACAGGGTGTTCGTTTTACAGATAATTGAATTGAACATTAATTCATCTCCATAAATCCTTAGGATCTATCTGAAAAAACTATCGAGAGCACCGGCAACTGGTATCAATAATTATGCTTTAAATTATAATTGCTTCAATTTGTTTGTTTCATAGGACCGAGGTCACTTTGACGAGCTGATCAGCTTGTTAGAAGCTGCCTTAGGGCTGGAGAGAGCTCACATGGGAATGTTCACTGAACTCGCCATCTTGTATTCAAAATACAAGCCCGTGAAGATGAGGGAGCACCTCGAACTGTTCTGGTCACGCGTTAACATTCCCAAGGTACTGTGATGTTTAATTGAAATATTATTATAACAAAAAAAAAAAACTAGTAAAAGTCAAAATAAAAAGGCGATGTAATTATTTCCGATACAAGCAGAGAATCTCTCTAGAGACAAGTGTGATTTTTATTTTGCGAATTATTTTGTAATATGAAATTTAAATGTCAGGTTTGATATATAGCTTAAACTAATGTAAACTGTTACTTATGTTACTAGTTTTGTTTGATATTTCTATTATTTACGAGTCTATATTAATAAGTTTTATCTGTTGGCCAAATTGGATATAGCTTTTGATTTTCTTTATGTCAATAATTAGATCAATAATCTTAACATATCAAAATAATTTAACATAAATCAATTCATACAGTAGAACAAATCTTGCAATGCGCTTGAAGGAGGCACAGTTCCCAAGATACTGGCTGTGTTACCTCTTAATGCTTCTGATTATAATTAATTAAAAATGGCATTGTCAGGTACTCCGTGCTGCTGAACATGCCCATCTTTGGTCAGAGCTGGTATTCCTGTATGACAAGTATGAGGAGTATGACAACGCTGCTCTCACGATGATGCAGCATCCCACCGAGGCTTGGCGCGAGGGACACTTCAAAGACATAATTACTAAAGTAAGTTTGTTAAAAAACGTTTTAGACTTTTTCTTTTTTAACTGTTAGTCGGTTTCGGTTTTGAAGGCTGGTACAACAAGAATATGATTTTTTGAACTTAATCTAAATATTTGAGGTTTTAATATTTGTGTTGTTTTAATAGGTCGCGAACATGGAACTGTACTACAAAGCTATCCAATTTTACCTAGACTACAAGCCACTTCTCCTTAACGATCTACTGTTAGTACTGGCCCCACGCATGGATCACACCCGAGCAGTTAACTTCTTCACCAAGGCTGGTCATCTGCAACTAGTGAAGGCCTATTTAAGATCAGTGCAGAGTTTGAACAATAAGGCTGTTAATGAAGCATTGAACTCGCTGCTTATTGATGAGGAGGATTATCAAGTAAGTTTGCTTGAACATTTTAAATGACCGCTTCATATCCCTACTTCAACTAAACTTATAAGAAATAGCCAATATTATGTATATAAAGTTCAAAATGTTTACCATGAACAATTTATAAAACAGGGCTTAAGAACATCGATAGACGCTTTCGACAACTTCGACACTATTGCGTTGGCGCAACAGTTGGAGAAACACGAACTTACAGAATTCAGACGGATTGCCGCCTACTTATACAAAGGTATATAATGTATATTAATACAATGTTCAAACAGTTACAAGTTAATGACATGTCTAGTATCATCAATGAAGTGTCTGTAATAACTTAGAGGTAGTTAAATTTATAGCCTACATGATATTAATCGCCCTGAATGATCATTTTGCAATTCAAATCGGTATTACTTCGCAGTAGACACGACGAGCGGTGCTGGGTATCAAAATTTTTTTACCACAAGCACTATTACTGATGGTAGGACCTCTTCTGAGTCCGCACGGGTATACCTACACCTACGGTGGTACCCCACCACCCCGCCTATTTCTGCCGTGAAGCAGTAATGTGTTTCGGTTTGAAGGGTGGGGCAGCCGTTGTAACTATACTGAGATCTTAGAACTTATATCTCGAGGTGGGTGGCGCATTTACGTTGTAGATGTCTATGGGCTCCGGTAACCACTTAACACCAGGTGGGCTGTGAGTCGTCTCCCATAATAAAAAAAAAGCTTTAGCACATTAGCTTTAATGAATAAACTGAATGAATTTTTAGGACAGGAAGATGCAGAACAAAGTTTATTTTATAATTCACAGGTAATAACAGATGGAAGCAAAGCGTGGAGCTCTGTAAGAAAGACGCTTTGTACGCCGATGCAATGGAGTATGCATCGGAGTCGCGCCAGCCCGAGGTCGCCGAAGAGCTCCTCAACTGGTTCTTGGAAAGAGATAATTTCGAATGTTTCTCGGCTTGCTTATATCAGGTACTGTAGCATTTAACCACAGCATGACTTTATTAAAAAGAACTTAGCTAGGAAAATTCTTTGAAATAATTTAATCCCATTATCACAAACAAACCGTGGGATATTTAATTGTGGTAGCGCGTACGGTAAGCCCATACGTGTATATACAATCCTTTCTATTTCTTCCTCTAAATAAAAAAGGGCATCAAAAATTTTTGTGTTTGCTATATAAAAAAATGTAAATAATCTGTATGGCAGTAAATCTTTCAGATCTTACAATGTTATTGTAAATATAATTTCTAACAATTACCATATTGTTGTGCAAGCCCCAAGGAGTAGTTAAATTTATTAAAATAAACTTTATGTATAATAATTTATTTCGTTTTAGTGTTACGATCTCCTGAAACCCGACGTCGTTATCGAGCTCGCATGGAGACATAACATCATGGACTTTGCCATGCCCTATCTTATTCAGGTATGTATTAAATGCATGATTGATTACTACTTCAATTCTATTTAAAAAAAACATACATGTTTGTGACATACATTAACTTAACATGTAACAAGGTCAACAACCAAAGCAATGATTGACTAGAAAACTTTTTCTAGACTAGAAAACTGACTACAAAACTTTTAAACTTTCAGAGCGACTTTAAAATTAGTTATATTTTTTTAATTCATTTTTATTATAATAAACAGACAGTTCGCGAGTTGACAACTAAAGTAGAGAAGCTTGAAGAAGCAGACGCCAAGCGAAGCACCGAGAGTGCGGAGCACGAAGCAAAGCCCACCATGATAATAGAACCACAACTCATGCTGACTGCCGGTTCGTAAACACTTTTTGTAGTCTGTAACTGAGCATACGGTACACGGAGCTCATGGTCAATGGTCATCTGCTCATGGATAAGCAATGTCAGGGGCACAACCATGCTGCTGCCTATTGCTCAGGACAAACTTCTTTTGAAGAATAGGATACCACATCCATGTAGAGGGAAATTCATTCGGAAAAATTTAACGGCTGTCTGGTGTAGTGGTAAGTGACATGGTCACTACACAAGGGGGTCGCGGGTTCGAATCCCGCCAAGGGAAGATATTTGTATGAGAAATATAAATGTCTTTCCAGGGTTATGGGTGTATATTAAATATACGTATGTGTATAATAAAAATATTATATTTATTTCCGTTATCTGGTACTTGTAACACAAGTTCTTTACGAACTTANGTTCGAATCCCGCCAAGGGAAGATATTTGTATGAGAAATATAAATGTCTTTCCAGGGTTATGGGTGTATATTAAATATACGTATGTGTATAATAAAAATATTATATTTATTTCCGTTATCTGGTACTTGTAACACAAGTTCTTTACGAACTTAGCACGGGACTAGTTAACGTGGCGTGATTGTTAGTAAATATTTATATCTATTTATATCTATTTTATATCTATTCCAAAGCTGAGTAGTGTGTTGCAGAAATTATCCCTGAAAATATAAAGTAGATGAGCCAGTTGTTCCAGATTATCATCATCAACTTAAATACCTCTGATGCTGAATTAAGGTTGGGATATGGTTATAGGTAATTGTGTTTTGTCATTGTAGGACAATTGAGACTGGACTCTGAGGTAAATATTTAACTTTACCATGAGCTTCAGTTTATAAACTCAAAATGTTCCAGGTCCATCAATGCCGTACGTGGTGCCGCCCCAGCCGTCGCCGTACGGGTACACTGCGCAGGCGCCCTCGCCCGCCCCCTATCACGGATACGGCATGTAGAACGCCGCCACCCGCCTCGTCTGGGGGAACCTCGCTCCCTACTGAGGCAGGCGCCCTCCTCCCACACACCGACACTACACCAAACGATTCGAGGCCATGACACTCAGAATGTCCTTATCGCCTACACAAAAACTTCAGTCTCGACAAAAAAATATAATGTTGTCAAGTACTTGTAACTTTCACACATTTCCATCTAACAATATACCGCTATATATGGAGAACCTTAATTAATTTTAAACATTTATGGCGGTAGTACTTTCTATGTTTGCAGTAGGTACATTTGCTAAACAAAATTATTATATTGAGAGGAATACTCATTTAGCTGATTTAGCTCTCGAGCCCTCCTCAGAACGAAATTTACGTGAATATTTCAATAGCGACCAGATATGAACTTATATATGTAATAATAATATATGCTGTGCCCTCACAACCTTCGTAATTGTTACGTAAAATCCCTTGATGATTTTATTTTTCTGCGATGCTGTGGCCTAATTTTTCATTTATATTAACATAATTTCAAAATTAATCTGTCGGTAAAACTGAGGGGTGCTTTGTTACTTGTAGCTTTTATTCTGCTGGTCCTTTGAGAATCATACAATTTAGTGTGTACAAATTATATTAATATAGTCGCTAATCGACTATGTATTGTTAAAAGTGCTTTATTTTTAAATAAAATGAGTTTTCAAAATATAAAGCTTCTTAAACAGATACTATAATTCAACCGTATGTAACGTGCATTCTGCGAATATAGAGATATGTATACTAATATTCTAATTTTGCAGTTTCTATAAACGAACGTAGTTGATTAAAAAAATGTATAATATTTAAACTNTATAGTCGCTAATCGACTATGTATTGTTAAAAGTGCTTTATTTTTAAATAAAATGAGTTTTCAAAATATAAAGCTTCTTAAACAGATACTATAATTCAACCGTATGTAACGTGCATTCTGCGAATATAGAGATATGTATACTAATATTCTAATTTTGCAGTTTCTATAAACGAACGTAGTTGATTAAAAAAATGTATAATATTTAAACTAAAAGATTCCATGTGATAGATATTGTTGAAGATAATACAGCCGAAGATATATATTGAATTATTTCAGTGAAAGCTTGGTTCGCCACTACGTAAATAAATAAGTAAATTAATGAATTTACTTATGTACATAATTGGCGGTACTTTATCATTGCTTTCTCACATCTGAGAATTACATTAAATTATTACATACAGTATAATCTATTTAAAGATAATTTATATTCATTGTAATGAAACAAGAAATCATTTTGGTCGAACGAAAATTAATTAATATTATATTCTCTACCGTGCAATAATTTCAGTTCTCTCATAAAGAAGAGATGCTTAATATATTGTAATATGTATATAATGTTTACAGTTTTGAGCCAGTTGAAATTAAAAAGGAAAAATGTTTATTATTCGATTATGAATATTATTTAGATATGATTAGGTTTAGTTTTAGACGGAAAATAGTGGTATGATGTTAATTTTTGTGTAATGTATGTGTGCGAGTGTGTAAGCGGACCGCACGCACGTGATCACCTGAATTTGATGCCTTCACTTAGATAGTTAGAACGCGTATAGAGGACGCGTTTTTTTTTCTATTTTGTTAATTTTTTTTGAACACAAGGTCTAATTCCTCGAGTTATGGTATTAGTAATCTAAACTTTATCTCGGTTCCGCATACAGTTATATAGTAATAACCGTATAGCCGCGAGTCGCTAATGTAGAACGTTGAATCATTCAAATAATCATTCCTGTAAAGAAAATGAAGTAACGAAATAATCTATACATTGTTGCGAAATGTTTAAAACCTTCTTTCGAAGATTTATAGAGAATTATCTAAATGTAGAAGGAAAGTTCATTGTTTAATGGTTAGAATTGTATTTATTCATGTATGATACTGTTTCCCTGAATTTTATTATTGTAATAAGAATATAATAATGAAGAAAAAAAAATGACTTTTATTGTTCTAAGACTTGAGGTTTAAGAAGAAGTGTTAATCGCCATAAGTATTCCTTAATGTTTTAGTTGAATTATAAATATGATGTCGAATATGTTTATTTTAATTTAAGTAGTCGTCGTGGCCTAACGGATAAGACGTCCGGTGCATTCTAACGGATAAGACGTCCGGTGCATTCTAACGGATAAGACGTCCGGTGCATTCGTGTGTAGCGATGCACCGGTGTTCGAATCCCGCAGGCAGGTACCAATTTTTCTAATGAAATACGAACTCAACAAATTTTCACGACTGCATTCCACGGTGAAGGAATAACATCGTGTAATAAAAATGAAACCCGCAAAATTATAATTTGCGTAGTTACTGGTGGTAGGACCTCTTGTGAGTCCGCGCGGGTAGATTCCACCGTCCCGCCTATTTCTGCCGTGAAGCAGTAATGCGTTCCGGTTTGAAGGGTGGGGCAGCCGTTGTAACTATACTTGAGACCTTAGAACTTGTATCTCAAGGTGGGTGGCGCATTTACGTTGTAGATGTCTATGGGCTCCAGTAACCACTTAACACCAGGTGGGCTGTGAGCTCGTCCACCCATCTAAGCAAAAAAAAAAACCGCTACAGCTATACGATTATAAACTTAATTGATAAGCATAAAATGAGCTCTAACAATATCTTTGTTCTACACTTTTTTGTCTTTATGATTATGCACCAATGCCCACGGTTTTGCCCATGCCCACATTGAAAGCATATTCCGGGTAGGAGAGCGGAGGATCTCAGAACAAAATGCATTATGTTTGTTTTTATTGCATTATATATGCTTTATATCAATTATATTTTATAACTGCAATTCTCCAATTTTAAGTCCGGTATTACGGTAGAAATAGAGTAGTGGTAGGTACTTTGTATTGGCTATGTTGGGTAGAAATGGAGACGGAGAGTGACTGAGACGGTCAGGACTCATTGAGTGCCAAGCTGTTGCCTAGACTATAAGCTCCCGGCTAGATGGTTTAATAACTTGTGACCGGCTCAGTGATACATATTAGGAGTGGCCCACCTTGTAGACCAGAGTGTCACGTAGATATTAGGGGTTTTGATATGAATAAATAATGTTCGTAAGAGAGTAGCCGCCATGACAGGTACTTAGCTGGGGATACCAGTTAAGTGATTTTTACCATTTTATCTGGGACTTTTTTATGCTTTCGTACTTATTGTTAGATTAAAGTATTTTATTATTGTTGAAGATTTAGACATTTCATTACAGTTTATCAACATTATTGAAAATTCTGAAGTGCCCATTTTGTCTTATATCTATTAAAAAAATTGCAGGTGTGTCTGAGAAAATAGTTTCGAGGATAACACAAGAAGGAAAAGTAGAGCCTAGTACTTCGAAAAGGATTGAGTCGCCCCCGTGCGAAAAAAATAATTTGTATGGATTCGATCTATGTGCTATTCGCCATAAAATTCACCAGTTTTATACGGTAAAAAAAGAACTTCCTACATTAAATAAATTACTCACAGTGTTAAAAGTTAAATTGTTAAAAGAAGAGATTGGGTTTGAAGGAAGCCGCGTCACGCTACAGAGAATACTGCAAAGTATTGGTTTTAAATACAAACGATGCCAGTTAAAGAGGAAGTTATTAATGTTACGGTATAACTGCTTGGCGCGCTAGATATATAGAAAAGATCTGAAAAAATCGAACCGTGGAGACCCGTGGTGTTCTTGGATCAAACCTATATCCACAATACATATCATGCCAAAAGTTGTTGGCAAAGTGCAGAAGAGCCAGGGCTATTCACTTCCGAGTCTGTTAGGAGTAGGTAGGTTTTACTGAGATTAAATTAAATTTCATCCCTTATCATCTCATCACATTTCATTTCGTTTTCATTCCATTTCATTTCATGCCATGTGTCATATTAATCAAATTCATTTCATTTCATAATATTACTTTTCATATAAAAAAGTTTTCATTAAAATTAAAATAAGACTTGACCTTTGTCTTTGATACCAGGTCATAAAATCCCTTAAAAAATATATCATAAAACATGTTTCGCAAAAAGCCGCTGAACGTAACTTCTCGGGGTCCTCCAAAAAGTCCACTGAAAAAGTCTCAGTAAATGACCACCATTTTATTTACCAGATTATATTTCATCCCATATCATTTCATATGATTTCATTTCAGTTCATTTTATTTCATGCCATGTTTCATACTAATCAACTTCATTTCATTTCATAAAATCATTTTTCATATAAAAAAGATATATATAAAAGATTAGGCTGCATGGTATGATACCTTTGCCTTTCCAATTAGAAAAATAAAACTACTACTTACTACTGTTTCGCAAAGTCGTTCGTCAGCTGTGTGTGTCACTGTGTGTTGTGTGAACCGTAATCAGACCGACATGACATATAAGCGCAAGAAATATCATTGTGGCGACACACATTTAAAAAAGCGGTGGAGAGTGCGTAACAGAAAGAAAGATTTGGATGAAATAGACCAAGATTTAAAGGAAGGTTTGTCTTATTTATATAGTTAAAACTTGGAAAACACGTGTCTTCTTTTTTTTAGGTTAGATAAAAGTTTATTAAAAAGAGTAGCACTGGAGCTTCGACCTTTTCCAAATAAATCATCTCAGAAAGCCTGGCACTGATATATTCCCACAAAAAATGAAACGTAGATTCTAAACCGCTACTAGCAGTTGAAGATTCCGTAAAAAATAATTCAGGACTTAATAACAATACTGCATAATAAGGCACGGTAATTATCTATGTGTACAGATACATAATGAGATGTATACAAAAGTTTGGATGTTTCTGCCTTGCAATTATTGTAGATATTGTATTGTCAGCAATAATACATTGTTTTACCTGGAATTTTGTCCCAACATAATGAGATATACATTTCTACTCGCATTATAACTAAGATGCTAAATTCCCATCAAGCTAAAAATTTGTTTGGATAAATAAAGAAAACTATGCAAATTTAAATTGTCTAAATACTTTTTTTGATTATCCTGACACTGATTGAATGATTTGCTTTTGCATTACGTTCGAAATTGGTGTGAACTGTATTGTTAAATCTAAAAAGACAATTACATTCATTGTACAAAATCATTATTCTTAAGAATGCTATTTGATGCTTTTAGTGATCAATTTATATTAAACTTTAATTTTTGATGTTTCAGAAAATGCTGAAAAATTACTGAACCAAAAAGTTGATTTAGATCTGCCAGGTGCAGCACAACATTACTGTCTACATTGTGCAAGGTATTTCATTGATGAACAAGCTTTGAATGATCATTTCAAGACAAAAGTCCATAAACGGAGATTAAAAGCACTCGAGCTTGAACCTTATACTATAGAAGAGTCAGAGAGAGCTGCTGGCCACGGGAGTTTCAAAAAAGCAACAAAACGAAAAATTGTTTCACAAAATATTGAGAAATCTCAAACAGATGAAGATGGTGATGCTATTTTAGAGGAAAGTCCAAACAAAAAGAAGAAAATTGATGACAATGATATATAAAACTTATTTCTACACACTGTTTAAAACACGAAACCTATTGGTAACCCCAAAAAGATATTCAGCTCTTTTCATCAATGGTGCCAAGGCAACAGAAAATTATGTTTATGTCACTCCATATTTAGACTTTCCAGAAAAATTTCAGAACATAAATAATATAAAAGATGATTTGAAGAAAAGGAAATACAATTATAATTTTGAAAAATTAGAAGACCTTTGGCACGTTTATGAGGAACTGAGACAAAAAAGAAATCAATATGAACAACAAAAAGATCGACTAGCTAAGGAATTAGGGAAGATAATAAAAAATGAGTCTGAAAAAGAAGCAATTAATAAGTTAAAATTGCAAATCACATTGATTAAGGATGATATTAGGAAGATAAAAGCACCTCTATGGTCAGCTGAAGAGGCAGCTGTTGTTGAAGCACTGAAGTTACCAAACAATTTGCATGATAAAACCCCTGAAAGTCACAGTCAAATAGTGTACACACATTTAAAACCTCTAAAAAATGACAAGAATCACATAAAAATCGGTCAAGATCTCAATTTAATAACTATTAAAAACAATGAAAACTACTATCTAAAAGGAGATGCAGCAATATTTGAACTAGGAGCTAAGTTTTTATTCAGTGACATTTTAAAGAAAAATAATTTCATACAATTCTCAAATCCTGATTTTGTGAAAAGTGTCATTGTTGAGGGCTGTGGCATCAACCACACTAATCCTGATACAGTATTTATACTGCATCATAATGAAGATACTCAAATTAATTCAGACAGTAGACTTCATTTAACAGGTGGTGGTTCATTGTGTTCTTATATGGCATATCATGCTAAAAATGTTTTGTATCCAAAAGTATTGCCTCTTAAGTATTTCAATATGGGTAGACAATATGTTCCAGTTGCATCTGATTTTAATAGTCTTTTAACAGTTAGTCAAGCTGCAGTTGTAGAATTTTTTGCAGTCACAAAAGCTGCTACAGATATAGATGAAATGTTGGATAATTTGATAGAAATTTTGAAGCAATATTACAGTAGGTTTGATTATCATTTTCGGATAAGTATGACAGCTGCTCATCAGCTTAACATGTGGGAATCTTTGAGGTTGTCTGTGGAAATGTATTCCAGCTCCCAACAAAAATATGCTACCATAGCAAATGTATCCTTAAGTGGTGACTTCATTAGTAAGAGGCTGATGTTTACATATGTGGATAATAAAGTTACAAAATTTCCACATATTCTGTCAGGTACATTGTTGAATGTACCAAAATTTTTGGCTTGTGTTTTAGAGCAAGATAATGACTTTTGTGTTCCAGATATATTGAAACCTGAAAATTGGAGTTTGTAAAATATAACTTAAACAAAATGTAATAAAATGAATACACAGATTTTTTTTGAACCATTGTTATATATTTATAACTAAAACTTGAACAACAAAATAAAAACAATTATCACAGGTCAAATTGGTATTTATGTTTTTCCCACTTGGGTTCTATTTTATCAATTGGTGATTTCATGGATATTTCGTGTACTTCTAAATGACCAGTTTTCGTGAGAAGCAATATAGTTTGCGCCCTGAAAATAATTCACAATTACTTTTCCTTCTTTTTTTGCCTACCCACTTCCAGTAACCTCGAGGGGGTATGCTGACTTTTATTTATTGTTCTTGTAGGTAGACGAGCATACAGCCCACCTGATGATAAGTGGTTACCGACGCCCATGGACTTCAGCAATGCCACAGGCAAAGCCAAGTCGCTGCCTACCGATAAGTACTCTCCACAAGCCTCGTTTGAAGGACATGTCATAGCGTTCGGGAAAAACCGTAGAGGGGAGCTCTTTCCCAAGCCAGTTGTACATGGCAAGAACGTACGTACCGAATGTGTAGGTCAGCCTGGGAGAATCGACCACCGGATTGGAATCGCGACCCACTAAGAAAATTCGACAACTATCCTATAAAGCCTAATCACAGTGGAAAGAACGTGAAACATTTCCGCCTATCCTGTACAGATTTCTGTTTTTATGAGCGTTTTTAGTATTATTTTCAAATTTAAATTATTTTATTAAGTCTATATGTTGCGTGAAGCTTTTTTTTCGAATCTTTTAATTTTTTTGATAACCAACGCTGTTGAAACTAAGTATTTAGTATTAGTAGGGCTGTATTGAATTTATTTTGTTGCAATTAATGTATTTCAACTTATCTGTATTATTTTATTTATGCACGTAAAAATTTCTTTGACCTGATTGAATTATTTACAAAACATCAACAAAATTTTGTTGATATTGATGATATACTCATTAGTAATATGTACTTCTATAGACATAGCCTTAAATATTGAAACGCAACCTTTTTTCCCCTGCCTAAGCTGATAGCCTTTAGAGGCTATTTCAGCGTAACCTTAACTAGTAGGTGAGCTCACGGGGCTCAAACCTGACGACGTTGCTAACACGAACCCTTAGCAAGAGCCGTGCTTCGCAGAATCTACCACCAGATCGGAAACGCGACCCACTGAGAAGATCCAGCGAGAAACTCAGTGGGCTGTGTCTGTGGGTTAATTTACTCGTCGAGCCCTTCGTCACAAGCGACGGGTTCGACGAGAACGATGACCGGTGCTTGAGGTACCTAAAAGCACTATTAGTGGATCGGGAAGATCCGAAATGACGTGTTTTGGGCGACGTCGACTGCTTCCCATTCCGTCCGCAGGATCGGGAATGAGCAACTTTTAAGCACACATATTAAAAATACAGTAACACTACAACAAGTATGTTGTTATCTTCAAAAATAAGTGAATTTGGCATCTTACCTCGTTCCATATCTTTCTTCAGGTACACAAACAAATATAGAACTTAATTCTTCATATAAATTAGGCCTACGTTCTTGTAGTTGGGCGTCAGGTAGATGCCTTAAAAACAAAACAAAATTTTACTTAAAATTTACAATTTTCAAAGTAGGTACTTCAAATTGTGGAAAACGCCTACATACATGTGGTTTCGATCGACTTCACGATTAAAATATTATCACATACACTAACCGAGCCCGTAAAATTAGATCTTTGTAATTAAAAATTACTGGTCGAGAGGCATCATATGAGGTTTTGCTGTGTGGTGTTTACCTATACAATATGAGATTTCGAATTCACGTGTCAAGGCGAGTGGCGACATTTATTTTGTGATTTCTATTCGTTCCATTCAGTATTAAGTACTTAGGCTGTGAAAATCGTCCAAACATTTAACAGAAAAAAAAAATCAACGGAGACTGGAAAATTTAATGTATATCTAGAGTTCCACTTTCACAAGCCTTATATTGATATTGATACTTTACTCTGCAACTAGAAGTTAACAAACTAGAAACTTATATTGTACCTTTCATTACACTTCAAGAGTGCAGTCAATTCTTCTAAGAGTTTGCTTTTCATAGAAATTTTATTGAGTCCCTTACAAATATCATGCATTTTAGTAAGGCCGGCTTCAACTTTTTTCAATGGCATATCGGGTAAACTATTTCCGAAACCCAAACAAGGATCTGTATGTGTTGTTATTGAGTTTGTGACATTCGTGAAGCTATTTATGACTGGCGTGGTGTTTCTGAAAACGAATGGGGAAATGAAAGGGAGTCTGATTGTTTTAGAACTAGTTTAAAATTTTCGATTTTTTTTATCGGAAGGAAGTTAGCGTAGAATTTTTTTTTTTTTAATTAAGCGATATGCCATTTAATTGCTCTTTAAATGTTCTATTAGAAAGCTATGTTTACATGAATCCTCATTACGACAATTTCATGTTTGCCATAATGTTTATAATTTAATTTTAAGGCTATATTAGCTTTCAGTGGATTCAACGACCACTGATGACGTCATAGTGCAACAATTTACATGCAAATAATTTTTTTGTATTAATTATTATAAATATTGCCAAATTAGGATGTTTTTTTTAATTAATAGAGCAAATTGGAAGCAATTCTTTAAGCAAAAAAATTACAATAAAGTGGATATTTTAGGTTTTATAGCAAAATCAAATTTTAGATATATTTTTTTATTAATTAAAAGTTAACTAATAGTAATAAGCGTGGAGCAATTACGGATTCTAATAGAGCATTTAAAGAGCAATTAATTGGCATATCGTTTAATAAAAATATATATTCTACGCTAACTTCTTTCCGGAATTTTTTATTATTATTTTTATTCTATGTATGGTTGTGTGATGACGTAAAATCGCCACGTAACGTCGTGTAATCACAGAAAAGCATCCCAAATATTGGGAATATAGAATAATTACTGGACTGAAACCTACCCAAAGTCCATTGCTACAAAAATGAAATTATTACATTCTTCAAAATAAGATTTCATTTCTTGAACATATGATGCAGCCTCATTTTTACTTTTCACAAATTCTGCTACAATTTTACCTCGGCCTGTTCAACAAAATGAATTATAAAAAATAGTAATAACAAAGAGAATACATTTAAATTATTCTCTCTTGTTCCAGATGGATAGATGGGTCACATGATGCTAAGTTATTACTAGAAATCATAGACACCACAATGTGAATGTGGTCACTCTAGGGAACCTCCCACCCTTCAAATTAGAATACCTGAATGTTTGATGGCATAAATAGGCATGATAATGGTATCTACCAATACCTATATTATGTAATAACTCCAGTAATTGTGAACATTTATAATTTTGTACAATGTTTTAATGTAAATGGCCAGTGCACCCCAAATTAAAATTTGATTACCCTTTTTGAGCTAGTTAATTTAAATCATACTAGTATCATTTCAAATGTTGAAGCTCTGGGTATGTGAAAGAAAGTCAAACCAATAAACAATACATTGGCTAGTTTGTGCAATAGAATTCTCTTTCTCACTCATGCTCCTCTGTCTCCAAAATGGTTGACTCACCAAAGCTAAACATAGCCTTCTCTGGGTTTGTTTTAGTATCATAAGAGAGAGGGTTGGTCATAAAAGGCTTGTAAAAATTACGTAGTAAAAAAATTTACAAACTATTTAATTTTTATAATTTTCTCTAATCTTATACTTATTGATTTATTTAGTCAGTTTTATTGATAGTCTTATTTTCATATTACTTAATTAGGAGTATTAATCAAAAATTACTTTTTGCATTTTTCTTTGGTGTATTTGGTAAATTCAAAAGTACTCCCATTTTCTTTCTGAGGGGAGACACAGCAAGCCACGTCCCTCCTTCACAGCCCCCTTCTAAATCTAATCCTGTAACATGTAAACATTATTGTAGAATCCTAAGAATTACTTATAATATTAGTTATAAGCAATTTTGTAATTTAAATGCTTAATGTTTTTTTTTCATATCAAAATAAAAACAAAGTATTCCAATTTCAAAAAATAGGTCAATGGTGAATCTATTGGTACTGAGATTCAAATATCAACCAATACTGGTGCACAATATTGTTTTACTGGTAACTTAAATCAGATGTTATTATATAATACTAAAATATTATAAAGTATATAGTCTTAAAGATTATAAAAATAAAACATATAAATACCTACTAGCAGTAACTTAAACATATATAGACTTCTCATCATCAACCTAGTTTTCCTCTGCTGGACAAATGCTTATCAATTAACACCAAACTATAGAATCTTAACTCTTAATATAAAATAATAAGTATATTATTAAAATAAATGGTATAGTAGGTATTTCCCAAACCTCCAATGATATTTGGATTGTCTTTCCATGGCGCAAGTTCTGCAGAAGGTCGATCATAAAATTCATCTCTATTTGTTGCCACTATCAGACTGTAGTCACTGTCTGCATCATAGCTTCCATTGTATACGAATAATATACACATAGGTACTGAAAATAAAAAATAAGTTTGTTCTTAATACACTATTTTAATGAATTTTAAGAAAATGTTCATACAATTTATTATTCATTAAATATACATATTCAATTTCATTACTTGAATAGCAATGTTATTGTTAAGGATTATAATTATTTTAAGCTTCTTCTTTAATTCAATTGTTTTTTAATAACAATTCATAATATTTTACTGGGGTAATTTACTCTTAAATATTGTTTAAATTAGACATACATGTAGTCTCTACCCAACAATAGGTGTTATCGGTATATTTTCACTATCTCTATGAAATACGTTACGTATTTTACGATCACAAAAACATCTTTTAAACTCTTCTCTATTGAGAAATTATTATTTAGCTCTAAAGCCGGAAGTCGGAAGCAAAGTGTATAATCTATGGTACAGTCCCCTAGCGCATAGATTATACACTTAATATATTTGAGACCCTAGCGGCAAACGTAGGGACGCTGTGTTGGAGTTTGAATATGAAAGTAATGGCAGGCAGCACTTGACACGTGTAATGTTACAGATTTCGAATATTGGAATGCTTAGGTATTTAAATGTAAAACAGATAATTATCTTGAGTGATGATAATGACTTCTCATCTAGACTTGGTCAAAGCAACATCTAAGAAATATTAAAAATAAATATTATAAGGGGAATTTTTAATTGCTCCTCTATTTAAAATGCAAGCAAACTAAATCTCCCAACTAATAATCCACTGCATATCAGATAAATGACTGCGTAACAAATTAATTACTTGATTACCTAAGCATATTTTATTAAAACACGTATAAAATTAACCAAAATCAGATGACAGTTTTAGACAGATTAGGTAACAGTTTTATTTACAGAAATTCTGAAAAAGATACAGAATATAGATTCAGTTAAGAAAGATACAGAAAAGGTACAGGCAGTAAGTTGCAGTGTACTATTAACAATACATGATTATAGAAAATATAAAAACACAATAAATAAATTTAAGCCGTTTACTTGTAATTTGAAATCAGTATATGATTTATATACCATTATTTAAACAAAGTCGTATTCAAAGTCTTAATTACAGTCAAACCTGGGTAAGTGAGAACTGGATAAGTGAGAAAACTCTATAAGTGAGAGTAATAGCCAGGAACCGTCATTTTAAGCTCCCAAAACCTCTATTAGCGAGAAACAGAAACCTCTGTAAGAGAGAGTCGTTTTTCCCTCATGGACCTCCGTAAGTGAGACTGCTACTTTACCTCTATAAGCCACAGTCGAGCTTTATTTATTTATATTATTTAGGAGGAACAAATGAAAAAACTAATTACAAATTTAACATCTGCTATTTTATGACTCATTCTTAACTTTTGTAGAACTTCCTTCCATTGTTTTTGTATTGTTTTCTCGTCAATATTGAACCTATTCTATTTCGTCGAACTAAATAACGATGTTATTTTATCGCATTCTTTTCGAATGGACACGTGCGCCTGTGTACCGTCCTGTTTGTCGGACTTACTCAGTTTATCGTTAATCAATTGCAAAGGATAGTTCTGTTCTGCATCATGTCAAAACGGAAAATTAAAGTACTGTCATTAAATGATAAACTTAAAATAGTGAATGCGTTTGAATCCGGAAAATCGCGAAATGAAATTCAAACGGAGCATTAGCGAGAAACTCGGGTTAGTGAGAAACCTCTTTCAGCGAGAATGAGATTGTGCTCCCTTGAACTCTCGCTTATCTAGTGTATATGCTAAAATGGCTCTACCACCATTTATATTGCTGCTGTGCACAGCAGCTTGCCTATGGTCTTGCCATAGCTGATGTTTGTGAACAGTGGTAAATAGTCACAACAAGAGAATATTTGTTTATTTATTAATTCTAACATACAATTTAGTCTTCTTCAGAAACGGTTTCAATACACTCTATTTTAAGATCTATATTATTTTATTTTCATTATTATTTTATTATTACTATTTTAATACTATTTTACTATTATTATTATATATTATATAAATAACATGGGATATTTTTTAAGCAAAAAAATAGGAATTAGAACATCGTTGGGCTAGCTTTTGAGGTTCTTTTAAAAATACCATCAAGTTTTTAGTATATTTTCTATTGTAATCAGAGATTTTATTTCATTTCTCTTTCAAATTAAAAAACATTGTCTTTAATGTGTATTCTCATAATAAAAGACGGCTTAGTGTATGGGTTATGCGCCCTTTGCTTGGCCAGGTTAAATAATTGGAACAATAAATCTATGAACGTCAGCCGAATGTCAATTTTAGTTATGATTGTCAATCAATAACAATTTCATTAATGGAAATTGGAGTAAATATGTATTTTCGATTATGCTGTTTTAGTTTACATAGATGTTAACATTTTTAAATGGAGGATTCATTCTATAAAAAATGGAAAACAATTTACCATTCTTCAGTTTACCAGTGCGTATTTTATGCAATGTAGTTCAAATACGGAAAGTACTTGTTTCACAACGATAATTTGATAGTTTGTAGATTCGCAGCCTTCGGAGTTAGATTATGGTAAATCAAAAGAAGAAGGCCTACTGGCTAATTTACACACGACTCTAGTATCTCAAGGTTCGTTGCTAAGCGAAGAAGATGTTTTGGCCCAGTTCCTATCTTTGGATGAACCATTGGAAGAGCCAGATCTGAATGGTCCTGCGACGTTATGCTGTGAAATATGTAAACGAAAATTCGACAATGCCAAAAAGTATTATGGACATTTGCGAGTACATTCCAAAAGCAATACTTGGTTGTGTGGTATGTAGTAATAGTCTTTATTATAAACTAATACTCTTGAAAGCTATTGATAGTTGTAGAATTATAGGTAGCGACTCAGCTGTGCCTATAGAATTGCTGACGTTCATGAGTGGTGGTAATCACACACTATCAGATTGGCCATACGCTAAAAAAAAATTTATACGAACCACAGACAGGTTTTATTAAAGGGTGAAATACATTCAATGGACATTGAGAGTTATTGGACATTCAACCAACAAGGCCATCAAGAAAACATCTCAATAAATTAATAATAAATATGAGATTAAACCATTAAACTAGTTTAATTATGTGTAAAACTACTTTACTTTGTTTTAATTTTTTGTTATAGATACCACAGTTTTCGTTTATTTTAATAATAATGAAGTTGTTAATTATACCGTGTTCCATCCTTAGATAGGAATCAATTATTATAATTTTCAAAATACAAAAAAAGTATATCTTTTTAGTAAATGCAATCTTAAGCAAAGCGAATGTTGAATGTCTTCTCTCCCTAATCTTATCTGGCATTTAGTTTAAAATGTGAGTAAAATCTTAACATATAGAGGTTAAAAATCACGAGCCTTGTGAGGTTGGTATCGTCACATATAGTATAGATAATTTCAGCAAGTTCCAGTATTTTAAAATTAAATATTTCTCGTAACATTAGGGATATCTATTGAAAATTTTCAGAGCAATGTCCTAATGCGAAATTTACGACAAAGCAACAGTTGATGAGACACAGTCTCATTCATAAGCCACTGGAGAGGGTATGGAGATGTCCTCAATGTCCACTGGCATTCGAAGCACTGTGGAGACTACAACAACATCTTTTTGCAAAGCATCTGGATTATAAGTTAGTTTTTATAATATATACTAGTATATAAACATAAAGAATACTAATAACAAAAGTATATGTTATATACCATGTGTATCCTGAAAAAATAGGAAGGAGGTAACCAAAGAAGAGTAAAAAGCTAATCTTAGAAATATTTTCAGCCCATGTGTCTGTGTGTTCCACAACTTTGGAACTACTGAACGAATATTTTCCCTTTCACATGGTGTCAAATTAATTTTGATAAGAACAAAAATGTTATTTTATTCGATTGTTACAAAATTTATTGTCGTTTATTTGAATATATAATCATATATTTGAAATTTACTTTGATATATATATAGTTAGATATTAGAAGTTACATAGCTAATAATAATATTGAAATGAAAGTGACTGATTCTCTGTTAAGTTTTCACACATATACCATGACTAATTTTGATGATATTCAGTAATTTAGTAATTCAGTAATTTTGGCATTGCTGAAGTCCATGGGCGACGGTAACCACTTACCATCAGGTGGGCCATACGCTCGTCTGCCTACAAAGGCAATAAAAAAAAAAAATTAACATGATTTGGACCAAGGGGAGGAATATAGGTTACATTTAATATCACTGCTTTAATACCACAGGGCGCAGAACACGCTATAACGTGGAATTCACGAAAACTAAGATCCAGGTAGAAATCTATATTAAACAAATGAAATTATTTCAATATTATGATAGAGCAAATAGACATTTAAAAAAAATATTTAAACTTTTTCACAATGTTACCAAATGTAATAAAATAAATTTCCAAATAACGATTACACCACATATTGTGTTCCGGTGGAATTATAATTAATGTAATATGCTGTGGGCACATTTGACCGAATAATGAAGAATGTACAATGTTGTTGAAATGATGATATCTAAATGTCTGGATTATATGGAAAAAAAAATTGATTTCAGACCGCACAAGTGTGATCAATGTACAAAGACATTTGACAAAAAATCAGATCTTAAGAAGCATATTAGTGTGCATACAGGTAAGGTTTTACACTCTTTTTTAGAAGTGCAGGGTTTAAGATAACATATTATTATATAATATGACCTATACCCATTTGAACTATTTGCGCTGACATCTGACATTAAAGAAGAAGCAAATCAGATATATCGTCTTCTCACATTAAAACTGTATAATCTCAAATTTACTCATTTTACAGGAGAGTGTTTTAAAGGTTTATCATGTGATATTTTTAATATTAATCAACTTTGCAACAATTATTTTTTATTTTTTACCAGTTACATTATCTGTCTTTTAAAGTAAGATAAAAGTATGTATTAATATTGTTAATAGTAGTCAAAACATAGGAAAACAAAAAAAAAAACTAAAACTAAGCTACGCTCTTTTGACAGTATTTATGAGAAAAATATTGATGATACCAAATGATTCCGCATATTAACTCAATTTCGAATATTTTTGGAAATTGTATACTTTTAATGCGAAAAGACAATATGTGCAAGAAAAGTTAGTTACTCGATAACTCAATAATGACTTACCCATAATTTATTTATTGACATTAATGATCTTTTCAGGGGAAAAGAAACACGAGTGTCCCGTTTGCAAGGCCAAGTTTAATGATAAGTCCAATTTCAACAGACATACGCTTCTGCATACAAATACACAACCATTTTGCTGCCCTGGGTGCGGTAGTAGGTTCAGACAGGTGAATTTAAAAAATAAAAATTTATGTTTCGTTTAGTGTGCCAGTAATAAAAAAGTTTTTGTTTGTAGTTGGCATCAATGAAACGTCATTATCAAAATTGTAAAAAATGCAAGGGGTTGAATGAACTCGGTGATAAAACTGTCAGAAAGAACTACTGCAGGATCTGTGGAATGTCATTCCAATACAGAAGCGCTTTGTTAGAGCATTGTGTTCGGTAACTATATAAAAATAATAGTTTAATACATATATCACATATCTATGCCTTTTTAACACAGACTTTGTTTTTTAATAAAAGCAAAATAAAAAGATTTTTTTCTGTAATGTATTACAGCGAACACCCAGATGGAAAGAAGTCAAAAAAGAACATAGATGGCTTAAAGTTAAAAAAAGAGCCCGGGAAATTTAATAAAGAAAACGAGAAAGACGCTTCCAATATGGTACACCCGAAGCCGGTCAGCAGACCAGAGGATAATATCATGGACGATATACTCTCCGCGGAAGACGACTACGTCACTCTCACAACGCCCGATGAAATCATCAATATCTTCAATCCGCCAACCGACGTGAACAATACAGACGACATGACCCAACTAGAAGAAATAGACGACGAACTGCTGTACAATAACATCGACTTTGATAATTTTAAAGCCGGCCACATGTTTAATTTGAACACGAACGACATGGACTACAATGTCGACACTATGCCTAATGGCGAGATATTATTCGATTTCGTCGACGGTAAAAGTATCGATAATTTGCCTGAAGAGTTACTAAAAGCTGCCGAAGAGTTACCGGATAAACCTGAAGAAATGTTCGGGGCCAATGAGAACGAATGTTCGATTATATTCGAGAGTGATGTAGATCTCGAAGCCAGTAAGACTCTAGCGGCCAATCTAAATCAACTCATAGGAGAGAACAACGTTCAGTACATATCCACTGAAGACGACGACACCTTCGTCATAAGCTTGAGCAGCGAAATCAACGCCGAATTGACTGAAATGCTGAACAACATTGGTGTGGGAATGAACAGCGAAACTGTAAACTCGAAAGCTGACGAAACTGCGGAAGCGGTCAGCAACATACCCGCTATGGAGTCCATGGTCAGCGAACCGATAGTGGTGGAAATCAAACAGAAGCCGACGGCCGTCACCGCTCAGTCGCTCTCATTGACACAGAATAAAATGCCCAATTCAGAAACGAAACACGGTGAATTGAAAATAAAAGGTATTAAAGGGAGGAAACTGTTTATATTCGCCTGCAGAATTTGTAATAAAGTGTTTAACAAAAAGGACAATTATACATCGCACATGGGTATGTTTTAGAATTTTTTTCAAATATATAATAGCTTATGACATCTCGTTTAAGACGTTGCTGGATTGAGAGCCGCAAAAATCAAGTAATGAAAGGACTTGTAAATGCCATTTTTTTTTACTAACAATAGCATCCTTTTGTTTTTATAATTGGAACTATATTCGGAATCTTCTGCTTAGCGAAGATAATTCTGGAGTCTAGAAAAAAAATATTTTCCGTCGCGTAATGTATGTTACAAACTCTCTATATTGACTTTTCAATTATTTGTTATTCATAATTTTCACATTTGATTTCGATCGAAATCAATAGTGGTCAGTGCGGTTTCGTTCCGAGGCGACACAAGATATTAGAGATGTGCATATTTTATCAATAAAATCATAGAAGACACAAAAAAATCTTTAATAAATTCAAGGAATAGTTTGCAAAATTAAAATGACATTTGTATGAGACACTTTTTATTACTTCCCGAAAGCTATGACGTCATTCGTCAAACGAGTGCTAGGCTCGTAGCTGTGTTGTTCTTGAAATAATGTTCTTGCCCGCTTTTGCCAGAACTATAATATTGTTTTTTCACGTCATTACGGATCCTCCCGATCTATTAACGGTGCTTTTAGGCACCTCGAGCACCGTCACCGTCCGCGTCGAACCCGTCGCTTGCGACGAAGGGCTCGACGAGCGAATTAACCCATAGACACAGCCCACTGAGTTTCTCGCCGGATTTTCTCAGTATGTCGCGACGTTGTCAGGTTAGAGCTCCAACAGCTCACCTACTTGTTAGGTTACGCTGGCATAGCTTCTTAAGGTAGTAAGGTAAGGTAAGGAAGATAAGTAAAAATGAGTATGTATGTATCCGCAGCCATCCACGAGCCGGAGCTGTGTCGGCACGTGTGCGCGGTGTGTGGCCAAAGGTTCGGGTACCGGTCCACGCTAAACAAGCACATGCGCGCCGCACACGAGCCGCGCACGCACACCGCGCACTGCTGCCACTACTGCGACCGGACCTACACCGCCGCCTGGATGGTTAGTTCCCAACTGTTCTAACATCGACTATCACTTGTTTTTTTTTATTGCTTAACTAGCGACCCGCCCTCGCTTCGCTTCGGAAACTGTAATTTATTATTGATTTCTCCACTATTTAATGGATGTTATTATACATATAAACCTTCCTCTTCAATCACTCTATCTATTAAAAAAAACCGCATCAAAATTCGTTGCGTAGTTTTAAAGATTTAAGCATACATAGGGCTATAGGGACAGACCGGACGTCTTATCCCTTAGACCACGACGACTTCAATACTTAGGTTCACCAGGACAGCCAACCAACTGCTCTAACATCGACGATCTATACTAGTGTAGACCAGTGTGCTTAGTGTGAGTTTTTTAACGTTCTCGATAGCGTAAAAGTTAACTCAAATTTGTGTTGGATCGTTTGCCTACGTTTGCCGCTAGGGGCGCTGTTCCAACTGCAAACAAAATTGAGTTAACTTTTACGCTCTCAAGAACGTTAAAAAACTCGCACTAAGCACACTGTGCAGACGGGCCCGGATCGATTTCCGCTCGAAGTTCCTATCGTTTACCAGTGCAGTGGGAACTTTGCTAATGCCCTTCTTGAAGAAGTCAGGTGTACGGAAGGCAAAAAAATATTTAAAAGAATTTTGGACCGTTTTGTAATTTTTCCTTCATGTTTCAAAATAATATAAAACCGTAGAATCGTAGGTGTGTTTGTTTAATAAAAATAGGAAGAGGGTAATTAAACAAAAGTAATAGATTATTAGAATTATTTTCTGTCTGTCTGTCTGTTTGTTTGTTCCACAACTCCGGAGCTACTGAACGAATTTTTTATTGTTTTGGACATGTTGACTGTTTGATTTGGTACAGAAAATTACAATCGAAATCTTTAAAAAGTTATAATTTTTTAAAAAATTTATAATTTACTTTGATACTTGTCTATTTTAGAAGTTACATAATAAATAAAATCTTCTTAAACACACGGAATAAATTTATTTTAATAAACTATATTCAACTGTAAAGTTTCATTTTACATTTTAAACTATAGATTTTTTTCTTTGTACCAAGAAGAACAGCTAACATTTGTAAGTTTTCAGTGTGCAATATTTCTAGGAATTTTAGTTAGTTAGTAAATAAATATTCGATATCAATGTTACAGTTAAAAGACCACGTAAAATCTAAACACCAGGGTGTGATGCCCCACGCCTGCGACGTTAAGGGGTGCGGCAAGAAATTCTATAAAAAGAGCGATTTGGTTGTTCATAAAAGGTAAATTTAGTATATTGTTTATATTATATTTTTGTTTGGAATTTAATTTTTTCATTTGTTTTCTGCCCAAACAATCATTCTAATTTCACGACGAAAACAGCAGTTATTCCAGTGCAATACAGATTTCACCTGTTCAAGTCCACAGATATCATAATAATTTAGACAGCGCAAACTGAACTCCACAGACATCACAACAATTCGGACAGCTCAAACCGACATTGCCTGAGCACAGACAAATTATAGAGGGTAGAAGAAAAAGGAGCACCATCTCAGTGTATAAGGACTTTTTGCAGGAACGCGATGAGTGAAGTTGTGTGATTTGTTTTATTTTGTATATTTAGTGTTTCTTCAGGTTTAAATGTGTAATAACGGTGGTTTATTAACTATTTAATATCTGTGAAAAGGCACAAATGTGGGTAAATGAAACAAATCCACTGAAAAAATCTCAGTAAATGACCACTATTTTACTAAGATTATATTTCATCCCATATCATCTCGTCTCATCTGATTTCATTTAATTTCATCCCAGTTGATTAATTTCTCAAATTAATCATCTTCATTTCATTTCACTCCATATTTTTTTTTTTTTTAAGCAATAAAAAAAAAAAACCATATTATCATTTTTCATAAAAATATAAGAATATAAATTAAAATAAGACATGACTTAAAGGTCTTACTTACCAGGGTCATAAAATCCCTTAAAAAAACCTCGGTGTATAAAAAGTGTCAGTTGAAAGGGAGCCAATGAAGGTGGCGCCACAGTAGCAAATGGAAAGATTTTAAAAACAGCACCATAAACTAACACACTTCACTCTGTTTAAAACTGCTTTAATATATTCATATCATTTCTGCTTTCTACACTAGCGCTATTTCGTTGAGTTTTCCAACAATAGCTTGCCGTTTACAGACGGAGACTTTTTCAACTTGTCTCATATAAGATGGTGCTCCCTCTACGAAACATATAAAAGTGTTACGCGCTGAGGGTTCAGAATAAATAAAATGTTCCACCAAAGTACAAAAACACTACTTAAAACAATTAAACACTTCACAAACACTTTAAAACACTCAACAAACACTCTAAAACTCTCAATTCGCTTGTTCCACTTCGCTTCAGGTGATCCGTTCGCTGTTTCGCTTCGAGTAGTTCCGATTACCGACTGACTGCGTGCCATCTCAGCAACGCTTTTATAACCGATACCTCATCCCTAGAATTATCGAGAATATTCCACACATCTCTAGTATTGTTTCCGCTTTCTGACAATAGATGGCGTTGTACTTCTCGAGCGTTCTAGATACTGCTAGATCCTTCGATATTCGTTCGACTATTCGGCGATAGATGGTGTTACTCTTACCAACGTAACAAAAGAAATGCTCACGATACCTAATTTTATTCTTCATGTTTTTTTGTCCAGGTACCACACCGGCGAGAGACCGTTCTCTTGTGGCATCTGCATGCGTTCGTTTCCCATAGTGTCGCATCTCAAACGTCACATTCGTTCTGTAGACTGTACAAAATCGTAAGTATTTATTTATAATACGCTTAATATATGTACATAAAAATTTAATAAAAAAGGCGGACAGAGCTAGCGGGAATTTCTTCCCGCCGATTTCAAAGTTCTTCTCAAAGTTTTTGTATTTATTGTGGGGATTGAGAAGCGATGCTTTTTTATGGCACGGAATTTTAATAGAACGGTTGATATACATACTCTTCATATTGGAACGCATGAGTGCTTCGTGACAAGGTTCAACAAACTTCGGTTTGAAGGGTGGGGCAGCCGTTGTAACTATACCGAGACCTTAGAACTTATATCTCAAGGTGGGTGGCCCATTTACGTTGTGGATGTCTATGTGCTCCAGTAACCACTTAACACCAGGTGCAGTGTGAGCTCGTCCACCCTTTTTTGCAAAAAAAAAGACTACGCGACGACGTGGAGACTTCAGTCGGATGTGCAAAACTTATGTTTTTATGAAAACTAGATATTTAAAGAATTGTGAAGGAAGATGTAGGATTTTCAATTGTCTTTGTAGGCAGCCAAGCATACGGCCCACCTGATTGTAAGTGGTCACCGTCACTCATAGACGTCGTCAATGCCGGGAGCACAGTCAAGCCGCTGCCTATTGTATAAAAAAAAAGAACAACAATTTTCGGCTAAACATTTATATTTATTTAAAATTTTTGTTACAGCTTAGAGAGAAAAGCGGAAATTCATCCCTAGAGATCAACAACTAGCCACCTCAAAACATTATTTATTGTAGGTATTGAATCAATTTATAAAACGTACTCGCTTAATTAGTATTGATCTTCAAAATTGATCTAGTATTATAGTTAAAACAAAAAACATACATTGTCATTACATTTTATTAGAATAATTGGTCATAATTTGATTAAAATAATAAAAATGAATAAATTAAGCAAAAAAAAAATATATTATTCTTTGCTCATGTTCTCCATGAATCTTGTGAGGCTGTTTTGTCTATGGATTAATTCGTCGAAGGTAAAATGGTTGTTTCCGAGCTGAAATAAAAAAAAAAAAGGAAAATTGATTGTCTGTAATGTCGCTTTACGGACGATAGTTTTACGTGATAACGTTAGTAGCGGAACTATTGTAACTACTAGCTCTGACGTCACCCGAGAAGAGATAAATGTGTCACAAGCCAACGCTTGGGCCGATCGTGCCTCTCTATCGTTTGTTCAGTGCTCTCGCTTGCACGCTCAGGTTCAGGCGGAACGTGACACTTTTTCTTGCGTGCAGCCGGTATTCATTGATTTATATTACCGTTATCACGTGAAAAACAATTAGATGAATTATTAATATAATCTGTAACAAACTAGTGTTCGTTAAGAATGGCATGACATTATTGTTTGATATGGAAATGTAGTTGTATGTGTAGCTAAACATTTTCGAAGTCATTTTTTTAATATCAACTTGTCAATGACGTGGCAATGATAAATGAGATTTGGCTAAAAACTCCACAAACGAGAGGGCCGGTCTTTATTTGGAATAAATTAATCTTTTCGCGGCGAATTGAACTTAATATGTGGGTTGACTACAATTAGGAACGTTTGTTTAGAAAATTATGTATAATAAATAAAATTATGAAATATATTCTAAACCCTTTTATCGTAGTAGTAGTATTATAGAAAAATAATGAACTTCGTTCCAAAAGCAACATTTACAAAAAAAATACATTTAAAAAAATGCAGCCAAAGAACCAACATCAGATTTGCGAGAAACAAATTTTTCGGTTCGAACATCTGTGATGTCCGTGGTCAGATAAACTACGGATAATCGGTATATTATGTATTTTATCTGACCATTTACGCTTATAAAAACTAAGAAGTTCTCCTGCTTCTGTTGGCTCTAATTTAGAAAAAAAAGTCCTTTAATCTGTGTTTACCTTGAGCGTGTATCAACTCGGAAAGCGCAGTGTTGTGTTATTTAAAAATTATCATGATTTTTCTTCGTATGATCTTAATTAATCTTAATAAATATAAATGTTGAGACTTAACTTTGTTTCATTATTAAAGATTAATTTTGTTTTTTAAACTACAATTATTCTATGAGAGAGAACAGTTAATAACTATTATTATTATAACTGAATATAATAATATGGCTATTATGTAAGTACTTAATGGAATCATGTCAAACTTTTATTTTTATATTCTTAATGGATAATATAATCGAAGAACAATTTCATTTCACGTGTCTATAAATTGCGTGTTTTTTATATAAATATTTGTATATTATTCTTATCGGTTTGTATACAATCATGTTATTAAGTCGCAAATACAATTGAGAAAAGCACGGGTTTGCTTCAAGAATTGTTAACTTAAATAATACAAAGTTTTATTTATTTATTTGACAATATGTTTTTTTCCTTAATTTAGTTAATTTTAGTTGAAATATTGTAAGTAGTAGAATTCGCAGTTTGTTCATTAATATTTTCAATATGAAAATCATGATGTTTGATTTAAGTTGAAGTATTTGAATTAATTTATTATATTAATTGAATTAATGATGAAGCTATGTATGAACATTTAGACGACAAAAAAAAGTTTAAATATGCAAATAAATAAGCAAAAACGTTTCAATCTGAAGCCACCTCATAAAATTCATAGCAGCATGTAGTGTTAATTAAATTTATATCACGTCTTATTGTGAAATGGCAAACAAATAATTTCACTATCTTGATTATGTTAATGTCTGATTTTTTGTATAATCCATTTAAATTAAATATGGAATTTTTCATACAATGATTTTGATTATTTACTACATAGTATTTTTTTTTAAATAATCATAGCTAATTATTATAAAAGTGAACGTGCTTAAAGTTCTATTGTAGTGATGTTATATTAACTTAATTAACGTAATGATTATTTATTCTAGAAAGACCTGAAGCTCTTAGATTTTAATTTATAAGGGGTGTAAAAAGACCATCATCTAAGCCGAAACGAGAATAAGCTAACCGCGCGTAATAAACACTGAACTAAGCATAAATACTTTTATTGTATGAAGTCTTTTAGACATTTAGAGGTCGTCCCTTACGATTCCCTCAAAACCACAGATATCATACGTTATAGCTAATTTTTATTTGCGTTTCACTGCGCAGAAAAGAATAAATAAATAAAATGGTGCGCGTGCAACTTGGTGCACGTGAAAAAAGTGAAACTTCTCTTGTGGTTTTCTTCATTTTTCATCCTTAAATCAAATTTCTCTTGTATTAGGGAATGCTGTGTATAAGAGAAACGACCTAGCTCGCTTTCTCCCTCTGTCCACGGTCGAGTGGTTCGCGAGACGTTCTGTCTATTATCTCCTTCTCGTCCTTCATAAATGGTATCTTTTCTCTCTAGCCGTAACGAATCTGTCGCGAATTAAATTTTACTCTCAACGCGCCTGAAGAAGTTTCACTTCAAAAAGCCGTTTTTTTTTCTTCGAAACTTTTATTCGCATTCGGCAAAGGGTCTAATGCACCCCGTATAAAACTGTTTCAATGTTTGTATTGTGAGAAATTTCTGTGCCACGTTAATATAATTTATTCGCAACATATAAAGCTTTGTTTTACTTACGAAGTCTCGCACCCATTTAGAGAGATATTCAAGGTTCCTTTGTTCTGCGATTCTCTCGTCGATCATCAGAACGGCGCCCCAGTCGTTGAGGTGCCTCACGCAACGTCCTATGGCTTGGTTCATGGCTCTGAAAAAACCAATACGCCAATATACAATTATTAAGTAAAAATATTTAAATTTATAGACTGGTTTTAAATTTATTTTTTATTGCTTGGGTATGTGGACGAGATCACGTCCCAATTGGTGTCAAGTAGTCACCGGAGCCCATAGACATCTAAAACGTAAATGCCGCAAACCGCCTTAAGATATCAGTTCTAAGGTCTCAGTATAGTTACAACGGCTGCCCCGCCCCTCAGACCGAAACGCATTACTGCTGCATTGCAGAAATAGGCGGGGTGTACCTACCCGTGCGGACTCACAATACGTTTTACCACCATATGTGTAAGTTTAAATGTATACATATCGAAGGGTGAAACGTTATTTTATTTAAGCACCATTTTTGCAATTTTACAGGAGAGTCATTTATAATTTAAAATTTGGAAAAAATATAACAAGAAAATTCTTCAAATATTTGAATGGAGTAATTGTATGTAATTAGTAATTAATTGAAGTACAATTAAAAACATCGGACTGTTGATGCTGATAAGAAATAAAACCCACCTTTATTTACAAAGATAAATGTCGTATAATAAGCGAAATGTATTTCAACCTTCGATAATATATCGGTATCAAACGCTCAAGAGTCGGAACAAATTCAACAGTCAAGGGCGGTAATGACTAGGTCACCGAGTCCGTCTACTATACGACTTTACTTAATAACCGTCAGAAAAAAAAGAACTTTTTAAAAAACATGTTGCCGTGTATTAAGATAACGATTAAATAAACACATCCATACTTTAATATAATCTTTTCTGTTTCACAAAAATAATGTCTGGGATAACCCCGGCCGGCGCGTCAGCACTATCACAACGCGCTAACCTTGTATAAGTTGAGTCTTTTCATCAAAGATTAACGGCTTGGCCACTTCTATTTACTACGAGTACTATATCTCTTGAAATTGGACCCATTTATGCAAACAAGAACCAACCCACAATTTGAGTGAAATTGAGTTAAGTGCACAGATCAATCTTAGGTCCATTTTGCAAGAAGGAACTAAGCAACGAAATATGTTTTTGCAAGAAAGAACCAACCGGGTTTTTAAAGATTTACTTTATACTGACTACATAAACTATATAAATCTGATATAGTATCTATGCATTTTGCACACTTTGTTTACAAAAGTCTCGTTTTCTCGAAACTAACCTGCTGTGGGTTGGTTCTTGTCTGCATAAATGGGTCCAATTGTAGGATCGAATTATCATTTTCGTTCCATATTCTATATACCCCGTCCGCTCCCCTGATTTTTTGGTATCGCGTATTCTCGGCTGGCACGGGTCGGTACCAATATTCCTACTATCAGTGTCATGAAGCATTCGTGCGTTGAAAATAATGGTAGGATAGTCCAGTGGGCAGCAATCCGCGGTTCTTTTACTCCTACGGTTCCTTCGCGAAATGTTTAGTTCAGGCACGGAATATTACTTATTGTCTTGCCTTGTAAGAGACGAGGAAACATTTTGAGAAACAAGGCTATAAAAAATGACTCTTTGAATAACATTTAGTGGTTTGTTATCTATATTTGGCGCTTTTAACCACTGGGATGGTCTGTGAAAAAGATGCCGATAGCTGGGATAGTCTGTGAAAAAGTCGCCGACCACTGGGATAGTCGGTGAAAAAGTTGCGGACCACTGGGATAGTCTGTCTCTCGGGGTGGGTGAGGATGTCTCCGGGAGTAGTTCAGCGGCCCATAAGTAGGGTATGTTGTTCACCTGAAGGCTTGCACGTTGTACCAGTCCCAGCCGCGCATTAACTTCTTCCCATTCGAATGCTTGTCGTTGTATTTCATTTTCTCCGTGACCATCCTGTCTCCGATCGTTGGGAAGGGCACGCCGATCTGATTGTGAAAAAAATACAGGTAAATATATAAATTAATTATCAAGGGGATCAACGAGAAAAATTTCGAGAAAAAACTGTTCAGCCTAAGTAAGTATTTTGAGTGAGTAAGCTAATCACGCGAGTCTTCGACCTCACGTCTCAAGTCATATGAGACTCACCGTCACAACGGCCCTGGCTTGCCGGTCCCTGAAGTCCATGCCCTCGGAGACCTTCCCCCTGTACACGGCGAACAGGATCGCGCCTCGATCCACCTCCGCGGCGCTGTAGTACTCCTTCGAAAGGAAACAAGGATACGAATTGACTACACTGATATTTACTTAACGGCTGTATTTGTTATTCCCTATTTTAAATTTTTTTTTAATGCTTAGATGGGTGGACGAGCTCACAGCCCACCTGGTATTAAGTAGTTATTGGAGCCTATAAACATTTACAAAGTAAATGCGCCACCCAACTTATAAGTTCTAAGGTCTCAAGTATAGTTACAACGGCTGCCACGCCCTACAAACCGAAACGCATTACTGCTTCACGGCAGAAGTAGGTAGGGTGGTGGTACCTACCATGCGGACTCACAAGAGGTCCTACCACCAGTAATTACTTGACCAGTAATTATTTGACTTATCTCTGTGTCCACGGCTCGGGAGGAAATGCGTGTTTAGGTATTGTACATTGATGTATATATAGTACGATGTGTAAGTACATATGTTTTAGAAAAATATAATTTCGTACAAAATAATCTAATTATAATAAAAAATGCGAAATCAAACCGTAAAAGTTTTAGTATATTGAACTAAGTATTGCACAGTTGGATGCCACGTTCTTACCTTCATAATTTCATCATGATCAGTCGTATTGTCGCTCTCCTTAAATATATATTTTAGGCTGTTCAATTTGTCCCACAAGCCAGTTTGTTGCCATCTGTAAAAAAAAATGTTGCCAGCACTAAAAAAATATATCCAAATTAAGGAGATAAGGTCTTTATTTTTTAATGATCTATTTATCTGTTTTAATGCGTTTTTTTCTCTTCAAATACTTTCGGAATTGTCTTGAAAATTATTAATTTTATGTTGAAATTGGTGGGCACAAATATATAAGTTTATGTTTGTTAAAATTATTTTGTCGGTTATTATCCTTTTTTATTTTAGCTCTAGTTCGACAGACGAGACTGACCGTAATTGCCACTCATGTTTAAACATGCGGTGGAAGTCTTCATTGCATAACGGCTGACTCAATCTAAAAACCACAGATTATGATTGTCTCTCGGCAGAATATTTATTATTGTAATTGTATCACCGTGTTAGTGGAGGGAAGTGTAGCAACAAGACTTTATCAATTCAAAATGATGTCGTGATGTTTTAATCCTAAGTTTAAAAGTCTTTGAAACACAACACGTTATGGTAAGTGATACCTTTGATGCAGCAACCTCATGGATGTGTACGAGGAGTGAAAGCACAGCACTCCATGGGGCGTGACGTCACACACCCTCAATATAGCCTTCCCTATGGAATCCTGTACTTGTTTCTTCTCCATATTATCCTTCGTACATTTCAATTGTTCCGAGCTCTCGCAGTTTCTTAATGTTCCTATCCATACCTAGAATGAAATATACGTTGACTGGTGTGCTCATGAATGCTCACGGTCAATAGGGCAGATTCGCGGTTATTACTCGGTATCCGGTACACTCAGAATCTGTTGAAGGATTCGTATATGGCTGAGAGAGACTCGCCTTTAAAAAATTGGTTCGATTTTGATGACATTTTCAGGAAATCCAAAGATCAAAATAAAAATTTCGACATCAAATCAGGTTTGTGACTAGTAACTCATAAAATTGTATTATTTTTTAAAAAGCTTTGGTTGTACAACACTTATATGATATTTTGCAAATAAAATTTACTTTTTAAAATTATTTTTTTAATTACTTAGATGGATAGACGAGCTCACAGCCCACTTGGTGTCAAGTAGTTGCTGGAGCCCATGGACATCTACAACATAAATGCCGTCACCCACCTTGAGATATAGGTTCTAAGGTCTCAGTATAGTTACAACGGCTGCCCCGCCCCTCAAACCGAAACGCATTACTGCTTCACGGCAGAAATAGGCCGGGTGGTCGTACCTACCCGTGCGGACTCACAAGAGGTCCTACCACCAGACTATCTCCGTAACATCACTGTGTCGGATTGTACTTTTAATACAATATATACAACTCGCCCGTTCTCTAGAGATGACGTGGTTCAAACACGACACGTTGAACTCGGCGCCGAGCTCGTGCTTCATGCTGCCCACGGGCGACAGTGTACCGGAGGCCAGTATTATAGATCGAGCCTTCGTCAGACCCTCGAACAGCACCGCTGGACTCATGCATAGAAGACGTATCGATATGTTCGCACCTTTGAACTGGGAATATAAATTTAAGCAAATTATTATGAAGAGGTCTTCTATCTAGTCGGTGCATTGCTCCCCTGTGGCATATGATATTAGTTGTATTACATTTCGCGCCGTTGAAAAAAAAACGGTGAACGGGCACCGTTTTTTTTTTGCAACTTGGTGCACGTGAATGAAGTGAAACTTCTTTTTCAATGTGTAGTATTGTCGTTTTCTTCATTTTTTAACCTTAAATCAGATTGCTCTTGTAATAGGGAATGCTGTGTATAAGAGATGCGACATCTTCAACACTTCTATTATATGTATTTTAAATTATAGAAAGAACAATAAATAAATAATATTTATTTAAATACTTCATTAAAATATTGAACGCTACTCGTTGCTAACGCTCGCGCTGGCCTGTAACACGTGTACAACGCGCATACGTTCGAGTGCCACGCATTCACTCTCGCTATGTCTCTTTCTAGTATGGAAACGTTAAACGTTTAACGCAACCTGGTTAGAAGTCGCATTAGAAGTTTCACTTCAATAATAATTTAAAACAAAATCTTTTTTATTTTCGTCTTGTCTAGATTCACCTTAACTACACAATTTGGCGGCAATCTGTTTTTAAGGAAAATAAAACATAATGAAGCACTCGTTTAAAGTTGAATTTCCTGTACGCACCTCGCCGGTATACGACCGTCGCCGATAGAGCGCGCGCGAGTCGTCACCCTTCAGCAACATCGGCACGAAGTCTTCGGCGTGCTTACATTCGTCCTTGAAAAGGTATCCTGCACATAAATACGAAAACTAATTTAAAATATAACCGCTTAAAAATAATACTAGTGGCCCCGCAGTAGTCGAAATTCGACTATAATTAATAGAAATTATAAGTTTGTAAATTATTATGGTTTTATTGTCAAACACTATTAGACTTCTAAAATCACAAATTACGCCAAAACTACACTATAGATAAATTAGAAAAATAATATTAATGACAAAAGATATTAATCTATTCACAAATGGACCACAGACTTTAAACAATAAAAAAGTTATATGTATGTGTTGTGTCAAATACAAGGTACTGTGTATAATGTTTTTTTATTGATTTAATGTACTTTTTATAGTAATAAAAAATATATAGAATTCTGCACTCCTTCTCTATATTCTCTATGAGTGTGAGATATTTTATACTCCTCCGTCGGCGCAATTTTCGTAAAAAGGGTACAAAGTTTTTGCTTAACGTATTAATTAATATATAGATTCTATTTAACCTCGGTATTAGTCAAAATTAATAAAACCATTGTATTGTCATCGATTCTTGGGTGAGTGGAAAAATAATTTAAATCAATCGGAAGTCTTGAGAGCAATTCCATAGACAAATAGATTAAATTAATAAACGTCATGAAATAAACATTTGCCTATCTATGACATGATAAAACTGAAACCAAAAAGCTGTCGGTGTATTGAAGATTTTTTGAAGTGAAACTTCTTTAAGTGCGTTGAGAGTAAAATTTAACTTGCGGCAGATTCGGTACGGCTCAGAGAGAAAAGATACAATTTAGGAAGAGTGAGAGTGAGAAAATAGACAGAGCGTCTCGCGAATCACTAGACCGTGATGAGAGGGAGAAAGTGAGCTAGGTTCTTTTATACACAGCATTCCCTAATACAAGACAAATTTGATTTAAGGATGAATAATGACGAAAACCACAAGAGAAGTTTCACTTCTTTCACGTGCACCAAGTTGCACGCGCACAATTTTTTCTTCATATAAAATCGATTCGAACCGTTTGTTAAGACGAATACTGTCATGAATAAAAAAATTTGGTGCAAAAAAAAACACGGAACATTGCTAATTTTATCACCATAGACGTCCGATACGACTGTAATGAACTTGTACAGACAGACAATGTGCTTTGTCACATTAAAATGTATCCTTCCTTACCGAGAGCAGAGTCCATTGTTTCTAACAAGGCGACCGTGTGTTGTCCTACACCGTACAAATCATCTTGCATACGTAACAGTTTTGATAAATGAAAATTGAAATCTGAAAAACATAATAGCATTATGTAATGACAATTTACGATATTAATTGCTTAGTTGAGTGTACGAGCTAACGGTCCACCTGGTGATAAGTGGTTACCGGAGCTCATAGACATCTACAACGTAAATGCGCCACCCACCTTGAGATATAAGTTCTAAGGTCTCAGTATAGTTGCAACGGCTGCCCCGCCCTTCAAACCGAAACGCATTACTGCTTCACGGCAGAAATAGGCGGCGTGGTGGTACTTACCCGTGCGGACTCACAACACGTTCTACCACTAGTAAAAATTGTATTAGACAAACTAATGGTCATCCGCTCCAACTCACAAAAGTTTAGGTAGTACTACTGATAGAAAGCCACTTCCCATTCTCTAGTGAAGCCTTTAATCGACCTTTGAGAACAAATTCTAAGCTATAAAAAAGTTTTCCGACCTCTGACGTCATCACCAAACCAGTTAACCCTTCGACTGCCGTGTAGGTCACCGGTGCCCTACGCGGCGCACTGAAGTAATTATGTTGATTTCTCTCTTCGAGCAACTTACTAAAGCGCCAGAATATCTAGTAGACTCTGACAAAGAGGAATCCAAAGATACTGAGAACGAGCTATTTCTAAGAGACCTAAAAGACTAAAAAACAAATTAACATACAAAAGAAGATTCAATCCAGATGCCATAGTAATAAAAAGCTAGCGGTAGGCAGCGGCTTGGCTCTGCCCCTGGCATTGCTGAAGTCCATGGGCGACGGTAACCACTCACCATCAGATTGGCCGTATGCTCGTCTGCCTACAAGGGCAATAAAAAAAAAGAAATGAGCATAATTACTTCAGTGCGCCGCGTAGGGCACCGGTGACCTACACGGCAGTCAAAAGTATCATCATCATCATCATCATCTCAGCCTGTCCACTGTCCACTGCTGAACATAGGCCTCTCCAAGTGATCTCCAGTGCGGCCGGTCCGTTGCCACCTACATCCAACGTGACCCAAAAAAAGTTTAATTATAATCTATTCAGTAATAAAGTATTAAAAATGCTCACTATGATAATTGTTTTGTCCGATGCCATTTTCATTCAGCATAGCCATGAACTCGTTCATGTTCCACATGTCGGTGTTCTCGCGCGATACGCGATCGGATTGTTCTATTAAACTGAAAATTAAAATAGTACAATTATTAACACGTTGACTGCCGTGTAGGTCACCAGTGCCCTACGCGGCGCACTGATGAAACTATGTCGATTTCTCTCTTCGATCTTCTATGAAGTCGTCGTGGCCTAACGGATAAGACGTTCGGTGCATTCGTGTTGAGCGATGCACCGGTGTTCGAATCTCAGGCGGGTACCAATTTTTCTAATGAAATACGTACTCAACAAATGTTCACGATTGATTTCCACGGTGAAGGAATAACATCGTGTAATAAAAATGAAACCCGCAAAATTATAATTTGCGTAATTACTGGTGGTAGGACCTCTTGTGAGTCCGCACGGGTAGGTACCACCACCCTGCCTATTTCTGCCGTGAAGCAATAATGCGTTTCAGTTTGACAAGTGGAGCAGACGTTGTAACTATACTGAGACTTTAGAACTCATATCTCAACCGGTAACTACTTAACACCAGGTGGGCCGTGAGCTCGTCCACCCATCTAAGCAATAAAAAAAAAAAACTAAGTCGCCGGCATATCTAATATCTAATAGGCTCCGGGAAACACGAAACAGCAGATACTGAGAATGAATCTATTTTTAAAAGACCGAAAAAGACTAAAACACATTGGCAAACAAAAGGAAATAAAGTCAGGCAATCCAGGCGCTTAGTAAAAGAAATTGACATAATTACTTCACTGCGCCGCATAGGGCATAGGTGACCTGCATGGCAGTCAACGTGTTAATAATGATTTCTGAAGTCGTCGTGGTCTAAAGGATAAGACGTCCGGTGCATTCATATCGAGCGATGCGACTGTACCGTGGTTCGAATCCCGCAGTCAGGCATCAACTTAGCCCACTGAGTTTCTCGCCGGATTTTGTCATTCGGTTTCAGATTGAGCAAAGCGTATACTATACAAGAGACTTAAATCTCATGTCTCAAAGTAGGCGACGGTTTCGATAGCCACTTAACACCTGGTAGACCGTGAGCTCGTTCACCTATTTTATGCATTTAAAATTATTTCTGATCACCAGGTATCTTAGCCGTGAAGGCTATGCTAGAAGAATGAAGGGAATTCGTTTAACAAGTTAAGTCTTACCACTTATCCCATATTTGTAACGTCTTGATGAAAAAATCTATTGTTTCTCCTCTTGCAGCCTCATCCTGGCCCATCTTAACGTACCTCTTGGCGTACTGCAGTTGCTGTAATTATTTCATTTTGTTACTTTATACGTTGTTTTAGGAATTTACAGGCAGATAGATCCCTTGAAAGTGCTGGTAAATGTGGAAATAAATGAAAGATTTCCATACCGGAGGTATCAAGCGACTGATATAACAATGCTGATGATCAGACGTAAATATTACATAATAATTTATTCATATTTTAGTGTTAGTCTCGCGGCTATTAATGTTTTAAATCTGACGGTATTTTGTCACATAAATTTTACAGGAAGGCACTGTAACATTTATGTCTTTTATGTAACATGTTTCTTAAAATAGATGCTACTGATATTGATGGCTGTTTCGTGTTATCATTTACAGTAGAGTATGTTTTATTTTAGAAAAATATAAAATCAAAACAAATGCCAAATATTAGGCATAAAAAGTACAATAATGATCTCTCCCAGAGAATCATCCGATGGACTAGAATCCTTTAAGTAAATAAAATAACCACCGTGTACTATCGATCAATAAAAGGACATAGAATTAAATATCAATGATATCATGTTAATTGTACTATTTTAAACATAATAATCAATAAACAATTTAAACACATCACATTTTTCTATAAATACCCGTCACGATTGCACCATATCAAAGTTACATCAATCAGACATTTTACCTTAAGTATAAATTAAATACATTGACATTCAATCAGTTTGCTTAGTGCGAGTTTTTTAACGTTCTCGATAGCGTAAAAGTTAGCTCATATTTGTATGAAATGGAATCGTTTGCGTATGTTTGCCGCTAGGGGCGCTGTTGCAACTGCATACAAAGTTGGGTTTTTTACGCTATCGAGAACGTTAAGAAACTCGCACTAAGCACACTGTTTTATTGATAACTAGGAGTGGGTAATATCCGTTTTGCCGCGTATCGAATCGTATCTATATATTGAGTATCAATATCGGATATTGAATCTATATATTTTCTGAATCTATATATTGATGGAAGCTAGTAGATTTTCTCGATTCATGATATTTGAGATTTGAAACGATACGCTGATATAATATCGTAGTAGATATAGATTTAAGTCAACGTTATACGGTTGGTTTTCTGATATCAATTTATAATATGATTTTAAAGTAATAAAAAGAACATGAAAATAAAAATATCAAAAAAACTTTCCTTCATGATTTTACCAGGCTTAGGACTGGCTACATTATTTTCAGTTTTTAGTATTTTGTGTCTTAATTTAAAATTACAAAATATACCAAAAGAGTGTAGATTTCAAAAGTTTACTACAAACACAAGAAATAAACTCAAATATTTGGATTCAACTAAAAATAGAAAAATGTGTACTTTAAAAATCAAACACAAAAAACTTTTAAGTATTTATAAACACTTGTCCAAAAATTCTAGTTCAAGGTCAAAGCGCGTGAAATTAAATTCAACGATGCAAATAGGCTATACTGCATTCAAGTTAGGGTCGAAAGTTGAAACTTCTTTCCTTAATTGTATCCTGCTGATACGCTAAGAATAATCTACAGACATATGGACTTAAATATAAGGTTTACAATTGTATGGATAATGCCTGTTTCTGTTTCATTCATCACATGATATCCCTATCGTGCGCTCACTCACTCTGGCCGATTCGATACGAACCAAACGAATATTGCTGATATTAACGAATCGGTACGATATGCCGATGCGCATCACATCGAGCAATATCGTGTATCGGCTGATATCGAAATATAATTTCGATTCACGAATCGGTACGATATGCCGATGCGCATCACATCGAGCAATATCGTGTATCGGCTGATATCGAAATATAGATTTCGATTCACGAATCGGTACGATATGCGATGCGCATCACATCGAGCAATATCGTGTATCGGCTGATATCGATATATAGTTTCGATTCACGAATCGGTACGATATGCCGATGCGCATCACATCGAGCAATATCTGTGATCGGCTGAATCGATATATATTTTCGATTCACGAATCGGTACGATATGCGATGCGCATCACATCGAGCAATATCGTGTATCGGCTGATATCGAATATAGTTTTCGATTCACGAATCGGTACGATATGCAGACGCATACAATCGAGCAATAGGTGAATCGGCTGATATCGATATATAGATTTCGTGCGGGGCGATATCGGATTCAACGATATTGCTGCGATATATACCTAGTCAGGTCATAAATTCTGTCACATGTTTAATGTAAAATAATTGAAACAAGTTTATTCATTATGTAACCATTCATATACCAAAATGAACTTAACAAAACATAGATTCTTATGACACTAAAGTTTATTCAAAATGACCTCCGTGATTTTGAATACAGGCCTTCAATCTGCGCGGCCAGTCGTCTATCGCAGCACGAACGAGGTCCATGTCAATATCGGCGGCTGCCTTAATCAAGGATGTCTTGAGTGACTCCAAATTGGGATGAGGCTTTGAGCACGCCTTTTCCTCCAAGTGTTGCCATATCTTGTAATCTAACGGATTCAAATCTGGACTGGAGGAGGGCCAGTCTTCGTGCCGGATGAAGTCGATTTCACGCGCCGCCAGCCAGTCTTGTGTGCTCTTCGCTCTATGAGCTGGCGCCGAATCTTGTTGGAATACCCAGTGCCTGTTATTGAACATGGTATGAGAAACAGGTTCCACAAGGTTCGTCAGGACTGTATTTTGATACACAACTGCATTCGTTTTTACACCTTTCTCACAAAAATGTACCTCTGTTAAGCCCCAATAAGAAACTCCCAACCATACCATGAGCGAGGATGGAAAATGACCTCGTTGGACACGCGGAATACGGTTGCTCGCTTCTTCACTACTGTGTGCGTACACCTTATCATTTTGTTTGTTGTAGCTCTCTTCTACGGTAAAAATTTTTTCATCCGAAAAAAGAATTTCCCGATATTTTTTTCCCGCGTACCGCTTCAACAAAGCGCGGCATCTCTTCAGTCTCAGGTCCATTAGACGAGCATTCAAACGATGTCCTGTTTTTCTTCGATATGCCCGAAGCCCTAAGTCTTCATTTAACACCCTTTTCACCGTGGTTCTGCTTAACCCCATCTGAAGGGCCAACAGTTTTGCTTACGTTTGGGATTTCTTTGAATTCGCGCCTTCAAGCTTTTATCACTGCTGGAGTCCTAACAGACCGAGGGCGACCACTTCTTGACCTGTCATCTACACTAGAGTCTTCATTGTATCGTTTGATGGTACGATAAACGAATCTTTTGGTTATATTCAAATTTTTCAGTATGTTAAAAATTTGAATTGGCGCGTAACCGCAACGATGCAACGCAATAACTGCAACACGGTCTTCTTTAAGCGTCCACTCCATATTTAAAAATGAGTAAAATTCTAAAAGTAACATTTTTATTTTCATGAACAATTCGAAATTCGAATTC